TTGCTAAAAGCGCTCAGCTTGCAATGCAAACAGTAACAATACTTACAGAGGAAATTAAGAAGCTACGTAAAGAAAACCAGCGCCAACGACAAAAGCAAGAGCGGCAGCGTCAATATATCGCTTCTGGTGGGGTGCTCCAGGTCCAACAGGCTCAGCAGATCATTGCAGAGGCAGAAAGGGTAGTAATGGGGGGTGACCAGAACCAGACTGGCGAGCGACGTCAGCGCGCGCCGCCAACGTGCACGAAGTGCCACGTTCAAGGACATACTCGGACTTCATGTAAAGCTAGATAAAGAATAATATCTTTTAATTTAATCTAATTTTATTAAGTTGCTGTAGAGCAATTGAGTAGAGCGTCGCGTCAGGTTTGGTGGGGTGGGCCACTTACTGATGTGGGCCGCTTACTGATAAAACACGTTACGACCAAGCCCAGATATCGCGATTACTCAATTCCATGTGCTGGAAGCGTGGGTGGGAAAAGGCCGTTGGTTGGAACTCAGCGTAGGTAGAAAACCGTTGGCATTGCGTATACAACGGGCACTAACACCCATGACTGTCGCTTGGCCATGACTGTTGGTTGGTCGTGAGCCGCAAGCGCAACGACAGCTACGCGTAATCCTGGTACGTCGTTCTGTTGATATCCTTGACATCAGCCCAAACACAGGGCGTCGTGCGCAGTAGCAGCTGTCAGCGGTGGCCATTGCCCAACCTTAGCAGATACTCTGCCGCTGGGGCGGGCTGTGAGCGAGCCGTTGCGGAACGTTTACTTTCCAGCTGAGCTCAGCCCCCCTTACGAGAACTGGGGCTGACCGTACATGTTTTCCTTCCTGAGTTGCTTGTTAACCCGGACAAGCACACCGATGGACTGTCATGCATCTAATTGCGACACGAGTACGAGCGAGGTTGTTGGCAGGTCGTTTCCAAGTTGTCTCTTAGTGGTGTCGATCTTGAATGCCATGCCGGCGGTAAGTGTAGACACGGACAGACTCCGCCCAACGATAAGCTCGGAGCTCAGCGGAAATGAAGGCGCCCAGTACAGGGTGGGGCCGCATCACAGACGCAGAACAGCCGAGAGAAACTGTACTTACTCTCGATCGACAAGATGATGGGAAAGACAAGCGTCGTAATCCCAACCTGCATATTACTGCCTTCGTATTTGGGTGTCGACTGTGGTTGCTTGGCTGTTGGGGTGGATGGATACGGGCAGCGCGAGGAAGAGATGGAGTCGAGTGTTGCGGCAAACGAACGGGAGAAAAAGCAATAAGGATGGCGAAACAGCCGGCCTGCAGTGGTGCAATGAGATCCCTTGACAAGAAGGACAACGGGAGCGGCTCGTGGAGCATGGGTGCCCATCAAATACATACTTGTACTGTTTTGCCTGGGACAAAGAGGGTCCGGGATAAGTATCGTTCCGCCAACCAGCCATCAGCTATCCGTTGCTCCATACTGGATTATATGAGATAAGGCTCCGGCTTGTTCTTCTGTCAGCACATGCAACTACCAGCCTAGCTCCTCAGCACCACCACTCTCTACATCCTGCAGCACCGTCTCCTGCTCATGCTCCAGACTCAAGTTTTGAAACAGAAAGTCTGAATACCCCCCTTCGATCAGTCGCAGCAGCTCCTCCGCACCAACACGCTCCTTCACCGACATTGCCAGCCCGGCCATCATACACTCGTTTAGCGTGTCCGAGTACCGCGGGCTCGGCCGGCACTTGCGCAACGCAATCGCCTGCCTGTCGTATCCGAGATCGGGGTCCGAGAGACTTGGGACAACAGCGTCCACCTCGAGGTTGATAGGGACGACTCGCCTTGGGGTCTGGGAGGCCCAGTAACTCTTTCTGAGCGTCTCGGGCCAGCTCTCAGAGTAGGGCGCGTGTTTGTTGTGCAGGAACCAGCGCGCCTGCGTGACGTCTGGACTCACCAGCGGCCCGAAGTTGTGCGCTAGCTCGTGCATGATGGCGGCGATGCCCCAGATATCGCTTGCGGGCGTCAAATACTTGGTCTCCCATTTCACCTCAGGCGGCCAGTAGTGCGTGGTAGCAATGTAACCGTGGGGATTTGGGTTCGCAGGATCGTGGTAGCCCGCCATGCCGAAGTCGCCCAGTTTCAAGTCAATGTCGGACCAGTCGTCTTTTGCGCCCAGGCTCTTGACCAGTATGTTTTCGAATTTGATGTCCCGGTGCGCAACGGTGCGCCACTTGTCGCGGCCCGTGGGATGCTGCTCGTCGATACCGTCGTGCAGGAAGGCAAGGGCGCCTGCCAACTGGCGGTAAACCGACCACATGAAGGCTTCTGAGAAGACAAATACATTCTTCTCGACGCTGAGCACCCGCACCATGAAGAGGTCGCCATGCGGACAGTATTCAAATAGGATCGATACCTTATCTGGCGAAGGTTGCTTCTCGTAGAAGCCCAGACACCTAATAATGGACTTGTGTGCAGGCAGTTCTTGCAATATCTGGACTTCCGCCGGCTTCTTTTGCTTGCTGCCAATAATCACTTTTACAGCGACCACGGTATCCGAAGCCACGTGTGTCCACTGCTCGATGAACCCCTGCGATCCCTTTTGCAGCTGCCGGTCGAATCGGTGCGCTTTGGGAAATCGCGCGGACGGGTTCTCCGGATCCGGTAGTATGCGTGAGTCGCGCCGTTTGGGGAATGAGCACAGGTTAAATGGCATTGTTGCTGTTGCTGTTGTTGTGCGCAAGTGGGCTGCCGAGTGCGCAGGAAGTTGTGACAAGTGTCGGTCAGAGCTGGAAACGGCGTGTTTCTACTATATCCAGGTGAGTCTAATGGTTTCTGAGAGAAGGCGAGTGTGAATGGCGGTGTTCTTTGTTGCCTCCTTTGTCGTCCCTGGAACTCGGGGGAGAGAGCGTTGAAGGGCTGCGGACTCACCACGCCATGGCCGCGCTGCTGTGAATCGCAGTGACTGTGCGCTCCAGCCTTGTAGCCTGGACTTTCGGTGTGAATACTGCTGCTGCATTTGCTGTGCGTTTGCGTCAACGTCCGAGACTCGGAGGGGAGGGCCTAGGCAACAAGTTGGTGAATGCACTGGGAAACTCACCACCAGCATGCATCAATACATGGTATGACGCCCCTCGTAGCCGCATGTCGCTCAATCAGATAAACACTTCTCTTACACATCGCCTCAGAAGCATATTTCTCGCGGTTTTGTTCGTTTGTGACTTTACTTTACCCGTTCTCCCCCTCCCCTATTCTGGCGCGCAAAACTATCCATGAGGTGTGGGAAAGTGGGTCTTTTATACATAACTGTGGGTATGGCGTTCCTCCACCCCCTCCACTAAATGCATGCGAAATCTGGAGATGAACCCTACTTTACTCTAACTTTAGTTCCTGGGGTAACTAGACAATCCTTGCGGCGAACACGTGCATACGTCACTGCTGATCATTATCTTGGCTCCCATATCAGTGTGGGTGCGTGTCACGCCCAGCAGGCTAGGAACGTGGGCAGGATTCCAAAAGAGAGAAGAGAGAAGAAAAAGCAACGGTTTGGATCGCCGGACAAACCATGTACCCTGGTGTTGATCACGTAATGCTATCTCCACGGTAACGCGGGATGAACCATTGTTCGTGGTGCGAACGCCCCCCCCCCATTTCTCGATATTTGTTGGTTCGCACGGGATGGGTGGTTGGGGGGCATGCTGGGTATGTGGAGAGGTGGGGGATATATTAGGATGTTTTAGATCGTGCAGAGATGTATTGTGGAGCTGGACTGACTTGTGATGTGTGGTTGCAAGTACAGTAAGTGGCAGGTCCTTGATGTATGGAGGCGGTAGGAGAACAGCGCTTGTATTCGCTTCTAGGGGAAAGTGTAGAGCGGGATTCATGCAGGGAGTAAGTTCAATAGACTATCAAAGCAAGTTCAAGCTCGATAGAAAAAAAAGAGAGAATGTTGGTACGGACAGGTTCGTGCGTTTATTCCATCTCACATAGTACAACAGCACGTCACTGGCTTGAATAAAGCATTCATCAACCAACGATCCAAGTATCACAATCATCTCGAGTTCTTCCTATCAGTATCACATAGATAAAGTCTTCCACACCACCGTAGCACACCAATCCATATGCAAATCAACATCCCCACGCGGCATCCCTCATCTCAAACTCGGCCATCTCAGCCACAAAACGCGCTTTATCCTTTCCACACGTCTCGCCCACAATATACAGCGTAGCATCGATGCCCGACGAGACGCCTGCGGCATTCACAATGCGAACCCCCGCCTCAGTCGCACCAGCATCCACATAGCGCCGGCGGACAACAGTGACGTTTGCATGGCCGCCCGCCGCCTCATCCGCGAGTTTCGCAAGCAGCCCAAGCGAAAGATGGTGCGTGGTAATGGTGCGACCGGCAAGCACACCCGATGCCGCGAGGAGCAGCGCACCCGTGCATACGGACTGTAGGAACCTCATCCCCGTCTCGGGCCGCGGCTTGCTCGCCGCAAATGTCTTGATCAACTTCAGCAGCTGCTTTCCCTCGTCGCTTGCGATCAAGTTCAGCACCGTGGAGTCGAGTCCACCCGGGATCACGAGGATGTCGTAGTCGGTGATTTGCGCGGCCATGGCGCTAAAGCTCATGCTGGGCTGGTATACTAGTGCGGGTGAGCCCGATGCCACGGCGTTGCTGTGGGCAAAAGAGCTCACGATGAAGGGGGTCGCGCTGTTCTCATCCAAGTCGTGTGTGTGGCTGTAGATTTCTGTTGGGCCTGAGAAGTCCAGGACGTCGGCTTGTGGGTAGAGGTAGACTGCTACTTTGAACTGAGGCATTTTTTGGAAGGGGGGGTTTTTTTTTTCAAAAAAAAAAGAGAGAATTGCTTGAGGGATACGTGTGAGATTGGATTTGGTATGGGAAGTAGATGATATGGATTGTTGTTGTTGCTGCTGTGGTGGTCTTCAGGTCGCCTTTTTATGTCGCTGTGTTGTGTCGGATCGGATCAAGAAGTGTGATCCGGCTTCCGTGCTGCCAAGGCCAACCACCTATTGTTGGCTTTTTTTGCACCACGGTGAGAGTTGGAAGTCAGCGATTCACTTTCCGTTGGTTTTGGGAGAGAAAGGACGTTGTAGTACGATTATGTGCTTTGATTGGCTTTGTACATTCAACTACAACACTGTATGCGATGATCGACAAGGATGTGTCGTGCGAGGTTGAAGCGTGTAGACTAGCGAATGGTCGATGACAACAGTGCAATTATATAAGTGCACAGCCTTATGCTATTAAGCTATTGGATAAGTATTGATTAGAGTAATGTAGCTCAGCAATGTCACTAAGTCGCTGTGAGAGTCGTCTCTCCTCTGAGTCCATATCCTTCTAGCTGACATAATACGATGAGGGTGATAATAGTCAGAGTACTGCGGACCAAAACAAGAATCAGCAACTCTTCAATAATATAGGTTTCGACTGGTAGATCTCTCGTGTCTGCCAAAGGCAGGCATGTCGATTATTGCAGGAATCCATAACTTAGCGATTGCGATGATGTTCAGCACGACATGCTGGTGCCGTTGGATCTCGACACAGCCTTTTCAACTACCAATCCTCTTTACACTACTTCGTGAAAGCCGCTGTGTCAGTAATTCGAAGCCACTCATAAGATAAATAAATAAAACCCATCACTTTCACTGGGCCACATTTGTTGTCTAGGAGTAGTGTCTCGCTGATCGAGGCAATGCCAGTTTCGCGCAGCAATATATATTGACAAGAGGCAAAGCAAAAATCTCCCAGAAACCTGCGAGCCTGGAAAGAGTGACCTGAATAGGTAAAGGCCATGTTACTAATGCATTCCTTTAACCCGGAAAATTTTGACATCAAGCTCAGTAGCGGATGCAAGTATGACACGGCCGAGCGTTTGACAAGTGGATTCTGGCCCAGCAAAAGCGGATGCTTTGGAGCAGCATCAGCCCTATCCATCTAGGCGGTTTTTCTAGAAGACAACAGGCGCAATTTCGACGTCAGTGTGGAGTCTGGCAGTGATGCTGATTGTATGTTGCAAGACACTGGCTCGTATGCCTAGATATATGTCTCTGAGACCGTCGGCCCACACGCTTACCCGTCTCTGATAGTGGCGAAGCACAAGGCCTGAACCGGTCAGAGTATCAGGCGCATTGATAAGGCAGATGAGCAGCCAAGTTTCTGGAATCTGCCTCGAAGCTGTCCACGACGCACAGCCTTGGGTCTATGCGTGCATCGGGCCGCCCTCGTGAAGCGTTAGTCCCAATACTGCGGTCACAGGCCCTTGGCACCTGATAATGGACGGGGATTCCGACCAGTCGAGCCCACGAGGCGGGAAACATGTACGGCGGTTGCTTGACGCCTGGCGTACCTGGAACCTGGGTTACACCTACTGCCGGCCAACCCTAGACGGCATGCAGGCGTATCTATGGCCCGACTGCCTCGATGCCACCGGCCAGGAAGACTCGAAATCCCTACCGTTTGCCGATAGTTGTTGGTCCCCAACAGTCATGGCTGGAAAAGGAAAATCGGCAGCTTGCTTATTCGAGCAGGTCATGTGTATACTTAGGGCGTGCCTTCACGACGCCTCGAGGCTGACTTGGCAAGGCAGGAAGCCAGGTGTTGCCACGGCTCGTGACCTCAGCGTGTAGTTAAGCCGACCCTTTCCCGTGCAACGTTATCACAGCCTTCATCTTAGCCTACGCGGGTGGCCGCCATTGCCAAGGCGTTCGCGCCGCCAGCCAAGCTTCGCCCGACATGCAACAGACGACCAAGACTTTGCGCTCCTCCACACGCCCTGGGGTTGTCGTCCCCCACAGCTTTTTCTTGCCCATGCTCGACCCAACCGCAGCCGTCTCCTCGAGCAGGGACGGCGATATGAGCCCTTGGCACAGGATGCCGTGCTGCCGAGCCTGGTTGGCCTAGCCGGCAGTCGGCACGCAGCGTCGTCTGCAACCTTTCCAGCTCGCCGTAGTCGCCAACATCGCCAACAGGCCCAAGGCTTTTTTCGCCATGCCCGGGCGCTGAGAACAGCCTGCTCGCAATATTCTTGAACATCCTCCCGAGCCACAGACGCGCGCCCGGCGAATCAGCGCCCGCTCCCAGCGATAGTCGGCCCCGCGTGATAGGCCGGGTGAGGACCAAGGGCAGAGGCGGTGCCAGAATATCGTATCCTCCCCAACTATTGGTAACAGAATCGTTATCTCTTGGTAGTGGTAGCCTTGCCACGAAATGATGCGCGGAGCAGCCGACGGGGGCGGGGAAGCTGTATAAGATATGCCCAAAAGCATGCGACCGGTCCTGAGGGGTTCTAGGTTCAACCGTTGCTTTTACCACTCGCTCGGAAAAAGGGGGAAAGATACACTTGTCCAATTTTTTTTATTTTTCTCGCCGTCTTTCCCACACTGGTTGCTTGCGATGGGTGAAGTCGAGGCTAAAACGGGCGAGGTCGAGCGCACTGCAAGCGGTAACAGCTCTCCCTCAGACAACGTCATGTCGTCGCCAGCGGTGGCGGTTGAGGAGAAGAAGACCTTCTGGCAGAGGGTCAAGACGCCGGGTTCAGTATGGCAAATCATCTTTGCCGCTCTTCTGGCCATTGCCATTGGACTCGCCGTCACCACCACCGTCGACGAAGTACCAGAGGCTGCGATTGCGATTCTGGGAATCCCGGGGAACCTATGGCTGCGCGCCCTGAGGGCAGTTGGTACGTGCCATGGTGTTTACTCGGATTGAGATCAATGTGCTAACAAACATAGTCCTTCCTATGATTGTGACTGCAATGATCATGGCGGTCCAGCGCCTGCGCAACATGACCCAAGGAGGTGGCGCGGCCGGTAAACTCGCTCGCTGGACAGTCGGATACTATGTCCTCACCACTATTCTTGCTGTTGCACACTCTGCTCTGCTCGTCGGCCTCGTGTGGAGCAAGCTGTTCAACGTAGTATCGGGTAGTGCGCTGGAAGTCGACGAGGCCGACCAGGAGTCCTTTGACGAGAGAAAGGACACCGAGATCCACGATGTCGTTGTAGACATGTTCTACTCGCTCGTCCCCAACAACATTGTCAACGCACTGGCGACCGACGCCCTCCTCTCGGTGCTCATCACTGCCATTGTCCTCGGCTACGTCATCAAGCCCGGAGGCGCCATCTACCGGGCCATCGAGGAAGTCGAGGTCATTGTCCTCCGCGTCATCACCGTCTTGATCCACCTCGCGCCAATCGGTGTCTTCTTCCTCATCATGCCCAACTTGTTCCGCCTTGACATTTCCGAGATTGGCACCAACCTGGGTATCCTCATTGGAGGCACGCTCTGCGGCATGTTCATCCATCTGTTCATCGTCATTCCAATCATCTTCTTTGCTATTACCAGGAGCAACCCGTACACATTCTGGTTCAAGATGAGTCCTGCCTGGATTACCGCCTGGGGCACTGCATCCAGTGCTGCAACCCTGCCCGTTACTATCCGTTGCATCCTGAAACAGGGCATTCCCGTCACAGGTCAGTTGACAAGACAAATTGTCTGTCCGTCACCCACTAACGCTGCACAGTGACCAAGTTCGCCGCTCCCCTCGGTTGCTTGATCAACATGGACGGTACCGCCATCTACTTTCCCATTGTCGTCGTCTTCCTCGCCGCTACCCAGGGCATCACGCTCAACGCCGCCAACTACATCATCATTATCCTGCTCTCGACCCTGGCCTCTATCGGCACAACACCCATCCCTAGCTCCAGTCTGGTTCTCGTCGTCATGATTGCCACAAGTGTCGGCGTGCCCATCACAGGCATGTACGCCGTCGTCATCGCCATCGACTGGTTCCTCGACCGTTTCCGCACTGCCCTCAACATCAGCTGCGACGCGTTTGCCGCAAAGATCGTCACGCACATCACCAAGATCAAGGACGAGGAAGGCGTCTCGTACGACGAGGCTGAAAATGTCGATCCCAACTCTCTGGGCCGTCAGGACGATGCCAAGGTCTAACTGAAAAAAAAAGCGAATTTTTTTTTCGAGTCATCTGTTTTGGATTGCAAGCAGTGCGATGTCTAGATGAATATGTAATGCCATTTTCTTTCCCTGAGACCCATATGCTGGATTCTGCTGCAGTGATGATATCGTTAAATGGGGCGGGGGGGGGGCCATACGTGATCCGAGTACCTGTTACAAAATGCATCAGCGATAAAAAAGCCCATAGACTACTCACCACCACCACCACCACCACCACCATCTTCGTACTATACCGCGCGGTACAAGCATACTCACATCTTGTGACTATCATCCCCATGCCCCCCTGTGCCTGCACATATAAGCACAAACACTCCACATCAACATTTCCCTGTCAGATAAAATACCATTCCTTTCCTCACCTTTCCCAACGCGCAGAATCCCCGCTTCCAAAACATTCACTGCATGGCGAGGATATCAACAGCACCGCTTACCTGGTGCATACCTCTGGGGATAGTAATGTAAGGGGGTAGTACTTGTTTTGTATTTTGCATACAGCTAGAGTAGAATAGAGTAGAGTAGAGTAGAGTAGAGTAGAGTAGAGTAGAAGAAACAGCGCGGCTGTGTCGGTGATGATATACTATCAAGAGTTTACGAGGAATAATGGTGTGGGACTTGCGATATATATGGTTGTGGCTGTGGCTTTGCGTGTGTATGTATGTATGTATGTATGTCCTTTATACTGCACCACTTGCTGTACGCACGCAGGTAGTAATGCTCGTCGTAGTTAGTCCCCGGTAGTCAATAATGCCTACTAAGTAAATCCCCGGATATATCGGAACTCTGCGCTATTATTATCATTACTCTTACTTCGAGCTCCTACAGCGTACACGTGCCTGTGCATGTGTTTTGCGCGGCAGCCCGGGGGGCTGCGGGACGGAACGGGCCGGCCGGCTGGCCGGAGAAGAGGGAACCTGGTAGTCCACGCTGATCGTATGATGAGTGCATTTTTTCTTTCTTGGGATGGCTGTGTGAGAGAGTCGAGATGGGTATTGGTTCATTGGTTGTGGTAGGCGGAGGGGTATGGTAGGGGGGTTGCGGGGATAGGGTTTGCTGGGTTGGTTGGGGGAGGGGGTCAAGGAGGCAGTTGTGCTGTTTCTGCGGAGGAATGTAAGAGGGTTTATGTGTTTGTCGTTTGGAAGTTGTAGAGGACAATCAGGACGAGGAGTTTGGTGTGGAGTGAATCGGAGGACCTGCTCTTGCAGCTCATCATGTAGCCCCGTTGTTCACGTCCTAAAACTATCCCTGGTCAGTGCATGGGATTTCTGGTAGAAACTAGCATGGCACGTTGCATTGCTGACGAACGTTCCTGAACTTTTGGGTATCGAATATCCAGACACGCTAATAACCGCTGATTACGCTATGGACGAGGAAGGTGTCCATGTCAAAAGTCCGTGAAATTATAAAAGATTACTCCGAGTCTTCACCTGTGCTGTCTTCATTCTTATCACCACCGTCGTCGCTCGAGTCAGCATCGTCATCTTCATCGTCATCGTCATCGGGTCCACCCTCCTCTTCACTGTCATCCTCAAACACGATCTTTTGTTGGGGCACGGGTCTAGCAGCAGCTCTTCGACTCGGTCGTCCAGTGGCTGTGACATCGTTTGTCTTTCCCCAGGCCAACTCGCCCTCTTTTATGGCCTCCAAATCCTTTTCAAATTCTCGCTTTTCTTTGATCTTGGCAGCCTTTTCGTTGGAATACTTGCCGTCCATGCCGACATCGTTGAGCCAGCCTTTGAGGACGCGAATCTTTTCTTTTGACGTGTCGCATTTTGCGAGTTCAGGGTCGCGCGACCAGACTTTGCGGATGCCGCATTTGACCAACCAGCCTTGGAGGCGCTTGACCTCTGCAGTGTCGGGGTCGTCTTCGGCTTTGGATTTGGAAGCTGCCTTTGCCTTTGCCGGGGCTTTCTCCTTTTTGCCCTTTGCTGCTGGTGCTTTTTTCTTCTTCTTGACAGGCTCTTCGTCTATGACGCTGGAAAGTTCACTTTCGGATATGTCTCCGGCGGTATCTGGCGCCTTTGCTGGTGTTGCCTGTGGCTCACTCTTGTCCTCGGCTGGGGCGCTAGGCTTGGACGCAGGCTTGGGCGCTGGTTTGGGCGCCTCCTCCTCATCTGAGTCTTCGGCGACAACCTTCTTGCCTTGGCGCGCAGGTTTCTTTGGTGGTTCGCTTTCGGCATCGGATACTTCAGCAGGGGGGTCTGAAAGGTCTGCTTCCGACTCTTCGGACTCGGTCTTTGCGCGCTTCTTAGGCTTTTTAGTCGGGGCAGTAGCTTTGCGCTTTACGCCACGAGCGCCCTCGGTGGTAGCCTTGGTCTTTTTCTCAGCCGGCTTTGCTCTGGGCTTGGGCGCAGCCTTCTTCGGGGTAGGCTGCGGCGAGGGCTCGTCACTGCAGAACTTTTCCTGGGTTTTCTTAAATAAGGAATCGATTACTGCGGCTGCTGCTACCGACCACGGCGTCTACAATTGTCTTCTGCGACCTGTCCTTCCAGCTGGCGTCGCGCTTGAAGAAGCCGTCGTCGAGTCCTAGCTCCTTCTCGGCGCGCGCACGAACGCGCTTGACAGTCAGGTCGTCCGTCTTGCCCGACTTGTGTATGGCGATGACCACGTCGCGCAGCTTGCTGGCGATTTGCGCGTCAGAGGGCGTGTCTCTCTCGGAGCCCGACATGACTGGCGGGTGGGTATTGGGGATGCTGGTTGATGGGTGACAGTAGCGGTACGCGTCAGGCGCGACGGCGTGGGGCATAGCTTGCCGCTGGGGCACGTGACGCGGGTAGTTGGGTCGAGCGGCATGGCGGGGTGCTGCAAGACACGGTGGGACGCAGGCGGCCCCCTCCCCCTCGGGCTGCACTGCTGCTTTGGACCAGAGAAGATAGCTGTGGCGTGCATGCTGCTGAGGGCGAGCTGGGCGCGTAGGTGAAACTTGCGCAGACCAAAGTACTGTATGTGGACGTGTGCTGGTGCTGTCGACGGGCGGTGGCATCGAGTCAAGACAGCCCCGCGCAGCTCCACGACCGACGTCACCCCCAGCCCCGGCCAGGACAGCAATTCGGCTTTGCCAGGCTCGCTCGCTCTCTTTCCCCATCGCCCCTCGCCCGTCGACGCCCAAATTGCATACCGCCAGTCCAGCCGCGCCTTGAATCCTAGCCTCTTCGCACGTTAGCCCTGGTCGCGCGCTGCAGCTGGCCTGGTCGAGCCCCATCGCCGTCGCCCGCACCAGTCGTGAGCTCGGAACCTGCGAGAAGCCCACCTGCACCGTTGCGGGCCCTGGTCTATTATCATTCTTTCGTCACCCTGGCACCGCGATTAAAACACCCACCTTCCCCTCGTGCGCCCGCGAGCTTTCATCGGGCCCCCTCCTCTGCATGCGCCTGCTGCTGACCTGGCCTGACAATAAACACCGCAAATAAATCTTCGGCGCCAGCAGCTCGGCGCCTTGGTTCCCCTCTACCACCCCCACTACCCTCGCATCCACCACCTGTGCAAACACCGCAGCAATGTCTACCGAACCCACCAAGCTCGTGACGCCCGAGGCCTCAGAAGGGCGCCTGCTGCTCGTCTCGAACCGTCTGCCCATCACCATCAAGCGCTCCGATGAGGGCAAGTACGACATGTCCATGTCCTCGGGCGGCCTGGTCAGTGGCTTGAGCGGACTTTCAAAGACGACAACCTTCCAGTGGTATGGCTGGCCTGGGCTCGAGGTGCCCGAGGACGAGATCAAGGGCCTGATCGACCAGCTCAAGGACAAGTACAACGCGGTGCCCGTCATGCTCGACGACGAGCTTGCAGACCGACACTACAACGGCTTCTCAAGTGAGATGAACCTGCCCAGCTGCAGCCTGTCCAGCACTAACCAGTCCCAGACGAGATTATGTGGCCGCTCTTCCACTACCACCCTGGTGAGATCACCTTCGACGAGTCGGCCTGGGACGCATACACCGAAGCCAACCGTCTGTTTGCAAAGGCTGTTGCAAAGGACGTACAAGACAATGACATGGTCTGGGTGCACGACTACCACCTGATGCTCATGCCGTCTATGCTGCGAGAAGAGCTTGGCAACTCGAAAAAGAATGTCAAGATTGGCTTCTTCTTGCACACGCCCTTCCCTAGCTCCGAGATCTACCGAATCCTGCCCGTCCGTAACGAGATTCTGCTCGGTGTCCTCCACTGCGATCTCATTGGATTCCACACGTACGACTATGCGCGCCATTTCCTGAGCAGTTGCTCTCGAATCCTGTACGTTTCTCCTGAGCGGTTTTGTACTTGACTAACGCATGGCAGTGGTCTGGCTACGACACCAAACGGCGTTGAGTTCCAAGGCAAAGTCGTAACTGTCGGCGCGTTCCCCATCGGTATCGACCCCGAAAAGTTCGACGAGGGTCTCCAGAAACCCAAGGTGCAGGAGAGGATAGCGGCCCTGGAGAAGAAGTTCCAGGGCGTCAAGCTCATTGTTGGAGTCGACCGTCTCGACTACATCAAGGGTGTACCGCAGAAGCTGCACGCCCTCGAGGTCTTCCTCACAGAGCACCCCGAGTGGATCGGCAAGGTTGTGCTTGTCCAAGTCGCCGTTCCTTCACGGCAAGACGTCGAAGAGTACCAGAACCTTCGCGCTGTTGTCAATGAGCTCGTTGGTCGCATCAACGGAAAGTTCGGCACGATTGAATTCATGCCGATTCACTTCATGCACAAGTCTGTCTCGTTTGACGAACTCATTGCACTCTACGCAGTCTCAGACGTCTGTCTTGTTTCCTCGACGCGCGATGGTATGAACTTGGTATCTTACGAGTACATTGCGACGCAAGAGAAGAGGCACGGTGTCATGATTCTCTCCGAATTCACTGGTGCCGCGCAGAGTCTGAACGGCAGTCTGATTGTCAACCCCTGGAACACCGAGGAGCTGGCAGATGCCATCCACGACGCAGTCACAATGGGTGACGAGCAGCGTAGCCTGAACTACCAGAAACTCTCAAAATATGTCCGAAAATACACTAGGTAAGCCTCTCGCCCAACCTTATCGGGACCTCGCTAACAACGGGTAGTGCTTGGTGGGGTGAGTCCTTCGTCACGGAGCTTAGAAGGATCTCGGAGGCTCCAGACCGCCAAGTACACTTTGCCAATGTCAGTGTCGCGGGACCTGACGACTCGGCAAAGACTGCTGAAGAATAGACTTCTGAGCATTTGGCGCGCTCAGTAGCCGACATCGAAGACAAAGAGTCAGACCCCGCTGCCGCCGTCAATGCCCAATAAGGGCTTGCACGGGACGCCTTAATGCAGCTTATGCTTTTACGATGAATGCAATGTCATATGACGGAAGTTCGGCGTGACGGATCGCGCTTGGATTAGACAGTGGCTATGGGTTCTGTCCTTACAGTACCCCCAATTCCTAGATCCTTGTTACCTAGATGCTGCAGTGAATAATGACTACAGCGATGAATTTATACCCTTCCCTTAGACAACACCAGTTCTTTGACAGATGCTGCAGAGATTTTTTTTTGATTGTACATAGGGGTTGGAAACTTTGGATGCTGACATGCTGACACATGTACCAAAAAAACTAACTTTGGTATGAGAAGCGGGAAGATTCATGTCAAGTCGTTCCGACGGTCTGACTGTGATAAGTTGGTGACACCTTCTCTACAAGACACGAACATGTCGCGGTAGCTCATGATGAGCCCATGATCCTGCTACTCGCGTTAGCCAGGTATCACAAAACGGGTGAAAGGTAACAGTGCACGTGCGTAGCAAGTGAGTGCGACTTGGACACAAGACTGAGAGACAAACGGGCGAAATTTGTCTTTGACTTGTCGAACAACAAGGCGTGCTCACCTGCGAGTTCTGTCCTGTTCCCTTTCTTCTTCCACCCACCCACACTTGTATTCCCCACAATCGTCATCTTACCCAGCCATTCCTTACCCGACCATGGAGATCCTCACGCTTACCATTACCCTATCCGGTCTCATCCTGGCGACGCTCTGCTCCGCAGTGCCCCCGGCCATGCTGCCAGCCTGCACACGCTCCAACAACGGCCTCACCGTCTGCGGCTCCAGTCCCAGCTCCCGCAACGACATCTTCAAGTGCAACAACCTAGCCTGGGACCTGCTTGACAGCTGCACTGCTCCCAATTCCGTATGTGAAAACGGCACTTGCACGCTTCCATCTGTGTCTTGCGGAGAAGATGGCGAAACCAAATGCAGCACCACCACCACTACTACTACTACTACTACTACTACTACTACTACTACTATCCCCGCCGCCGCCATCCCCATGTTGCAGCCCGGAAAGCAGCAGGTTCTCGACTCCTCTTCCTCCTCCGGCAGCGATATGACTCCACACCGCATTTCCCCCCGGGACTTGTCAACGTCAGAATCAGATTCAGACACGCTGACGACCGAGGGCTGCAAAGAGGGCCAGCTCAAGTGCATGGCTGCCGATGCCCATGGCCGCAGTGGCGCCGTCTACAAGTGCAATAGCATTGGCTTGTGGAAAATGATTCAGGATTGCTCGCAGTATGAGAGGTGTGTCAGGAGGCCGTGGGCGCATTGTACCTGGATGGGAGCGTATGACGGGAGGGGGAGGTAGGTGGGGATTCTGACTTTTGGGCTTGTGTGGGGAGAAAGGGGGGGGGAGGGTTCTTTGTGGAATTGAGTGAAGGGGGGTTTTTTTCTTTTGTATTTTTGTGGGGGGCTTTTCCTATGTACTTTCCATTGGACTTTCTTATGTACTTTTCAATCGGGCTTTTTCCTATGTCCTTTTTTATCAAACGGGGGGGGGGGTTTTCGGAGGTATGCGCAGTGACTTTGTGCTTGAAATGGTGAGTGTGGCTTATCTTTTCGGGATTTCGTATGAGGTTTCACGAGTCAATACTCGGATTTTTCTTGGGGGTGGGGGTGGGTAGTCTTTTTCTTTTTTGTTTAGATAGCCGTGCCGGAAATGGATATCGAGACTATTGGAAATCAGGTCGAGGGTTTTGTTTTGTGGCTGTGCTGGTAGACTTCGAGGACTTGGTGTGTTATGTGCTGTTTTCTCTACATGTATGTATAAATCATATGAGTATTGCATATAATAATAATTAAGCTGAAATTTTACTTATATCGCTCTACCTTTCCTACTTGGAATATGCACTAAGAAACATACGTCTGCAGAGGCGAGCGTGAAGAAGATGAGGATGGTGAGGAGGATGGGGAAGAAGGTGGTGAGGGGGTTGAGGAGGGCTGTGCTGTGGTGTTAGAGATACTGCTTCGTTCTGTCGTTCTTTTAGAGGAAGAGGGGGGGGGGGAGGTAACACACTCATATTGTATATGCTCGCTGTTGATGTCGCTGTTGTTGTTTGTTTCGAGTATATCTATCGTCACTGCTACGTTAAAAACCACCAAGCGTGGAGTGGTCGGTAGGTTGGCAGTGCAGTGCAGTGGGGGAGAAGAACAAAGAGAAAGCAGAGACAGTAAGCTTTATGCATGTTACCCGAGCGTTTTCTTTGTCCAAATCCTGATAGCGAGGTGAAGGCGAAATGCAAGGGCGGGGCGGTGAGCCCGGGCTCCGCAGTTCGGAGACGGAATCGCTGTTTGCCTTTACTGGCGATGGGGTGAGAGACGTGAATGGATGTATATAAGTGGGGATGATAGTCACTTGCTAGGATAGTAGGGAGATATGGTGGTTAGTGAGTAAATGAAGGACACGAGCGTTGCATTTTCACTATCTTTGTGAAGAAGCAAATCTATGTGGTTCCTCAGCGCCGCCACCAACACAGCCCTCGCGGGCGCCAAAGCCGGTGCGCAACCCTACAACTGCGGACGATGCAGCGACCTGAGCGGCAAGCCCTCAGACATGGTTCTCGGCGTGTGCACGAACGCGCATCCCAACGACACAGGCGTCAAGTATCTTGCGTGCAACAATCAGTGGTGTGGCCTTTGTATGGTGTTTGCGTGAGTCTCTCACTTCCCCTCTTTCTCTCTCCCTAATCATTACGTGTTTTTGTGTTTGTTGCTGCATGGGGATTGGTGGCTGCGGATTGCTAATGTTGTGCTGCATTTAGCGGCCGCGATTGCCAGGGCGATATCCTGATTACGCCGGAGAAGGGGCATGGGTTTCAGAATGCGAGGGGTGGGAAGAGTCATTATTGCCTCTGAGCATGCGCGGGGGGTTGAGGGTTGTGTGAGTGGATGGATGGAAAGGGAATGGAAAGGGGGAATACGAAAGTAAGGCGGAGAAAGTGGCATAGGGGATATGGCCAACGAGGGAGATTGGTTCACTTGAGACTTGGAGTCTTTGACTACCTGTCTTAGCATCAGGAAACGGCCGGCTATTTGGCTGGCGAGAGATTTCTGTGGAGACAAGACACATATTCGAGAATGAATGCAGGCGTGGATGACATCTAAGGATCATGCATATCCATCTTACTGCAAACCCCATGCAATACCCTATATACATATACTACCACACCCTCCCACGCACTTCACACTCCAACCCCCTACATATTCTTCACCACGTACCTCAGCCCCGCCCACATCTCCTCGGCACTCGGCAGAATCTGCTCCTTGGGCAGCACAAACCCATAGCGACCGGTATCCCTCAGCTCGACCGTCATACTGTACGTCGCCTTTGCAACTTCAAACGCGTAGTCGACGCTGTCACCGCTGACCTGGTAAATGGTATTACAAATGGGGCCGCCGGTAAACGTGGTGCCGTGGACGGCTTTGACGGCGGCAATGGCGCCCGTCGTGAGGGACGAGTACTTTGCGGAGTTGGGGATCGCGCCCGAACATGTGTAGCCGTAGGGATACATCCAGAGCTGGCTGTAGGAATGCACGTCCATGTAGAGCGTTATGCCCTTTCCGGCTGCAATGCTGTCGAGATGGGCTTTGAGGGCTTTGGTTTCGACGCCGTCGCCTGCAGAGGGGCCTTTGTAGTCGTCGGCGCAGGGAGAGGTCGATGCGCCGTCGCGCTGGTCCCAGTGCGAAGGCCAGTTGCCTGAGTGAAGTTAGTGCTACTGCGTTTGCATGTAAATTGATTGGGAAATCCTGCTTACGGTTGATGTCGCGGCCTACGCACGAGGCACTGGGTGTCGTCTGCCGGTTCTTGCGCCACATGCGATCGGTGCTCTGCGTGTAGGCAAAGCCATCTGGGTTTACAATGGGGAAAATGTAAAAGTCATATGCATCTTTGAACCCGGCGGTCGTGGCATCCGTCGAGGTGAGAAGCTGGTAGGCTGCGTATTCGACAACCTGGCCTGTCAGTATGGCTGTGTTGAAGTGTGCAGGCATTCAAATTACCATTGTCGTAATCCATTCTCGTGCATGAACGGTACCATGCCAGACGACGCCCTTCTTGGAGCCTTTGCCGCCACTGCCCCAGATGTGAATGCCCTTGATGTCACGGCCTTCAACCGACTTTCCGGCAGAAATGACTTCAGCATTGTTGGGGTACGCGGCCGCAAGATCTGAAATCCATTGCATGTGGTCGGCAATGGAATGGTACGCGTTAAACCAAGTTGCATTTGGCGCGAGACCGGCTAACGTAGACAATTAGTGCCCCGCCCATGAGCTATAGTGGTCGGGGGAAACTATACCGGCATATACATCAAAACTCTGCTCGTTTGCGATAGAGAGGCCAAGGTTGTCGTGCATAAGTTTCGTCTGGAGACCCTCTGTCGATGTTTCAAAGTCCTTGACAGATGACGGCGGAACCATCAGGTCCACAACTTCGCTCGATGCTGGCTTGCCCTTCCAGAGCTCGAGTTGAAGCTTGCTCATCATGTCGCTGATCTTGGCAGCATTGGAGCCGACATTGACACGGAATACCTTCCAGTTGGTGTAGTCGACTGGCTTTGCGACGGTGGCGGCGGAGGCAAGGCCCAGCGAGGCCAGGGTGACGCCGAGAAACTTCATGGCTGCTAGAGGATAGCAATGCAGATGGAGGGAAGCGTGGACAGAGAAAATATCAGTGTCTGAGCATCTCTCTATATACCCTTGGGAAATAACCACATGGCGGAGCCCCAGCAATAGGCCATTGAGTGGAGCGACGTGACCTCCATTCACACCTGCCCAACTGGCCCTGGCCGCTGGCGGGGCAGCAGCCTTGGTTGGGAAGCTGTTTCGACCATATGCGGGAGCAGTGGGAGCATTCGAAACGGTTGGCAGGTGTTTAATATGGCACTGCGAGATAAGCCTGTTGGCAGCTCAAGCCTTATGCGCCCAGACGGTGATCGGCAGGGGATTTACGCCAAGACGCTCACTCAACTGCCACAACGGGTAAGCGTCCACGTTAGCCTATGCCGCGGACGTACGAATGACTACAGCACACCCGCTCTGGGCGTGGCCGCGCTGCATGCCGCCTGTGAAGGGCCTGGCCATGCAATTGGTGCGGACCCGGCGCGAGCTTGCGACCTTCCCCTTCGGCTCTGGAGTACCAGGGAGAAGATGTATAGTGTCGACCTGGAATGGGCTAGCCTGGGTAAAGACTACATGGTAGGATTGTAAGGACATGCCCGTGATTGCAGCGGGAGAGCATACAGTATAGTTTGTAGGCTTGGCACTCGGTGAAGCTTCACCAAGCTCGGCTTTGCTGCGAGCCTTAGCAGAGCATCTATTTATCAAGGGTGATACACGTTGACTGAACGGAGTGGCATTACCATACATGACATGGTGTCAGTAGATCGATGTCAGTAGATCCAGGCTGACGGGGAATCTACACATTCAACTATCTCTCTAAGCTATACATACACCGATATTCAATTTGTCGACGTTATTTTATTATGAGATACCACGACGATTCGATTGAAATATCAAAAAAGAACGTACCCAGACACAACGGTACTATTCCCTCTTCAGACCAACCTTGCCCGCCTTCCTCAGCCCTACTACAGCAATCACCATGCAAACAACCATGTACGCAAACATGAGCCAGTAGCTTGCTCTGTAGCCCTTCAACACGGCTCCCTCATCCTGTCCCTCAAATGCACTCCCACTGACAGAGCCCTGAATACCCAACGCCACAACCTGACAACTTCCCATCCCCAGGCTCATCCCAAACTGTGCCACAGTGTTGAACACAGCTCCAGCCAGTGCCTGCGTCTTCTCAGGAAAGCTGTCGCTGACAATGATGAGACCGACCGTGAAGAGCACATCAGCGCTGAACGGGGCAAAGATTTGCGCCCAAAAAGCAAGTTTCCAGTAGCTCCAGGCAGGGGGGACGAGGGCCATGAGAAGGGGCGAGAGAGCGCAGATGAGAGCTGAGCCAGCGACCAGCCAGCGGGCGGGAACGCGGTGGATGAAGAGGCCTACGAGAATGTTGATGAGGACGCCAGTGGTTAGGTTTGGGAGGAGATAGAGGGATGTCGTCAATGTGGAGGCGTGTTGGATCTCTTGAAAACTATTGCTTTAATCAGTGACTGGGGGTTGTACCAATAGCAACGTACTACTTACTAGAGGCTAGAGAAAAGTTCAATCGAGTTCATGACCCCATAAGATAGTGCGACCATGATGCATGTGCTGGTGAAGGGGAGGTTTCTCCACAGCTTGTTTGGGACCAGAGCTGGTTTTCCACGGCGTTCGCGGTAGTGCATCCACACTGGAAAGGCGGCGAGAAGCACGACACTAATGGCAAGGAGAGAGGCTGTCTCGGCTGAGCGGACACTTGCAAGATCTGCACTGATGATACTAAATATCGTTAGTAAAAGGGAACGAAGCGCAGTAGCATGTTGAGACTCACGCGAGGACGTAGGCAAGAATCGCCAGTCCTCCGCTGGAGATGATACCGCCAATCCAGTCAATCTCCCTGCCTACCTTTCTGCCCAGAGCGACCATACCATCTTTGTTCTGGGATGGCAGTTTTGGTAATGTCCACAAAGCAGCAACAGCAACAGCCAGAGTACATCCTCCAGCTAGATAGAAGCCCGACCGCCATCCAGCCTTCTCAATCATTATGCCACTGAGGACCAGGCCAACGGCGAACCCTAGCGGCTGACTGAATCCCAGACATGCAAAGCCCAAGTTTCTCGGTCTTCCAGACGGCACAGCCTCTGTGATGATAGCAACCGAAGCCGGCAAATGCATCGCCAGCGCAATGCCTTGCAGAGCACAGAAAACAACGAGCTGGGCGCCCGACTGCGCGAACCCGCATGCCAGTGTAAGAACACCAAGAAGTGCGATTCCGGTGAGCTTGACGGGCCTTGGTCCAACTATATCGGCAATGGAGCCGGCGATGAGCAATGCGGCGCCTGAAGTCAAGCCATATACAGACGAAGGCCATAGGTAAAGAGAGCGTTCGAGAGAGATGGAACGTGCTATGATGGGAAGACCGACAGTGATGATGCCATTGGTAAAGCTGGCTATGAAGCCTACAAAGGACGGCGTGAAGATTGTGAAAAAGGTACGCAGAGTGGTGGATCTCGTGGACGACGTAAAGGACTCATTTTCAGATTCCCTAGTATGGGAAAATGATATTTCTTGAGAAGGCCTTGATGGGTAGGGAATCGCGTCAGGCTTTGTCCATGTTTGGAGTTCTAGGGCTTCAGTCGCAGTTTGTGTGGCCATCTCTCAATCCCCCAGATGTTGTCTTTTTGGTGCAAGTACAGGTACACTTGTGAAGAGAATTGGGATTTTTATATGGTTTTGGTGTTCAGCAGGCTCGTCGCAGGCCCGTCGATGAACCAAACTGTTCGATGACTAGCTCCACGCCCTATGGCCATGGACATGTCAAAAATCATTGGCCACCCAAAGTAGAGTGTAGAAAGACAAAGAATGAGCGCCTAGCAATTCTATCAGACTTTGAGATTAAAATGGCATGCATCTTGCCATGGCATTGGCGTGGCGCACGACGTCCAGCCTCATCACGTGACCAATGTGAAGATGGTCCAGACACAGCATCGAGCTTGCAGGGCCGAAGAGATGGGTACACCAGGGGCTTTTTCTTGTGCAGAGCCGCGCATCGGCAGCGGGAATGTGTATTCATGTTGGTCCAAAAACGAATTATGGGGCTCTGCGAAGTATGTAAGTATGCTGCAGGGGCCGGCGCGCTACGTCCCCATCGCGAAAGAGCGGTCGCTGGCGGCGACAGCGAAATCAACCAATGCAGGTCGCGCGGCCATGATTGGCACAATGGACTGTATGGAGATGCGATGCCACGGTCTATGCGCGCGCTCTCGATCAATTGAGGGTTGCCGCGTGGCAAAGGTGTAGCCGGAAGCGCGCTGTTGCTGCATCAACCGATTTGTTTGGGGGTGACGTGACCGCCTCGCTTCCCCAACCTCCTCCTAACCACCTGCATTTGTGCCCACCAGCCACTCCACTAACCCGCCATTCAGCCAAACCAAAAGTCGCCGGCGAGGCCAGCTGCTCTCCCAATCCCCACAACCACTCAAGCTACCCATTCTTATTTTGCTAGAACCCAGCCTGACTGTTCTGCTGCCAGTTACACTCGCTGCTCGCCGACCCATTGCGCATTGGTGAGAAGACAAACACCGTCCACTCTCGCCCACCATGGCGCCCCGTCCTGAGATTGCCGCCGATGGCCAGGCTCTCTCGCCCATAGCTATGCGTGCCGTGGAGCTCGCAAAGTCCATGGTGAAGCGGGACTCGCAACCATACAGAGAACTGGCTTCGGCCGGAGCACGCCCGCCAAACGATCTCGCCGGCCCCGGTTTCCAGGCCCTCTTCGCTCTCATTGGTATTGGAATGGCCATGTTAGCCATTTGGTTCTTCTTCTGGGCCAAAAACGGTGGCTTCAAGTGGCGTGAGGGCGACTGGGAAGACTACAAATCGACCGTGCTGCGACGCAAGGGACCCGACGGCAAGACTCTCTCCAACGCTACCAAGAGCACAAGGCTCGGAGGTGGCAGTGTCGTGCATGGCGGCAGCTACTTTGGTGCTCAGAGCGACCTCGGCTACACGGACGAGACAGGAACCACCGTCACTACCAGCGACCACCGCGATGCTGAGAAGGGCCAAGCCGGCCTTCGTGGCGGAGACGGACGCAGACACAAGAAGCATCGCCGTGACCACACCAACGACTACAACGACCCCGAACTGCGCCAGTACCGTGAGGAGAAGGCTGCCCGTGTTGGTGGTCTGAACCGCGTCGGCGATGGCAAGTACACCGACTACTCTGGCTCCCAACCCTCTGAAGTCGGTAGCTCCCACGTCTCCAGCGTCGCGCCTCTCGTCCAGAAAGAAGCCAAGGACCCTAAGAAGGAGGCCAAGGCCAAGGAGCAACGTGCAAAGGAACGCATGCGCAAGGCCAAAGCTGCTGAAAAGGAAGCCGCCAAGAAGGAAGCCGCCGAAGCCAAAGCCCGCAAGGAAGAGCAAAAGGCCGAAGCCAAACGCGCAAAGGAAGAGCAAAAGAGGACCAGGAAGATGATCACGGCTGCCCCCTCTGAAGCTCCCGAGATGGCCGAAGTCAACCGTCCCATGATTGAATACCACTCGCCCCAGTCGGACTACACACGCGCATACACCGAGTCCACCGCCCCCTCTGAAGTCACGTCACCAACACGCGCCCCAACCCGAGGCAGAAGCAACAAGGCTCCCTCTGGTCCCCGCCGTGCTCCTCCCTCTGCCGCCTACTCCTTCACCACCGGCGACGACACGGAAACCGTCTACACGGGCGTCTACACCAACGACGTTGACAACACTCCCGCTCCCGCTCCCGCCCCGGCTCCTGCTCCCACACCCAAGAAAACCCGCACCGCTCCCTCGGAAGCCGCCGAATCAAGCTACTACTCGGACTACCGTCCCAACGCCGATCCCTCTCTCTACACGGACCCCAACAAGCACGCGCCGCGCTCCCGCTCCAGACGTCCCTCTCAAGACCGTGCCTCGCGCTCCAGCCGCCCAACTTCGGCGTCGCGTCCCCGTCCCTCTGGCTCCCGCTCGCGCCCAACATCCGAGTCCCAAAGAAGACAGCACCGCTCGTCGCGTCCTGCGCCGCCCCCATCCGACATCTTTACTACCACCAACGGTGATGCTCACGGCCACATGAGCTACCCTTGCCACATCCCCGGTCTCAGCCAGGCCGGCAGCGTGCACCCCATGGAAAGCGTCTCCCAGGTCGGTGCCCCGTCGAATCGCCGTGACCGTGCTAGCCGCGACGTCATGGACGGGTACAGGCGTGGTGGTGTTAGAGCCGTTGGTCGAAGGGACAGTCTGAGTGACAGCGACTAAAATTATCCCCCCCCCTTGTTTTTTTTTCCCTTTCTTGGTTAACAGCTTGACACATTGCTGATGCCGAGATTGCATCATGTCCCGGCGTCTCTTTTTTTTTCTTAGTTTGATAGAGCGAGTTTTGTGTTTCGTTTCTTTTCTTGGTTTACACTGTTTCTTGATGACATGATGTGCCGATGCTACTGTACATCCTGGTATTGGGCTATGAGACGAAGATGAGATGATGTGAGTCAGTGAGCGAGTGAGTGAGTGTGGGATGTGTGTATACCCCAGTAAAGTAAAGTCATGGAATGGAATGGAACGAGTCACGCTGTATGGCATTCATGTATGTATGTATGTATCTAGTTAAAAACAACATCGATAACCCTGGATTGCGGAATCAATATCATATGCAACTATATTCGCCCTGATGCTTTTCCCCTCCTTTTTTTTTGTATGACCACTACAACACGGAAATAGCATGCATACATAAGTACCTTGATTGTCAACAACCATAAGGAAAAAGAGTAGATTCCATTCTATTCCATTTCATTTCATTTCAATTTTTTTTTCTTCTTCTCTTCTGTTCCTCAGTCTTAGTCTCGGTGTTCGTCTCAGTCTCAGTCTCAGTCTTAGTCTCAGTCTTGATATATATTCCTCCTCTCCTCTCCATCCATATCTCATCTCGCACTTCCTACAGTACTACTTACTTACTACACATGGCAAGATTCAATTAGAGTATAAAAAAAATCCAGCATAACGCAGAAAAAGAAACGCCAATAGAAGAAAACTTTTTTTTGCCAAGACGAAAAAACAAAAACAAAAAGAAGAGAATTTAGGTTTCATAAGCTACATAAACAGAGAGCCATTAACTTCGTTTCGTTTGCGGGGGGGTAAGGAAGAAAGAGGTGATTTTTTTTTGCATGTGTATGTGTATGTGTGGGTGGGTGCGGAGGTGGAGAAATTCCCAGATCAACTGGATTATACACCCACACATACACATACTTTCCCTCTCTCTCTCAATCTCTCCGTCTCTCTCCGCCTCCGTCCTTGCCTTCCTTCCTTCCCTCCTAGTATACTCTCAAGCAGGTGCATACGGCGCACAAGCTACTGAGGCTGCTGTCAAGCAGTATGCTGAGGTCCAGGCTCTGCTTTCCGAGCTCGTCAATGGCAAGGAACCTGCCTTTACTGAGAGTGTTATGAGCCGCCTGGCATCCGCATACGCTACAGACTTGCCTGCCGCTGTGGCATCTGCCCAATCTTACGCCAGCGAAGGCTACGGCGCCGTGACCGACGCAGCTAGCGATGTCTATGCTTCAGCTTCTTCTGTTGTCGGTGCAATCTTCACACCTCCACCTGTTATTGAAGACGTGTTGAGCCAAGCAAGCGCTTCGTTGGACTTGGCTGTTGAAAGCGCCTCCATTGCTCTCTACGGGACTCCCAAGGGCGCTGCCGAGCAAGCCAGCTCATCAGTGGCTAGCGCGTATTCTTCTATCCAATCTCAAGTCAGTGAGAAGCTCTACGGAACAAAGGCAGCTCAGGATAGCTTCGAATCGGCTGCACGCTCTGCCCAAGCTGCCATTAGCGAAGCCATCTTTGGTACATCTACCGCGAGCGATTATCTCGCATCCGTGACCAGCGGTGCTGGTGATGTATACAGTTCAATCTCGTCTGCTGCCAGCTCAGCAGTCTATGGCCCAGAGCAAGGAGCAATGGAGAGCGCCAACCGCCGAATTGCAGACGCCGTTGCAGCTGCCAACAGCCGCATCGCACAGATGTATGCAGCCGTTTCTGGAAGTGCCGAGGACGCTGCCAGCAGCATATCCAGCGCGGCTACACAAGCTACGAAAGCCGTAAAGGACGAGTTGTAAGTCGTCAACTTTGCATGCTTATGAATACTCCAACAGGCGGCCTTGTTGTGGTGGACGTCCACGCTGTTTTAAAAGTTGCAGATGAAATGTGGATATACCAGGAAACCGTTGCCGGTTTTTCAAGCACCTTTAATGGCGATAGCATGGTGCTCGAGGTCCAACCGATACGCCCTTGATCACATTCCTCCTACCCACCTTTTTTTTTCTTTCCTACTCACCCTACCATCTCACACTCGCTATGTCACGATCATCAATGTACCATCATCACTACTATGTATTCTCCCCCCCCCCCCCTATAACTCCAATAGTTCCTCTACCTACTCATATGCAAAAAGGAGAGGCGAGTAGGAAACAAGGGAAATAAGGGAAGACGGGGAGACTCTGCCCAGGGTGTGGGTTGGCCGTACACTTGGCTGCTTGCTTGAGCGATGAGCGCTTCCCAATTTTTGCTGGCCTGGGATGCAACAGACTCAGTCCAGGGAGTCTCTGAACCAATGACACCAGAGCTGATTTGCGAGGCAGCCGACTTTGCTGAGTCGGAGATGGACGAAGCAGCTGATGCAGCCGATGCGGAAGCAGCCGACGCCAGAGACTCCACAGTGCCTTGTTGAGGGCCGTTGATAGCACTTGAAGCCGCACCCATGAATTCAGAGTACCGGGCATGCGCAAGGCCAATGGCTTCGTAGTACTGTCGTCGGGCACCCTCAGCTACCCCGGTTGACTGGGGGAGAAATTGAGCGGATGCCTGGCTAAGACCCTCGGCGAGACGGGAAGAAGCAATCGAGGAAACAGACTCAAAATACCCTTGATTTGGACTAGCAGCATAGTCCTTCACGGACTGAGTGTACTGCATGGCGTTGGACAGACGCTCACTAGCGGCTGCAACAGAGTCCGAGTAGGCCTTCTCGAAGTATGAAAGCATTGTCTGGTGTGCGGGCTGGGGTTCGCCAGAGATCAGGAGAGACAGCTGGGCCTTGGCGTTCTCCAGCTGTGCGCTCGCCATGCTAACAGCTTCATTGTAGCGAGAACTGGCTTCGATCTGAATCGTCTGAATGACAGCAGTGGGAGTTGGTGTGCCGTAAATTGCGTATGATGCCGCGGTGACGGCCTGTGCGTACTTTTCAGCAGCAACGCTGGTAGCACTCTCAACGGCAGCCTGTTCAGTTCCATAGAGCACGCTCGACGCAGCAGCAAGTGCTTTTGCGTACTGTTCGCTTGCAATAGACGAGGCAGATTCGACACTGCCTTTCGTCTTGGACGGACCCAGAAGCGCTTCGCTCACCGCACGGCTCATCTGAGCCGCTCGGTCTCCCGCATCTGCTACCATGCCCTGGAACTGTTTAGAATACGTGTCCTCGTCGTCGTCAAAGGGCTGGTCGAGCACGACCTGCTTAGCTTCGGCAAGGATCTGAGCATTGGCACCTCCGAACACCTTTTTGGGCGATTCATAGGCTTCGGAAGCCTTTGAAGAGCCCTCGTCGACCATGTCAGCAGCTACAGAGGACGCCTGGGACGCTGCCTCTACGACAGGCGCCGCTACGCTCTCTGCAAGGAGGATTGAGCCGCTCTCAAGTGCTTCCGAGGCCTGCGATGATGCACCTGAATAAGCTTCTTGGGCAGATGAGGCGATACTTTCGCTCAGTGGTGTTGAACTGCCTTGGATGGCCTCGGAAACCTGAGAGGATACGTCCTGGACATTTTCCATGACCTGTTGGGCGGCCTTTCGAATTCTTGGTGCAAAGACCTTGTCGGAAAAATCACTGCTGGCATCACCAGCCCAAATCTTCGACTTTGCAACGTCCTTGAGACGAACCAACTCGCCAACCATTTCAGATGCGATAGCCATGGCCTTGTCCTCAAGCTTCTTAGCCTCAATGTGAGCAACGCGGAGACCGTCATGTCTTGACCCGACAGCCTCAACTTCAGCCTGCCATTCAGTGAGCGTGTCTCTTAGCTTGTGGTAGTTTTGCCAGTCGTCATATGTGACACCGTCGATCCATGCCTATGATTCCTAGTTAGCAGCGTTCGTTATACACGCTTGAACCACAACATACCCATCGCATGCCAACCTCTTGAAGGCCAAGGCCATGTATCTTTTCAAGAACCTCGACAGTGCTTTCCACTGCAGCTTTCACAAGAGAATCGGTTTCCTGGTCAAATGACGCCTTCCAGGCACGGATGTCCTGGGCACGCTCCTTGACCTTGAGACCAAATTCACGCGTCTTGGCGCTGCAATCCTGGTACGCAGCCTCTAGATCGGCTTCGGAGGCATCTTCGGGAAGAGCTTCGATTGTTTTCTTGATGTAGCTCTTAAGCTTGGAGACGGTCGCATCAGCAGTCTCTTCGAGTTTGACAAGCAAGGCCTTGCCGTGGCCGTTGACAGAATTTTCAACTTGTCGTTTTGTAAGGTCTGCGACGCGGACCTCGAGATCGTCAGCACCCTTGTCAGCCGCAGAGGCGAATTTGGACTGCCACTCGCGGAGATCATTGTTGAGCTTCTCCTGAAGTTCAGCACCAGTGAGCTGGGGTTGGGCAGGCTTGGTCGCAGTATGTGCTTCAACCTCATTCGATGCTGTGCTTTCAGGTTCGTTGCCAAAGAAGTCGTCAAGGGCACTCCAGCCAGACCCTTGGGTGGAGCTGGGAGGCACAGCAGAGGCAGAGGAGCTGAGCATGGTAGGGACAGTCTTGCTAGATTCTAAAGGGACGTCTGTCTGAGACTTGGCGGCAGACATGACCGACTCGACCTTTTGCTGGTCCTTGTAGCGGCCTAGTCGCTCGAAGATGCGAACCAACTGGGGCTCGACGTTGTCACCATATAGCACGCGTAGTTGTGGCCAAAGGGTGCGCTGGATAAATGTCCAGACCGCATCCTTGGTGGTATGAAGGTGGGGGTAGACAATGTTAACGAGGACATGATGGCCGTAAGCGTGTCCCTGCTCGAGGTAGGGAAGCGAACGCTCGTAGGCCGGAAGAAGGGTTTGGTAGTAGATGTCTTGGGAGCTGTCTTTGAGGTCCTTGTAGTGAGGAGCAATCGCGTCCGTCGCCTTTTTGACGTGAGGGTCTAGGTGTAGCGCATACTGTGCCCAGGCTTGTTCCTGGGCCGTTTGCAGCTGGGGCCGAATGGACCTGACGTACTCGGCCTCTGCATACTTCCTTGCCTGCTCCACCCTGTGTGCGCCGTGTGTTGCGTATTGCTCGTGGGCAAAGGCAATGGCGGGCGCCGTGTATGGCCTGATCTTGTCGAACTGCGGGACCACGTACGTCTCGTAGTAGGGGTCGAGATAGGGCGCTGCGTACGAGCGGGCTTGGAGGTAGGGCTTGCAAACGCGGGGCGAGTCGTCGTGCAGCTGCGTGATGGAATTGGGGCAGCGGAACAGGAGGGTGATGATGAGGTACCACGTTGTTAGCCGTGCCGTCATGCTCGTAAGAGCTCCCAGGAAGGAGCGCCGTGGCTTTGGCGAGCGAGCTGCCCGCGGGCCTGATGCCCTCCCACCCCAGCCCTGTCACATGCAAGCTGGCCTGCTGCTCGACGGGGGGCACACGAGGCTAATCGGCGTTACAGAGCGCCCAGAAGCAACGCAGTAGGGGGGCAACCTGAGGCACTCCCGCCCACACGTTCTCGCGTCGGGCGTCGCGACATAAATATGTACAGGTCGCGCCCGCCTGCAGCAGCAATTGCGCAGTCATCGCGCGGCACCCTGTCGCGCCGCCAAATCCTGATCTGGCTGCCTGCCTGGCTGCCTGGCTGGCTGCCCGCCCGCCCTTGCACGTGCAATTACATCACTGCAGCTCGGTTGTGCTGCCACCCCCCCAGCGCTAAACAGACAGGTTCCCTGGCGTAACCATCTCCATCTTCCCCGTCTACCCAACATCCCAGCAGCCGCCGCTTTTTTTTGCTCTGTCTGGTGCGTAGACAGACTGCTTCGCACCGCTCAAATTTGGCTAACCCCACTGCGCCCAGCTGCCGGCCTGCCATCCACCACGCCCGATTCATCGTCGTCGAGTCGCGACCATGGCCGCCCAGGCCAACGGAAGGGCAAAAAAGTCCAAAACCTCGCCCAACGGCAGTGCCAATGGTTCCACGCTCGGAAGCCCCAATGGCAAAGCCAAAGGCTCCGCAGACAAGACGCAGCTGGGGCCATTGGGGGGCTGTATGGACTAGGTACTGCTGCTGCTACTACTACTACTACTAGGTGTACTGCTGCTACTACTACTACTACTAGGTGTACTACTGCTACTACTACTTCTACTACTACTTCTGCTACTGCACCTACACAGGGTATACCAATGCCAATGCCGGCACTACCAACTACCATACATGTAGTAGCTCGTCCTAGGCCGTCGCCCTCGCCGCGGCCGGGGGGTTGGCCTGCCAAGCCCCGTGCAAAGGGTCCGGCGGTGGCGGCGACATCACCACCACTTCCGTGCGCCGTCGTCTGCCACCACTGCCAACGCTCCCTCAGCACCCGCACTGCGCTTCCCCGCCCCTATTATCCCTCCCCCGATACACATTGCCCCTCCCCGTAATAGTCTGCACAATTCCCCCGCCCTCCTTCACGCTCCCCGCCTGCCTCCTCAGGCCCTACGCCTCCACCGCGCATCCACGCGCGACGTAGCAGCAACCTGTTCGCCCCTCGCCGTGGTTCCGATGCCTACCTGAGATATCTTGCTTTGTGGCTCCTGCCCGCTTACACGACACCCACTTCACTTCTTCCCTCCCATACCCCCCATACATTCTTTTAATACCACCCAGCCATGGCCACCGATGCCGCGCCGCTGAATGCGGGGCCCTTCGACGACCCCCCCGACTCGACAGCAGGCGACAGAGACGAGGCCGACACCTGCCGGATATGCCGTGGAGAGGGCACCGCCGACGAGCCCTTGTTCTTCCCCTGCAAGTGCAGCGGGAGCATTCGATACGTCCACCAAGAATGCCTGATGGAATGGCTCTCGCACACGCAAAAGAAGCACTGCGAACTGTGCAAGACGTCGTTCCGCTTCACAAAGCTATACCACCCCAAGATGCCCGACCGCATCCCCACGACCGTCTTCGTACGCCGCGCCGCCCTGCACGTCTTCAATATGTTTGTGACGTGGTGTCGAGGCGTCCTGGTCGGCGCCGTGTGGCTGTTCGTCCTCCCCTGGTGCATGCGCGTGGTATGGCGCAGCCTGTTCTGGGTCGGCGACGGGGGCTGGTCACGAGACATGTTCATGGAAACGCCCGAGACGCCCGACATGCGCAGGCTGTCGGCCAGTGACCTGAGCATGATCCGCGCTGCCGTCGAGGGAGCCAAGGGCGGAAACACGACGACCAATGTCAAACTGTCCAACTCGCTACTCTCCGTATCCTACACGCCCAACAACAAGACCAACACCGAGTCGATGCTCTGGAACTTTGCCAAACGCTTCTTCTTTGGCGTCCCGTACCCATATCTCCAGCTTTCCCACATCGATCAGCCCAGCCACTTCTCCATCTCGGAAAAGAACACTACGGCATCAAACACCACCTCCAACTTTCTCGGCACTCGCAACCCCTCGCTGCTGTCTGACGTTCCTTTCTTCAACTGGTTCCAGTCCCAGTCGGCCAATCGCTTCATCGTCGATGTAATCGAGGGCCAAATCATCACCTTGCTCGTAGTAGTCGCTTTTATCCTGGTATTTCTGATTCGAGAATGGGTTGTCCAACAGCAGCCGGTAATCAACATGGTGGCTCTGGGCGATAATGTCGCTGCACAACAGGCTGCACTCTTGGAAGAGGACGCTCACGTCGAGAATATTGCCGTTGACGAGGATGAACTGGACGATGCCCTGGATGTTCTACATGCCGAGATGGCCCAAGAAGCTCGCGAGCCGCACAATGCTGACGCGGACGAACCGACAGTGCCCACCAACATTGCCCAAGCCAACGAGCACGACGCATCAGAACCCACGATACGCCGTATTCGTCGTTCTTCTTCGCTTCGTAGGGAGCGCGACGAGGTGGTCCGGCGACTGGTACACGAAGGTTTGTCCGATGATGATGTGACTGCTCAAAACCTTGAAGAGTCTCTTCGACAGGCCATGGGTGCTGAAGCGTCCGTAGACCAGACTCGAGACCATGACGAAGCCAGCAGCTCAATATTCCCTGCACGCACCTCTTCACTTCCCCTGCCCTCAGGCTCAGCGACAGATGCGACCGAGTCTGATCTGTCTTCATCCTGGCAAAGGCCTAACATGCCAGCACGCGACCGCTCCTTCATTGCTACAGAGATCCGTCGCAGCCTAGAAGAAGGCAACACCTGGTCATTCGACAACGTGCCACAGGCATCAGAGCCGGCTACTGGCACTTCCGACATACCAAATTCTTGGGAAGATGATGCCGGAGACCGGCAACGGAATCAAGAACACGAGGCTGTGTCAGACCAGGAACACCAGAGTGAACATAGCAGTGGAAGTTGGCAACAGGTTCCTAATGTCGTGGATGACTCTGACCAAGCGCTGGAAGGAGATAGCAAAAACGACAAGGGAAAAGCCAAAACTGTTGACTACAACAACGAAGATGCATCAAACGAGCCAGCATCCTCGAGCGAAAGCAGTGTCGCCGACTCGGACAATGGTTTCACGATAAATACCGCTGCCGAAATAGACAATGATGCTAGCCAATCGGAGCACGATACGAGCATGCACGACCACACCGAAATCGCAGAGGTTCACGGACATGAGAGCGACCCCCCTGCAGCTGCAAACCATGTTCAGCCCGCGGAGCCTCAAGCGCCGGGAAATGCAATGAACCGCGTACTGGACTGGATGTTTGGAGACGTGGCGCCTGCGACGCCAGCAGCTGATGAAGGAGGCAACGACGAGCACATTGTTCGTGACCTAGCAGACGAAGCGCCTTTTGTCCCATTCATGGGTAATGAGGCGCGAGATCACGATAATGTCGCTGCACAGGACGCCGACGTGGCTGCTGCCGCTGCTCAAGCTGGTATTGATGTCAACGAACAAGAGGCTATCGAAGATGCAGAGGATCTGGAGGGCATACTCGAACTCATTGGTATGCAAGGACCGATTGTGGGTCTTTTCCAGAACGCTCTATTCAGCGCGGTGCTGATTTCTGCTACACTGGCTTGCGCAGTTTGGCTTCCCTACCTCTGGGGAAAAGTTGTCATTCTCTTCATGGGAAGCCCCGTCTCACTCTTCATCAAGCTTCCTCTGCAAGTGGTCGCCGCAATCACCGACTTCATTGTCGACGTTACTCTCTTTGTGGTGGCTGGCACGACGTACTGGAGCTCCTACACCATCTCCAGCCTGGTGAAACTCTGCTCCTGGGGCAAGCTTTCGCAGACTGTAGAGGGCCCACTCCACAAAATATCTACGCCTGCATACTCTCTTGCAGAAAGCGCCATGGTTCGTATCGGCAAAATGTTCATGGAATCGCCTCTGTCACCTCGACCTGATTACTTCCGGCTCTCCGTCAACGCCCATGCTTCTCTACGAAGCCTGCAAAACACGACTTCGTTTGCACTCAACGAGACCAGCCATTTTGCAAACGCCATTATCGAAGAGATTTCGGCAGAGTCACCTCTTAAGCTTTTGCTGAGGATTTTTGGACACTTGCCGGCTCTGGTCCAAAACACTTCTACGGCTGCATATGCTCGTGGCAACGCCTTACTTTCATGGCTGTGGGCTTCTAAATCATACAAGATCACTTTTGATATGAACTCGAGCCACACTACTGCTGCATACACTGCAATGGAGTATTGGACAGCAAGTGATCGTTTGATTGCCATTCTGGCTGGCTATGGGTTCTTCGCCTTGACCGGTGCAGTGTACCTTAAGCGCGGCACTCCTTTCAGTTCATCACGACAAGGGCAGAAGGTTGAACGCATCATTTCCGACATTCTGCAACAAGCTGGCGGCGTGCTCAAGGTCATTCTGATCATCAGCATAGAGATGTTGGTGTTTCCACTATACTGTGGTCTACTCCTCGACCTTGCTATGCTTCCTCTGTTCAAGAATGCGACGCTGTACACCCGGTGGCAATTTGCTAGGGAAAGCCCTTGGACTTCTGGTTTCGTGCATTGGTTCATTGGCACTGGCTACATGTTCCATTTTGCACTCTTTGTGTCCATGTGCCGGAAGATCATGCGCAAGGGCGTTTTGTACTTTATTCGCGACCCAGATGACCCGACGTTCCATCCGGTCCGCGACGTCTTGGAGCGTAGCGTTACGACTCAGCTTCGCAAGATTGCCTTTAGCGCTCTGGTATACGGTGCGCTTGTCATTGTTTGCCTGGGTGGTGTAGTATGGACTTTGAGCCGGGCTACCTCTGACGTTCTGCCAATTCACTGGACCACTGAAGCACCATCGCTGGAGTTCCCGCTCGACCTTCTTTTTTACAACTTCCTCACTCCGGTCATTATCAAGTTCTACAAGCCTAGCGAGGGCCTGCATGCCATGTACAAGTGGTGCTTCCAAAAGTGCGCCGCGTTCCTTCGCCTCTCAAACTTCCTCTTCGGTGACAAGGTTCCAGAGCAAGAGGGCGACGATGGTAAATATGTACGTGCTCCCTCTTCGGATCAAGCTCGCATTCCCAAGGGCCAGCCGGTCTTTGTCGAAGTGGACCGAGACAATGTGCGCAAGGATGGGCAGAACGAGGGCGGTGTTCACAATTCGGACCTCGTGGCAATGGTGTTCATACCACCGTGGTTCCGCATGCGCATCTTTTGCTTCGTGGTGACGATCTGGGTCTTCATGGGCTTGTCTGGAGTCAGCGTTACCATCTTGCCTCTCCTCTTCGGCCGCTACCTCTTCTCGCTTTTCCTTCCACCAACGGTTGAGATGAACGACATTCATGCATTCTCCCTTGGAGTGTATACCATGGGCAGCATCGGTTATTCGGGCTATCACGCATTCAAGTTTATATCATCACTCAACCGGCGGGTACCAGACCCCATGTCGACACTCCAGACCATCGCGGCCACTACTTCACGCATCGGCGGTCGTGCTCTACGCTTCTCATACGTCTGGACTAGCCTCATCTTCGCCATCCCCTTCCTGTTTGCCGTGCTCCTGGAACTCTACTTCCTCATGCCACTACACGCGTACCTCGGACCCAAAGAGCCGCATGTTGTCCACCTGATCCAGGACTGGACCCTGGGCTTCTTGTACTCTCGACTAGCAGCCAGGCTCGTCTTTGCGAACCGCAACTCCCGTCCTGCACGTGCTTTTGCAGCCGTAGTCCGTGACGGGTACATGTACCCCAACGCCAAAATCGCCACGAGATGCTTTGTGCTGCCCGTCGTGGCCATTTTCCTCGTCGCCATCGCCGTTCCGTCCAGTCTGGCGTTCTTCGCCAGCAAGGTCCTGTACCGCGGTGCAAGCGAAGTGACGAAGAACCAGGTCTGGCGCTTCAGCTTCCCTGTCGTGGGCCTGAGTTTAGTCCTTATGTGGGCTTCTTCTGCTGCCGTCCGCCTGCTCGTCCGCTGGAGACTCGTCGTCCGCGACGAAGTCTACCTGGTCGGCGAGCGCCTCCACAACTTTGGCGAAAAGAAGGCGCCCGCCCGCGTGCCCAGTGCAACGTCGATGCCCTCGACGGTTGGCGCTGATGATGTGATGGTCAGGTAAAAAAAAAAGCCCTGTAAACCGAGGCCTCAAGTTGTTGATTCCGACATGAGTGATTGGGAAATGGGAAATTTGTGTACTTGCTAGTGTAATTCTTCTCTCTTTTCTTTTTCTAGTCGTCTGGTAGATTCATGTCAACATGGCCAATTCAATTCAATTCAATTCCCCCTTTTGTCTCTATCCTAATCATCCATCTTTTGGCTCCATATGCATGATGAATTCGTGTCAATGTTGCATTTCAACGTACACATGCCAAGGCCGTGGATTTCACTCTTACTCGATACTACCGGCAGGTTTCTATCGTATCGTATCGTATCGTACAGAAGAGAGAGGGAGAGAGAGAGCAAAATCACCCACTCACTCACTCACTCACTCGTGGTCAATCTCACAACATATACACATACACACATATATCTGGAGGGACGAGGAGCAAGCGAAAATTCAACAAATGTGTACACACCAAGACCGAAATTCCATTTTTTCCATATTCCATTTCTTTTTTGTTTTCCATTTATTTTCTGCATTCATTTTTTGCCTCCCCCCCCCCTCCACATCATCGTATCAAAACAGAAGGGGGAGGAGGGGGTAAAAGGTGCGCGAGAGAGAGAGAGTGTGTGTCAGACTACATAAGTTTGGACTTTGGGAATTAGAGGGGGAAAGGGTATAACTAATGGGGACACACACACACACATACATAAATATATAGATACATAGATACATATAGACGTGTGTATGTTTTCTCTCTCTCGCGGACTAAAGGGGATTGAGAGATCCCAGGACGGGACAAAAAAAAAACAGAGAGAGAGAGAGAGAGATGCAGAGGAACAAAGGTACCGAGATGATTTTAGTGGGTGTAATACAAGAAAAAGAAAAAGAGCAAAAAACAAGGGACTGGAAACACGGGGTGTGGGGGGAGGTGGTTGAACCGCTCGCTGTATATGTGTATATGTGTATATGTGTATATGTGTATATGTGTATGTGTGTATGAGTGTGAATGTGAGTGTGAGTGTGAGGGTCCCTTCTACGCAAAATCATGCATAGTCCGTGGCTAACCCAAAAAAAAGGGAAGAAAAAAAAAAGAACATAATGTACAAAAAAAAAAGACAGAACGAGGAAAACCCCTGTTTTTCTGATTCGTAAACACTGCCCCACCCCCCGCATGCGTGATTGGCTTTTTTGCTCTCCCTCTCTCACTCACTCTCTCTCTCTCTCTTTGAAGGGTGCGTTTGCGTACAACATGTTAGGGTAGGGTATTTGTGAGGTTGTGAATGCTAGCGTGAAGAATGAGGTTATGTGCGACGAGTAGTTCTTGACTTTGCGGCTGGCTTGGATGGTAGAGCGGCTTTGGCTTGACTTGATGCGGTAGGGGCGTCGAAAGATCTCGTATTCCTTTTCTTAACGGCGTGCGTGGCGCCCTTGGCGGCGGGCTCGTTGTCAGCTTTGCGCTTGCGGGAGGACGTTGTTGTCTTCGAGTCGGTGGTGGTGCTGGTTTGAGAAGTGGCGGTGCTGCGATTGTGGTTGGATGAAGGGGGTGTAGGGGGCTGTTTGCTTGAGGGAGTTGCGTCGGCGGATGTGGACTCGTCGTCGGCGGTCTCCTTGGTGCTGTTACGCTGTTGGGCTACCCATGAGAGAAGCTTTTCTTCGGCTTCTCCGTCGTCCTCTTCATCCTCCCCTTCTAGCATGGCGTCGGCCATCTCGCCTGCAATGTCATCACCTGCATCTTTGTCGGCAGCCATGCGTGTAGCAAACTCGAGCAGCTGCTGGGGATCCATGCCGCTCAGTGGGCCGCCAGCAGCAGCAAGTTGGCGCTGCAGCGCTGCCAGCAGCGCCTCCTGAGATATACCGTGTCCTTGGGTGCTCATGTCGTCTTCATCGCCTTCTTTATCGTCCTCGTCCTCGTCGTCGTCGTCGTACGGCGGCGATGCAGGCTTTGTGACAAATGCCATGTCGCCCTTTTCCTTGTCCGACGGCAACGACGATGCGCCTGGTGAGTTTGGTGGTGACCCCTTTGCCCAGTCTGGTGTTTCCGTGAGCTTTTCTCGCCAGTCTTTGAACAGAGCATAAGGCTGCGCATTGTCGTCTAGCATCTTTGGTTTCAGGCCGCGATCTGCGTGGGAGCGCCAGACAATGGGCGAATGGCCCGGCGCACTTGGTTCGGTGTGCGCTGTTGCATCGACCTGCGGCACATTCTTCCTGCGTGAACGGCCACCGACTGCTCGCTTCCTTTTTATGCCCGTCTTCACACCCTTGACGTCGAGTGCCTGGAAGCGGGTGTCGTCGTAGCCGTCGGATGCGTACTCGAGGTCGTTGAAGTAGTCGAAGCGGTCCCAGTCGTCTTCCATGTCCTCGTCACCACACGTTGCAGGCGGCGGCGAGGCAACAGCGTGCTCGGCCAGGTCATCGGCCGCCATGTACTCGTCTTCGACATAGAAGAAGTCGGCGTCGCCATCGTCGTAGTCGTCTTCGTAGTCGCTCATGATGGAGGCGGATGCGCAGCGGCCCAGGCAGCCGTCGAGGAGAGTGGTTGTAATGTGCAGTCAGGACGGGGCAAGGTATGACGCGCGCCCGCGCCGATGCTGCTGGCGCACGGGGACCATCAGCGCAACCTGTTGTGGCGCACTCTCGAGGCAGCGGCGGCCAGCAAAGACGGACACGCTGTCACGGTCGCCTCCCCTGCTCCTTCCCGCCGCACCCACGCTCCTTCCCCATCGAGTCGTCGGCATGGGCTGCACCTGCCCGCAATGGTTTGCTCGAGTAAACACGAGGCGCGTGCGTGCCTTCCCCGCGGATTGACGTACCGCGGCTCCACGCGGCTTAACACCACCGAGGCCCCCCCTCCGCCTTGCTGGGACAGCGCCAAAAAGCACTATGCTTTGGGAGCTCCAGAGTCAATCAGTCCGCGATCTATCAGTCTCGTCTGCTTCTCCATAGACTTCGCCGGTGACCATGCGTGCTTTCCGGAAATCGACTCGCCTCTCGCGCCAGCTGCTGGCTTCCAATGGCCTCCGCTACAGTTCCACCAGTGCTCCGCCCACGTCCAAGTCGCTTACCTCTGTCCTCATAGCCAACCGTGGAGAAATCGCCCTGTAAGGCCCTGGGCTTGGATACATGCGAGTTGCATCTAACATGGTCTCAGGCGAGTCGGCCGCACAGCTTCTGAATATGGCATACGGACCACAACCCTATACACCGACCCCGATGCTCGATCACAGCATGCATTGAGCTCGCCCTACGCCGTGAACCTTGGTGACCCGTCGGCATACCTCGACGGCGACCGCATAATACAGATCGCAAAGGAGCAAGGTTGCCAGGGGATACATCCAGGATACGGCTTCGTACGTCTGTACAAGCATCTATTTGACATGCGTCTAACAGGGACCGTAGTTGAGCGAGAACCCCACGTTCGCAAGGAAGTGTACAGAGGCTGGTCTGACCTTCATTGGCCCGCCATGGCAAGCAATCGAGTCCATGGGAAGCAAGAGGCAGGTACTCACCATCGGCCCTGGCCACGCTAGCTAACGTCCCCAAGCGAATCCAAAGACATCATGACCAAAGCCGGTGTACCCTGCATTCCGGGGTACCACGGCTTCAACCAAGATCCGGAGTATCTCAAGGAGCAGGCCGCAGGCATTGGCTATCCTGTGCTCCTCAAGGCTGTCAAAGGCGGGGGCGGCAAGGGAATGCGCATCGTCAAGGATGAGTCGGAGTTCTTCGACCAACTGGCATCTGCAAAGTCGGAAGCGCGCAACTCGTTTGGCGATGAAGTTATGCTGGTCGAGAAATACATCACCACACCACGGCACATTGAGGTGCAGGTTTTTGCCGACAAGCACGGAAACTGTGTTGCCCTGGGCGAGAGAGACTGCAGTATCCAGCGCCGACATCAGAAAATTCTCGAGGAGTCCCCAGCACCCCACTTGGATGAGGCCATCCGGCAAGATATCTGGGAGAAGGCGCGCCAGGCTGCACTCGCTGTGGGCTACGAAGGCGCAGGAACTGTGGAATTCATCTTCGACAATGAGACGGGTGAGTTCTTCTTCATGGAGATGAACACCAGGCTTCAGGTCGAACATCCCGTTACTGAAATGGTTACCGGAGAGGACCTCGTCAGGTGGCAGCTCATTGTTGCTGAGGGTGGAAGACTGCCCCTTACCCAACAGGAAATTGAGCAGAGGATCAAGGAGAGGGGCCATGCAATCGAAGCGCGCATATACGCTGAAAATCCAGACATGAACTTCATTCCCGATTCTGGGCTTTTGCTTCATCTGAAGACTCCGGAGCCTACTTCTACTGTGCGCATCGACTCTGGCTTCATCGCCGGTGATGAAGTATCTTCGCATTACGACCCTATGATCTCCAAACTCATTGTCCAGGGCCCTACACGCGAAGCCGCAATCCAAAAACTGCGAGCCGCACTAGAAGAGTACGAAGTTGCGGGACCTGTCACAAACATTGAGTTTATCAAGCGCATGTGTGTGTCTCCAGACTTTGTTGCCGGCGATGTAGAGACAGGATACATCCAGAAGCACCATGCTGAGCTCTTCACTCCCGAGCCCCCAGCACCAGAAGTCTACGCCCAGGCCGCTCTAGGTCTTGCACTCGAACAAATTTCTGCGTCAAAAGGAGATGTATGGAAAGGTCCGCCTATCACATCCGTCGGCTTCGGTTTCAGCAGCTCCTACCAAGAGCGCGAATTCAACCTCGTCGAGATACCAGCCGACGGCAAAGGCGAAGAAAAAGCCACAAAAGTTACCGTCCGCCAGACGAGTCCCCAACAGTTTAATATTCGCGTTGGCGACCAAACATATAGCACCGTCACATCGACTTTCTCGCCTTCAAACAACACCATAACTTCCTTTTACCCGCACACACGTCTCGCAACCACCTTTGTCCGCGATGAAGACCGCATCACCCTCTTCCACCTTGGCCGCCAGCACCGCCTCAAACTCGCCATGCCGGAATGGACCAAGAAAGCTCTCGGCGTCAAAGATGTCGCTAACAGCGTCCTGGCGCCCATGCCCTGCAAGGTACTTCGTGTCGAGGTCGAAGAGGGTCAGGAAGTCAAGAAGGACCAGGCTCTTGTTGTTATCGAGAGTATGAAGATGGAGACTGTGATTAGGAGTCCTAGTAATGGTATTGTCAAGAGAATTGTTCATGGCAAGGGCGATTTGTGTAAGGCGGGAACTGCGCTGGTCGAGTTTGAGGAGCCTGCGGGTGAGAAGGAGGGTTAGTGTTTTGTTCCTTTGTTTATGTATACTGTAGCGATCTGGGGAAGTTATGGCCTGGGAAAATACTGTATGAATGGTATGATGATGAATATGCCAAATGTTTGTTTTGATATCTTGTAGTTGTTCATGAACAAGATTACTAGTTCTTTTACTATCCAAGTGTCTAGCATGCATTAATCTGGTATCAGTCTTGATGTTCCTTGTGGATTTCAAATCTTACTTGATTGTTCTTGCTTCTGCTTTATCAAGTGTACATTTGGTTCGTAAGGTACACGAATGCCATGGCACTGATAGACTCAAATGACCACATGCACGAAGTGTCGATTTTCTTGTTGACCTCTGCATATTTCCGTACGATTGCTTGAGCAGTGATGAAATTCTACATCCAGCACTATCTCTCTACAACACGTATCCATCAGGATCCAAGACCGTACCTCCACACACCCATATCCAAGACCGCAGAACCACTCGGCATACCCACCACCACCACCACTACCTCCTCCACATCACAACCCACACTCCGCAACGACGTGTCCATATCAACACATGACGTCACTCTCCACATTGCCCAGCACGCATCCTCACACCACCAAGCCCTTCTCTCACCACCATAAACCTCTCACATCCCCGTCCACGCGTCCAACCAACCCAAAACACATCTAGATTAAAAAAAACACTAAAAGATATACTCGGCATTAATATCACGCATTACCAATACTATCCTTTACGCTTTTTTTTTGGTTGTGCTGAGGCATAATATTGGCGTATCTGACATACATAACACACTGGGACACTAACCAAGACATGTAAGTACGTACTTACGTACGTACGCAGACAGAGAGAGAGAGAGAGACACGCCACCATGAACTAACCACCCAACCAAGCAACCCATGCCTTGCCTTGCCTCACACACCGGTGCAGACATCCCACATGAAGAAAAAATTAATGCCTAGTTGCCGATTACCGGTGCACACCCATCTGATTATCAGAAAAACACACAGACATATTTGTTGTGTTGGCGGTCGGTCGGTGTTAAACACACCCCTGGCGTGCCTGCGCCTGCGCCTGCGCCCGCGCGCGTATGTGTGTATGTTGTATGTATGTATGCATCTCCCTATACTTACGTACGTACGTACGTACCCAATTGATTCATTATATTACCCAGCATTGCATGTATAGAACCCCAGTTACCGGAGGATATGTATATGTGTATGTGCTTTTTTTTGTAAAAAAAAAATAACCCTGGCGCACGCGCGCGCGTGTGGGTGGGTGGGCGTGTGCTTCTTGTTCCCCCCCCCACCCAACACCTTGAACGGGAATATTTTCTCTCAAACCCCCCCAGCTTGTTGCCAGGGAGGGATTGGAGGTGGGGGGGGGGGGGAAGAAAAGGTCAACCTGGTTCACAGCAAAACATGCACACATACACATATACACCCCTACATATACCCATACGGAGAATATGTACGTAGATACATACCCTGCATGTTACCAGGGCAGGCGGGATGCGCGAAGACAAGGCAAGGGTGATTGATCTGCGGGTTTTTTTCTCTTTGTCGCTGATATATCGCCGTGCGCATACCATGGCCCTTGTACATAATGTATGGATTTTTTTTTCTTTCTTTCTTGGGGGTTACTACGTACGTACGTACGTACGTAAGTACGGTGGTTTAAAACTAAGTAGCTAGCTAGCTAGCTAGCTAGTCAGCCAGCCAGCCAGCCATGTTTATCTATGCAATGTAATGCGTGTTCTGCTACGTTGATGTATCAAGTTAGATGGAGAGTAGAATACAAAGAAGAAGAAGAAGAAGGAGAAGAAGAAGGAGAAGAAGAAGGAGAAGAAGAAGGAGAAGAAGAAGGAGAAGAAGAAGGAGAAGAAGAAGGAGAAGAAGAAGGAGAAGAAGAAGGAGAAGAAGAAGGAGAAGAAGAAGGAGAAGAAGAAGGAGAAGAAGGGCTGAGCTAAGGTGAGGTGAGCAAATTAAAGAATAATCATAATAGCGTACATATGTATGTAAGTGTGTGGTTTTCTTCAACTGCCGCGCGCGCTCTTTCTTGATTATTTTATTATTATTAGCAGTGTTATTGCTAGTGGTATTACAGTTAGTAGTATTATTGTTAGTCCTACGTACTATCGTGCTAGTACCGGTACTGGTATTGGCATTATGACGGTGATCTTGGTATCGTTAGGGGAGGAGGAAGTAAGTCAGGATTAACGAGATGATGATGATGATGATGAGCGACTTTGGTGGCGGCGAGGCCGCACTGACCAGTTGGTTACTTGTTTAGCCCCAACGCGCTATTTTGGAGTTGCGGAGATGCCGAGAAGTGGGGGTAAGTGTACGTGGGTGCGAGCGAGAGGGGTGGCTATGGGGTGGTGCTGGTGCTGGTGCTAGGTATGGGTAGGGTAGCTGCATAGGTTGTATGGGGTTGATCACGGTATGGTGGTGAGAGTACGTAGCCATATGTTGGGGGCTTGGGCTGGGGCTTGGGCTTGGGCTGCGCTGATCTGCTGGTTACGTAGGTGGCGCTTTTTTTGTGAAGATGGACGGCAGACTCTTGTGCGCTGGAGAGGAACTGGGGCAGGGCTGTTGACCGGTAGTCGAGTATGCAGGATGGGATGGGATGGGATGACGTACGGTGGCTGTACTGTACGTGTGTGTGTGTGTGTGCCAGAGAGACGAGAAACTGTGTCCAGCGTGAGAGTACTCAGTTCTGTACTAGAGATATACGCGTTGCTTGTATGTACAGTGCAGTGCAGTGCAGGTTCCGTGTGAATACGGATGCAAAGAAACAATCAACTGTAAAGTTATTGTTTATACTGTCTTGTTGCAAAGGCTACGCACTGTACTGGTGCTTCGACTGTTTGTTTACTTTTCGAGCCAAAACAGATACCCACACGCGCAGTGCGTGTGACTCTCTCCTCTCCTGTACACTGTACCTTCTAGGGACACAGGAAATGCACATGTATCATGGAGTGCACCGAGGGCGTGTTGTGCCTCGAAAATGTTTGACAAGACTGGCATTAGTTGGGCGTGAAAGAACACACTGACCGTGTAAGCACGTATGTATAGGGAACGGTGATGATGACGATGTAGAACAAAACAGCAGTTGGTTTTTTTGCTTCTTGCTAGCTGCAGTCGTCGCCTATCTGTTTATGATCACAGTATTTCTCTTTTTTCTTTTTCTTTTTCTTTCGTTCTTCTTCTAGGCCCCCTGTATGCCTGTATGCTGTGAACGCCTGTTTATCCACGCCTCATGAGCATGCGGCGGCGGCGATTGTGTTCTCATTGTTCTGGCCCAGCCCAGCCCAACACACACAGAGAGACCATGCATGTATGTACCGACACTTTGTTCTACACGACAGCGGTGGGCACGAATGCCGGTTACACAAAGACGTGGAGAATGGCGGCAACATCAGATATACCGAATACGGACATTTTTACCATATAAAGCAACCATGGGAAACAAACAAAAGCAAAATCCCTACGCTGTACATAGTCCTACCTAACATCGTCCACAACACCTTTGCTTGTCCTATCTGCCAACTAACGTCCATGTACGTAGCAGCACACCACACACAACTTCCCTCCCTTGAGAGAAAAGGACAACATAGCTACACACGTTGCATTACACACCAAGAACAGACTTGTCAACAAAAAATGCCATGCATCCATCATCATCACCGTAATACTACCACGGCGGAATTTCAAACCCATCCCCAGGTCTGCGAGGGGGGGGAGCGTGAGCGCGCGCGGCCGCCGCATGCTCCCTTCGCTCGCTCGCTCTCCCTGCACCGCCAATCCATGGAGCGAATCTCGAGGGAGGGGGGAGGGGAGGGTGGTCGCTAAGCATGAGCAGGCCCCAAGAAGCAGGCCGTGGTCCCCCTTCGCCTCGCATCTTGCCCCGTGAGACCCAGGCCGTAAGATCGGCGCATGGCCACCTAGAGACAAAGTGCGAAAGCGAGGCGGGGAGGTGGGAAGGGTGAGGGGAGGGGTAAGGGGGCTAGAGGGAGGGGGGGTAAGAGAGACAGAGAGAGACAGAGAGGATACACCGGAGGTTTGTCCGACGAAGAAAAAAAAAGCCAGACCAGATGCATGCACTCATCAGCTGGCTTTCGTGCCCGACAGAAAATCATGCCATACCATGTCATGTCAGCGCCGCGGCCTGGAGTCCGATGATAAGCACTGGGGGGCGTGGGTATGGGTAAGGGCAAGGGAAGGGACGGACGGAAAGGAGTGGAATTGGGGCGGTTTCCTTCCCCCCATACGCCCTTACGCCCTTACGCATAGTCCCCCTCCTCCTCTCCTTGTCTCCCCCCACACGACAAGATCCCAACCCCCCCTTGCCTTGCCTTCCCGCCATTTGCGCCTGCACTAACTGCCGCGGTGACATGGTCCCGAAGCTGGGTTTTTTGGTCGAAACAGCCCTGAGACAGGCCGGCGCCTAAACTTGCCCTACTGTACTTTTGCCCACCCAGTCTGTGACAACGACGAAAAGGCCATCCCAACAAGGTGGACAGATCTGAACAGAGGGGGTGGTGGGAGAATGAGAACCGCATTTGCGAAAAAAAATGAGGCTTCACCTTTTTTTTTGCGGGACTCAGTGAGAGGAATCTGCGATAAGGTGCGGCTTTTTCCACTACACCTATACTTGGACGAACAAGGCTGTTGAGAGCCAAGAAGTCCTTGTTTCTTTCTTTTCTTTTTTGTGTGTGTGTGTGCGGATGGGTGGGTGTGGTGGGTAATGTGTGCGCGTCTTGACTCGGTTGCTTGTATGCTGAATTCAAGATAGAGTTGGTGTCCAACCGTCGGTCCATTCATCGGAATTGGGAACAGCCTATTGTCCCAGTGTTTGCTGCTATTTTTTTAACCCCCCCTCTTCCTTGGCTTGCTATTCCCAACCAGGAGGAGCATGGGTTGTTGTCATGGAATGGACCACCGGAAAAGTTTGCCAGCGCATGCTTCATTTTTATTCCCCGCACGACTTGGGTGTCTTTGGCAGAGTAGCATTTTCTTGATCTATTTGCATTTTATTATGTTATCTCTGTGGGGGAAGGTTCTAGACAAGCCCGCTCGGATCACAGCGGGAGATCGGACAAAGTGTATGACGGCAAGTGAGTGTTTTGGGCTACTGCTGATCCCAAGGAAATAAGAGAATCAGCATAAGGGCCGGGGTGTGACGCGTCCATTGAGCTGGGCCGATTGGAAAAGGATAGTGTGATGAAGGGTGACACGAGGTTGGGCAGTTGTGGTGTGGTGTATCTGGCGTTCCGACACTCGGGGTCGATCCAAGGTTAGATTGAGCTGTTACATGGTGATTGATTACGCTTCTGTGCTTTAGTTTTGTTGATAATACATGATAATGATGAAGAGATGGTGTGAGGCCTTTAGACAGGAAAATGAGGCCATTCCTCGTGACCATTGTTTCGGGATGTGGAAGGGGGAGAATGGAGTAGGCGGAGCGATGGCCTCGAAACGTACAGGCCGCGCACACATCTTGAATGCTCGCGACCAGATAGTCGTATTGCGCCATGGGCAAATGGGTCGTGTGCTAGCGAGCTGTTCACAGCCAGTGTCTTAGTCGAGACTGAGGGTCACGCGCAGACAGTGTGCTTTCTCGTCGGAACCATGATAGGACCCGTCATTCGCTCCCAGCCATCAGTGGCACGCGGGGAAGAACCCTGTGTACAGTTTGACACGACAGTTTTGACTATCCATGGACATCCAGCGGAACTCTTGGTCGACGATGGAAGAAAGATCGCACGGTTTAGATCCGAGCATGGCTGGGGGGGGGGGGCCTGGTCGAGCGGAATCTGCGATATCCCTCTGCGGCAGCCGCTGGCATATCCTAGCTTCGAGCACCAGCTGGTCTCCCATGGCGCTTCCTGTTTTCAATGCATATTGAGATCATGAAACGCAAGTTTGAGTATCTTCTCCGGTACGTCAGTCAACGTTTGGCCAAACCTTATGTAAGATTGGACATTTTTGGACATTTATCGTCCGAGGCAGCCATTGTATCGCATACACACGGAAGACTTGCTGTAATCAATCCACAACCCATTTGTTTGCAATGTTTCTGAAGATGGAAGGATCGTGTCGGCATTGAGTTGAGAAGAAAGCTAAGAAAAACAGAGGTGGCTGGGGAGGATGCCGCATCTTTGGGTTTCGGAAGTGTTGTGGAACGGCCTTCACATGGAGGGCATTTGAATCGCTCGATGTGTTGTTGTTACACGCTACACGCGGGGCGTCCAACCGGTAGTTGCATCCAGCGCTCCAAGAAGAAAATGGGCTGGTTGCGGGCAGGCCGAAGATCACGCGTGTGGGACGTCGAGGAGGAGATACGTGTACACTTGGAAGATCGGCCATGGCGCATTGTCCCCTTTTTTTTCTTTTCTCTCTCTCTCTCTGCGCTCTCTCTCTTTGCACAGGCCACGCGACAGCTACTAGTGCCGGGAGGGAGCAAAGAGGTTCATGTGGTGATGACTTACACATTTGGTCCCTGCGTTGCTTGGCCAAATGAGGTAATTGAAAGAGTAATCAGCACTACGCGTGATGCTGACATGGAGGGCTCATAAGCCATAAACAGGCTCAATTTCGCGTGTTTTGAGCGAAATTGACTGAAGAGCGGCAGCGTAGGGGTGTGGGCGAGTACAATGCTCAGGCTGGATTCTAGAAGGGCGTTGGAAGGAGACTAGCAGGATGAAACGCGTGCGCGTGCCAATTGAAAGCACCATCTTGATTCCGTTACGAAGACAATACGTTGACGGCTTCAATTAGGCAGTGATTGCAGAGGATGAGGGCAGCTTTGTGGCAAACGGGCCGACTGGTCTGGGTTCTAGTCAGCCATGCAATGCACCTGACGCATTGCTTCTTGCAAGATGAGGAAGAGGCGCAGGGCGCATGCAATGCGCGCTCTGGAGTGCGTATTCGAATACGTCGGCAAGGGGAAAAAACAAAACAAAACAAAACCACTCGACCATTCACACGGGCGCAAGGCCGTCTTGTCGCCCATGGCCAGCGAGGCGGGCGTGATAGGCGCTCAAAAGGAATGGCGAGACCAAGTGGCAGGATGATAACGTGGAGCATGTCACTTTTGCAGTCGGCAGCTGCGTATTGCAGTCATGTCGGCGATGTTTCTCGTATATGGAGCAGAAACTTGGCCTGGTGGGTGCCAAGGACGGAGGGTGGTGGAGGGTCAGGCTGCGCGCGTGCTGACAGGCTTTGTCAGCAGCGCGCGAGGCAGCCGGTAGGGCGGCGATTTTTTTTTGTTTGGACGTGTTCGTGTTGCTGGAGTTCATTTCTTTTTCTGCTGTTCTTGGTGTGCGTGTGTTAGGTGCAGGCGTGGTGAGTGAGTGTCATGGATACATACATAGGAGGCGGGATGGGTCTAGAAGGCGGGCGAAGCGAGGCGGGCGCAAGGGAGGTGTAGCAGGCTGGAGCAGGAGCGACTCGGAAACTAGCGCTTATTGACATCATGGGCAGGCGCGGGCAGGCGCGGGCATGCGCGGGCAGGCGCAAGGCAGGGAAGGAGCGCGTGTGCTTGGCCTGCCACCAGCACCGGCACCGGCACCAGTGCTGCAGTATTATCAGCCATCACCAGCACCAGCACCAGCACCAGCACCGCCTCTGCCTCTGCCTCTGCCTCCGACGGGCGGCGGGCGGCGGGCACTGCAGAGATCAGCCCATGTTCGGATCCTGGCCCAGCAAGTGTCCGCTCGAATCAGTGGCGCCGGCAGACGACGAGGGGGCCAGCACAGGGAAGAGGCGGGAGACCAGCATGTCCTGGTCGCACGTCTGACATGTCTCCACTTCGTCTCATGATTAAAGCCGGCATTGGCGGCGCCCAATCAGCGCGCGCCCGCTGCCTGTCAGAAATGCCGCTTATGCAGTAACGTTCGCGACTGAAAACTCGGCTGGAGAGGGCGCCCAAGACGGGGCCTGGTCCTTTTGCTTTGGCACCACACACATGCAAAGGCCCCATGTGGCCGTGCCATGGCTGACGCGCCCATCTGATAGCCATGTACGCCTATACCTATACATATCCATACACACACACATATACATGACATGCCTACTTGTACTTACTCCATACAGACATGGCAGCACAGGCACGCCCGAGCCTCAGGCGCCAAACATGCCCCCTGGCCCGCCCGCCTACACTACAGCTTGGGGGATCCGACACCCTCGCCGCCACCCTCAAGGGAGGTAGCGGGAAGCAAGGTCGAGGGGCCCAGGCGATCTTCGCGCCAGGCTCGTGTTCGCGCTGCACCGCACCACCACCACCAAGATGCCCGTGATGGCGACGAGCCATGGCATTCTCCGCCCTCGCCGTCGACTCAGGCACACACACACACACACACACACACACTCAGGTAACCATCATCGCCAGGTAATCAGCGACACAGGCCTAGACTGAGCGGCGGCCTGGCTTCATTTGCGCGACAGCGGAAACATGCTGTCGACGGACCGCATTGTTGCCATCATCCATACGCACACGCACACACTCACCCTCACCCACTCACCCACTCCCTCACGCACACACACCCACACCAAGGCGCAGCTTACACGCCCTCGGCTACCCGATTGGCCCAGCCCCCATGGGCTTGCTCGATAAGCAGCAGCAGTTGCAGCGAACCTCTCGGTACACGACGGCTGCGGCGGTGCGGCCTTGGGGCGCCTTTTTTCGTCCAAGCACCAATACCGCTGCCCTCTCTCCCTCGACCCTGCCCACACGACGCTCCACACGCACGGCAGGGCGAATCGGGCCCGCGGCGGCGAGTGCAAGTGTGTATGTGTGTGTGTGTGTGTGTGTGTGTGTGTGTGCCGTGAGGCCTCTGGCGGCGAGCGCTAGGTGCGAGGGCAGCGGGACGAGTCGGATCCATGTGCGGCAGCATCGCACAGCATATCCCATCGTGATCGTCGGCCGTTGGGAGGAGCAGGCCTGCACCCCTGCTTCCCGCGCGTAGACAACGGTCAAGGCCAGCTTCAAGTGTGTGTGAGGAGTGTTCGAGTCGCAGCGAGCACCACGACTACCGCCAGCACCGCCAGCACCACGGCCGCCAGCACCATCACCACGGCCGCCACGGCCAGCGCGGGCGGCAGAGACGCAGGAAACAAGCGACGCGTGCATGGGTCGCTCGACGAGCCACAGCAGCAGCTGACCGTGTCAGGCATGCACGTCGCCTGTAGGCCGTCTGGGTGCGCAACGGTGCGAACAGAGACAGACAGCTACTCGTCGGCCACCACGCGCCATCACCACCCAACCCGATGTAACACGGCTGCCGTCCCACAGGCTCGCTAATGCGATCGTCACTCGACCTTCCACATGTCGTGCGACTACTGCAAGCGTGGCCACCCGGCCGTCCATGCGTCCAGAGGCGCCGTGCCAGAGCCTGTCTGGAGTCCGTCCAGGTAGAGTTCGGCGTGCACAAAGCAACGGCAATTATCGTTGTGGACTGGCCTGCCCCCAAAGAAACTATTGTCTGCGTGCAATGTGTGCGCGCGCATGCTGACAGCGAGCATGGCAGCATAGCACACGCGTGTAGGCGGGCGCATGTGTCCATGTGTGCGAGGCCTGCCAGCCAGTCGTGACGTGCTCTTGTGCAGTCGTTGTGCCCGACAGACGAGCTTGGAGCGGCGTTGGAATAGAGTTGATGTTCGCTCGGTACCTGACCTATCTCCCTGGTCGTGAGCAGGCCAGCAAGCATGCTCCCAGGGTTTCTCCGCACTGCGAACGCCTCGCTCGGAACATTTACGAACCTAGGTCCCATGTCGCGATCGCGACAGGGAGGGGTTGCTCACGACATGGGACGGCGCGCGCAGTGTTTCCCATGGCTGCCCGTTCTCGAAGCCTGTCTGCCAGCGAAGAAGAAAAAAAACGTCCACGACCTGAACCTGCATTGGCTGCCCACTGGTGGCGCGCTGCCCTCGATGCTAGCCCTTCTGGCTACTCTAGAAAAGCAGCCTCTGAGACACGCCATAATGACGAATTAAAAAAAAAGGAGACTGCAGTCGTCAGTCGACGCCGGACGCGACAGCTGTTAATGCACCGAGACGGGACTTTGTCGTCGGCTCTAGCGCTGCAGCACGACAGGAATTGCTATTTCCATGATGGCCTTTTCGGCGGCTATTTGCCCGTATGTCGCAGCAGCGTTTCTCGACGCGTCGTGGGCACGCTGAGCATAAACAGCAATTTAACTTTTTATAGGCACTCGTCCACACTCTACCCACTCGCACTCATGGCATGGTGGACAGATAGTACCCATGCAGTAGCATTGCCGGTTGTTTGCGGACGACGCGCAGGGCTGACTTGGGTGCGCCCCCCCCCTCCCCAGCCCCGGCGTATGTATGGGAGATGGGCCGAACACGATATGCACCCCACCCCTGAGGCCGTACATGGCTACTGTAAGGTATTTTTGCTCGCAGCTCGGTGCCATGGTTCCGCACAAGTTGCAAGATGCAACGTCCCAGGGCCGATCAGCGGCCATGGGGGGGGGGAGCGAGGGGAGGGGAGGGCCATGACGCTGCTCCCGAAAGGCACTGCCGTGACGAGCATCGCGTGGGCGATCGCAGCCATGGCTACACTACACGGCGGAGAGTGGATGCGGACGTGCATCGGCCACTCAGCGCGGACGACGGTAAAGGCAAGGTGGTGAGTTGCTTGCTTTGGGCGCGCCCTCTCACCGGCGGCGGCGCCCAATGGCACACCAGACGGCGGGGGCGATGGGACTGGTGCAACTGCTAAAACGGTCGACTAGCGGCGGTGAATTGGGGGACTCGAGAGCTGGGTTGGACACACTTGCACAGGCAGAGGCACAGGCACACATGCATTCACTCTGGCACTCTCTCACATACAGTAGACACAATCTCTCACGCTCACGCTCACGCACCCACACAGACACGGGTGCAGGCACTCCACTCGCAGCCAGCACGCGGCAAAACTGTGGGAGAATGGGCCAGGGCCAGTGACGCGTCCGGTAGGGCCGCGGGCGGCGCAGGGGGTGATCTGAGTGCGAGGATTGCACAGTACGGGCTGCAGGGGCGAAATGAGCATGGCGGAAATGGTTGCATAGCTATAGCAGGCCTGGGGTCGGCATGCTATGGGCCTGGGATGCCGAGATGCAAATGGGCGTGAGAGGGAAGTACCGTGGGGTCGCGACTGCCCATCTCGAAGGATTTAGCCGAGCCGACAGGGGGGGAGGGGGGCAGGCGACGAGCAGGCCCGACCCATGACGCCAGCACGCCCGCCAGCCAGTCAGCGTGCTATCACCAAACGTCGATTGGGAAGGCGCCATGCGGAGAGAGAGAAAGAGCGAGAGGGCGCTGCAGAGGGCGCGCGCGCGCGAGAGAGAGAGAGAGAATTTGCGTGGGTGTGGTGTGTGGCAGACAGAGAGCAAAGGAGAGCGAGCGAGGCAATGCCACGGGGGGGGGGAGGGGGGCAGCAGAGGCGCCAGCAGCCACTCAGCAGCGTGCAAAATAAAACTCTTACCGACTACCTGCGCCTACTACGACTGGCTACCACTGCTAGTAGAGACGGGCACACTCGCACGCAGACTCAGACTCACGTGCTCTGCGCTGCTGTGCTGCCAGGACTGCCAGGACTGCCACTGCCACTGCCGTTGCTGCCTTGACCGCCCCATGCTCGGACGCCCACCCCCCACCTGCGCCTGCTGCCCGCCGCCAGTAGGCAGACAAAGCGAGCAGGTCACGTGGCCCACCGGAAGACGCGACCCCCCCGTCCGCCGCCGCCGCCGCCGCCCGCCGCCGCCCATCCATCGACGCTCACATTGCATGCACACATGCACCCACCCATCCGTCAAACATGCGCAGGCAGTGGCAGTGGCAGCGGCCGCACGGGCGGCGGCCAACGACTACGCCTACGACGACGACGACGACATCGCCCCGGCTGTATTCGCCGGCGATCCCTGATCCCGGACGACTCGCGCCCGCGGCTTGGGCGCTCGAAACAGGTGCTGCATCCGAGCGTGCAGCAGGGCAGGGAGCAGGCCGGCGTCGGGAGCCGTGTTAGCTGTTCCAAGTTGATTTAACGACCGTCTCCACCGCGGTCGCCCCACCGCCCTCGCACTCTCTCACACGCTGCCTGCCACCTGGGCCTCGCTCGCATTCCCTAGGCGTCGCTAGCGCCGTCTGCTCTGCGCCTGAAATTGCGCAGGCCACGCTACTGCATCTCGTCGCAACCCTCGTCCATCGCAGCAACGCCCGGACCCTCGCTGCCCGGATCCTTCGACGTCTACTCCCACCGCGCAATCATAACAATGTCGCAGCCAAAAATCCCAGATAGGGCCCGCAACTATAAGGAAGAGCAGGCGCCTGTAGCGTCGCAGAAGATGGTGAGTCGACTCTGCCTCCTTGTCCATCCCTACCGCGCCACCCTCGCTCCCGCATCCCATCCACTCGCTCGCTTCCCACCTCAACCCCGTCCGGCCCTTCTGCATCCTCGACCGTTGGTGTTTCGACCAGCGTGTCTGAAGCCGCATCCCTCAAACCGTCGCCGCCGTTGGCAGCTTCATCCTCGCGCTTTTTGCATGCTGCTGCAGCCACTGCACGCCGCGTCCGCACACAACCACGCACCCCAGCTCCGCCGCCTCGTTGACCTACATGGTATGCCCTTCCCGCCAAGCTGCCCTGCTACCCAAATCCCCCTCCCCTGTCGCACCTGCTGTCGCTTTCCTGGTCTCCTCTGAAGCCAGTCCGCCGCCTCTTGTCACGCAACGGCCAGCAGCCCACCCCCCCGGTCGCATAGGTAGCCCTATGCCCTCCCACCGCTGCTCCGCTCTGCGTTGTCAGTCTTGCCAAATACCGCCCTGCCTTCATTAGTCTGCCCTCCCCATCCTATAAACTATATACCCTACCGTCCTGTCTTTTTCCAGACCCTGCCCCTCGCCTAGGTCCTGTTGCAGAACATCTTCTGCCCTACACCCTAGCCTACCAACCAACCACTGCCTCCCCACCCCCCACCCCCCACCGCCTCTCCCTGCACCGATCACCACCACGTCGCCTGTGTTTCGCGACGTCTTTTTTGGTTTTTTTTTCATCTCCTCGTTAACGCCCGTTTCTTTTTATTCTTCATCCTGCTTTTACTTTTTCCTGTTCCTCTTCTCTGCACATGCAGCCAGCCTTGCTGACCCGGCGCGCCTTTTAGCATCACCCACACTCGGCGCAGGGCTTGCCACCGCCAAATCATCTTCCGGTGCACCATCCTAGGCCCGGCGTGGTCCACCAACAACACCAACACCACCCTGACTCTCCTCATCCCTCGGTCCCCTCTCAAAGCCCGGCACAGGCACACTATCCCTCGCCTCAGCACCCAACTCCCCAAGGTCCTCCTCAGCACCAATCGCCCTACATTCAGCAAATTCAAGGATCGCAAGGGCCACCGCCGCCGCCACCTCCCCAGCCGCAGCCACCCCAGCAACAGCAGCAGCAGCAGCAAGAGGTCCCCTACTACTCGCAGCACCACCAGAGTCCTTACAGCACCAATAGTGCTCCCAGCAACTACTCCTCATCAGGTATGTTTGTTTACTTTTTCTTTCCTCCTTGCCCTTTCAGCTCAAGATTTACACGTCAATGCACACACACACACACACACACACACACACGCGCGCGCGCGCACAAGCGAAGCCCGTATGACGATTAGACTTGGATGCCCCCCGTTGCGCAGTCCATCAAATTGAACGCGTTGACCTGACTTTTCCCAGAAACCCCAGAGCTCATGGCGGCCGCAACGATGAATCGGGGCGGATACCCACCGATGTCATACCACACCCCGCAGTCCAACTCGCCTGCCTCTGTTCAATCTCCTCAGCACGATCAGCATGGAAGGCCCATCTACGGGCAGCCGCCTAGCCAGATGCCTCAGTCCATGTACTACACGCCCTATGCATCGGCGCCGGTTCCCCAGCAGTCTCCTTACCAACAGCACCCGTCAAGCGCGCCCCAGCAGCCAATGGCGACGCAATCTCTGCTCATGTCGCATCAGCAAAACCAGCAGATGCAGCACCAGCACCCGCATCACCCTCAGACGCCCGGAATGACTGGAAGCCCCAAGCCGCGAATGTCGCAGACGCCGCTCCAGAGGCCACCATCGGGATTGGGTCCGCCACAGACTACGCCTCAAGGCCCGCCTGTCGGCACTCCCAACATGCACGCCGGTCCCCCAGGAGGACCCAACGTCAACCCGAATGCTGCGCCGGGTCCTATTCCGGCAACGACGCCTTTGGTCGTGCGTCAAGATCAGAATGGAGTTCAGTGGATCGCCTTTGAGTACTCTCGTGACCGCGTCAAGATGGAGTACACGATTCGCTGCGACGTCGAGTCGGTCAACGTGGATGAGCTTCCTCAGGACTTCAAGACGGAAAACTGCGTCTACCCACGCGCGTGCTGCGCCAAGGACCAGTACAAGGGCAATCGCCTTCATTACGAGACGGAGTGCAACACGGTCGGCTGGGCATTGGCGCAGCTCAACCCTTGCCTGCGCGGCAAGCGTGGCCTTATCCAGCGCGCTGTGGACAGTTGGCGCAACAGCAACCAAGACCCGCGGCTGAGGAGTCGTCGCGTGCGCAGAATGGCCAAGATGACTACAAGGAAAGCCCAATCGGCTACACACGGTACCCACATGGCTGGACCAGGTGGACCAGGTGCTCCTGGCGTTCCCAACTCTGCCGGACTAACTGCACCACCACGACCAAATATGGGCATGGGTGGTCCCCAGATGCACCATCACCATGATGGGCCTGGAGGGCCTCACGGAGGACCGGATGATGTTAGCGGTATGTTTCACCAGATGTGATGTGGCAAAGCGTAATTGTTGGTTGTTAAATGATACCTCTTGTCGTTCTTTTTGCTATATTTTATGTACATTACACTCTTTGATGTAATACCCCTTTCGATACCACCACTGCCCCCCCCCCATGCACATGTATGCATATACCCTCACATAGCTGTTACACACATGGTTTTTCTGTTGAGAGCGCAGGATGATGACGGGGAAAGTACGCAACCACTTTGTTCGGACGTGCAAGCTAACTTTGTTTGTGTACAGCCAATGACTACGGTGAATCATCACACACTCATCACCACCAAGCACCAAACGGACAGCAGTCCCCTGCCGACGTGCGCCCCACGCAGAACTTTTACCCTAACTTCCCTGCCAGCGACTCGGCTGCGGGAACAAGCGGGATGCCGCCAATTCACGACGGATTGAGCCATCCCCCGCATCCGCCCCATGCGGCGGGTGTGGCAGTCTCAAAGCAGCAAGAGCAAGACGAAGAGGAACGCAAACTAGCCATTTTTGGCGACCTACCTGATTCAAAGCGTCGCAAGTTTATTCTTGTCGACGACGCGCAGAGAGGAACTAGGGTGCGCGTTCGAGTGACGCTTGATACGGTCAAGATGGAGGAAATGCCAGACTCGTACCGCAAGTCCAACTCGGTCTTCCCGCGTAGCTACTTTGCCATGCAGATGACGTCTCCACCAGCCAGTCCCCGTGGCAGCAAGGTCTTCGCCGACGAGCCCGACGTCGAGAACGACCCCAGCTTTCCTTTGGCCGGCTCTACCGTTGTCCCAGTCCCAACGCTCGACGGCGAAGCCCGTGTTCCCAAGCCGCGGCTTACTCGGTCGAAGCGATCCAAGGAGATTACGCTCAATGATCTGGGCTACCGGATGAGCTGGTCCCAGAGCCGTGTCTTCGCTGGCAGAACACTGTTCCTGCAAAAGTCTCGTAAGTCACTGATGGCTAGCTATCAAGATCAAAACCAGGAAGCACTCGACTAACTTGCGGACAGTGGATGCCTATCGTAATAAGATGCGAAGCAGCATGATGGGCCAGGGCCAAGACGTGACCCAAGTAGCACCACACTTTGAGACGCGCGTTGGAAAGAGACGCTGGAACGAGAGGATTGAAAGGATGAAGAAATCGAGGCGCGACGGCTCTCCTTAAGAAGTATCCGGCCGCATCACCGAGATTGATGCCCTGGTTGCAGGCAGCCGCTGTCTAGCCCCACTTTTTCGGCACTTGCAGGGAGCCCCTACGAACGACCGGGGCTGACCACCCTTTTTCGACACGGCACTGCATCCTTTATGATTAGCCCGGCCGTTGTTCCCAACCCAGTTTCATGTCGGCTGCTTTAGGTTTCAGACCGCCGTCACCTGTCTGCCAACGTCTGTTTCCTTTTCGAGCATCCTGCCTGCCTGCCTGTTAGCCGCCACCGGGCAGGGCTTTTGATACCCCGTCTGCAAGTTATGACCTCTTGCGACATTCCAGTCTGTCTTTTTCATGTCTTTGTTCCATGTACTGTTTGTTGACAATGATGTGTATTCATTGCGCGCACACACGAATCTCATCGGCGCTTATGGTAAAATAAAAAAAATGGACAACGGGGAAAGTATGGCAAAAGCATGACATGGTGGTACGTGCATGTGGCATGAGGAAAGGAGTCCTTTTTTTTGTTCGTTATGATGGTATGTCTCTTGTTTTTTTGGTATGTTTGCATTGCGAGTTTTTGGGCGGTTTATCATTCTCTTCTCTCTTTTTTTATTGAAAATATCTGGTAGTAGAAGTTGAAAAGGCGATGTTTGGCAGTATGGACAGTACATATATATATATAATAGACATGGTTGAATTAGAAGTCCGCTCTCTCTTTTTTTCCCTCTCTCTCTCTCTCTCTTCACGAGAAATTCTTTCGTCGCTTTGATGCCTAGATTCCATCTGCACACGAAGGAAGGTGGGGGAGGGGGGGGGGCATTATCACGGCATCATCACGCAGACGGAAGGGAAGGGGGGAGGGGGTGGGGGTGGGGGTAAGAGAATACGAGCATAGTCTCATCAGACACACACACACACACACACACACACACACAAGTTGAAGCATGCATTCCCCAGAATACATGCCGTCATGCATCAGGCCATTTTTTTTCTTTCTCACCCACCAATTGGCCAACCCCCCTCCAGGAAGGGGGGAAAGAAAAAAAGATCATTGCCCTTTTGTACCTACATAAATTAGACGGAGCAGGGGTATCTATGTGTCTGTGTGTGTGTGTGTGTCTGTGTGGTAGGGGGGGGGGCGCGTACAAGCAGGGAAGCATGTATGTGGCGAAGAAATAAAATACGGAACACATGGACACATACACGGAAAAAGGGCGTTTTGGATGTATTTGAAAGAGAGAGAGAGAGAGATGGTAAGTATTTGGCATCAATCTGTCGGTCTGACAGATGGATAGATGGATAGATGGATAGATAGATAGATAGATAGCCCCGCCCATCCCCTCTTTCGCATTCGCTCCAATCACTCACTCACTCACTCACTCACTCACTCACTCACTCACTCATGTACGTGACATGACATGACATGACATTTCACTTGCATCAACAACAAGTCGAAAGCGAGAGCATGTGTACGAAACAAATAAAAAAAAGGGCATGCTAATACAGAGGTGGCTTTCAAAAGTTCTTGCTAAGGCGCGGATCCATCGGACCGAATTCTCGTGATAACGTTTCCATTATTTACTTAGCGTGCAAGAAATAATGCCTAATATAGTTAGTGTATTACTGTAAGTGTATACTTTAGTAGCTGTTATTCTCTCCAAACTTCCATTTTAAGGGCTTTTAGTTGAGAATATAGTATAATTCTTAGTCTTCGGCTATATTTTCGGTGGTAACCAAGGAACCCCTGTCAGCAAGAACTTTTGAAAGCCACCTCTGTACTAATACTAATGCCAACGTTACTCAGGAAAGGCAGGTCCATGCATGGGCAAATGGACAAGGGTGAGAAGAGAGTATGTGTGAGAGAGGGGGTGCGCGCGCGTAAAAAAAAAACTTTTTAAATAAATAAATAAAAAGGGCGCTCGAGTATAGTAGGGGGATCCCTTCCATGACTGTTCACTAGGGTGTGTTTGTGTGTGTGTGTGTGTGTGGGTATGTTGTGTTATGTTGTGTTATGTTGTGTTATGTTGTGTTATGTTGTGTTATGTTGTGTTATGTTATGTTATGTATGACATGTGTGGATGGATGTGACTTATGTTATGTGTCTGAGTGTGTGTGTGTGTGAGTGTGCATTTATTGTCCAAGGTACTAAATTCCATGCGGCAACAACAACAACAACAACAACAAAAAAACGGTGGTCGGGAGAACGCGGGTGAGTACTTATTGAATTTTTCTTATAATTTAAACGGAAATTGTCATGTTTTTTTTTCTCTCTCTTTCTGTTTCGTATTTTGCTATTTTTCTTCACAGGGTGTGTGTGTGTGATGGTTACACGTGGGGCATGGTGTCATGTCACGCCCAGAGAGGTACGTAATTATGGTACTTATGGATATTACTTTCAGACACACACAAACACACACACATACACCATCATTATCCTCGTATACAGCGTATACGCGTCGTATACCACCATCGTATTCTGAAATCCAAATAAAAAGATTGGGGGGGGAGGGGTGGGTAATATGTATATTAGTCCGAAATTTCTACTACGCGTGGGAGTCCCTGGTTTGTTCATTTCTCTCTCTCTCTCTCTCTCTCTCGCTCTTGTTCATCTTTTTTTTTCGGTGTCTATGGGTATGGCTGTGTCTGCCCTATGGGGCTTTTTTTGACCAGGGTTGTTATACATAGGCCATCCTTGACTATAGCGAGGAACATGGTATTAGGATATCGCATGGATGATACTTAGACAGAGAGAAATGCAGATTTGATTAATTTCTGGATGGCGTGGGGGTTGCGTATGTGTGTGTGTGTGTGTAAGATGCAATGTGTGAGAGAGAAAGGGGGGAGGGTCTTTTACTTTTGGTTTCGCTTGACTCGTCATGTGTGTTTTACTTTTTGCCGGCTTCTGATTGGTTGGTTTACTTGGATAATACTGGATGGGGAGACTGTAAGGGAAGAGGGTTGTAGCCGGGTGGAGAGGGGGGGCCTGGCTGCATGGGCAATGGGAAGGGAAACCATGTGTATCTTGTGAGGGAAGTAGAGTGAGGGATCTTCCCTTCTCTCGGGTATCTGTCTTGTCTTTCTTGCTTGCTTGCTTTCGCGGCCTCCCTGACTGTCTGTCTGTCAGTCAGTTTGTCAGTCTGTCGGTGTGTCCTGTCTAACACCCGCACGCTTCATTGTCCCATCCAATAACGAAAGACAATCGCAAAAGGCAAAAAGAAAAAAGGGGGCTTAGCAGAGGGAGCGTGTGTGTGTGTGTGTGTGTGTGTGTCCAGCGGGACCCGCGGCGCGCAAAGTTAGACACGAAATGAATAAAGTCTAGAATCATATGGCTTTACTTTTTCCTCTCTTTCCGTCTTTGGTTTTGTGTGGTGGGTGTGGCAAGCTAATGCGGGTTCGTGTCGTGGGAAATCAATCACACGTTAGTTTCTGGCCTTTGTGTCAGACAGTTAATTAGTGCTGGTTTTGTTTTGGGACTGAGTTTGGGAGGGGGGGCAGAAACCAAAATGCCTTCGGCAGTTCTGTGGAAACTCACATGAGGAAAGCCAAAATTGATTAGTTTTCATCTGGCCTTTTCCTTTCAGCACACACTTGTCTCCTGCTCTCTTGCTCGCTATTCATAGTTATGAGGTGAGCATGAGCTCATACGCCCAAGGTTGGCCAGGAAGATGGGTAAGCTTTCAGTGCAACGGGTGGGACTAGGTGTAGGCTGCTGGCAAGACATCAACATGTTACTCTGCCCACATGACCTTGCACTCGACCACGCATCTGTCTTCTCTTGCTGTGGCTGGCCTGTCCCTGCCGGCATGCCATTGCCTCTGTGCTGCTCTCGGTCCCGGGCTCTTTTGCTTGTTATGACATGCTCGCCCACGGCTGGGCGTGCCTGAAACACGTCGCAGCGGTTTCTGGCATGGCCAGGCAGCGCCAAATGAAATCGTCGTACATTGGCTGTTGCTTGGTCATCCGGGCGATTCAGAAATCATACCACGCGCCCGCAGGCAGAGTCAATGCCGAACCGGCACGCTGAGCAGCCGCCGCCGCCGTGTGAGCAGGAAAAGGGCCATTGTGTGTTTCACCGAAGAACGAGCGTTCGGCCAGCAAATCCTCATGGTCTTATTCGCCCCGCCGGCCGCGACGACAATGCGGTTTCCACAGCGTCGCCTTGGCAATGACGCGTTGCTGCTTTGCGCCCCATCTCCGAACCGTTGTCTAGTCCCAACGTTGTTCCGGACGCCTCTCTGCCCTTGCCCACCCACCCACTCTCCCCCTCGCCCCCTGTCAAAACCGCCCCCATACAACCTCGCGTGCGTGTAGCGCAACCCATAAACTTGGCACCCACCACGCGCCGGTACTTTTTCTGCTTTGTCGCCTGCGTCGTGCGCTACCAGAAGAGGCCCCGATGGCCTGGATACGGCCCACCCCAGGGCGTTTATTGAATCCGACGTCGACGACGACCGCCGCGACCGCCTCGCCGAACAATAAGAGGCGCGATATTAAAACGCGAATATTAACTCGTCTGCTATACGTTGCAGAACACAAAAATAACACTCGACGGACCAAACCTCCGCACACACACACCCAGATACACACAGACACACGCACACACGCACACAGTCGTATACACGCTTCCCACTAGCGCCTAGCAAAATTTAAGCTACCACGCCTTTTTGGAAACTCATGCGCTAGGCCGATTCTACAGGGTAAGCTCGCCAAGACGTCCGATGCGGGCGAAAACGGTGTGCCGTAGTCTTGGGAATGCAGAATGGTTTTTTTTCCTCCTTTTGATAGGGTTGGGTGGGGCATCACGCGACAAGAGCCAGACAAGAAGAAGAAGGGAAGAAAAGATGGCTGTGTCCTCTTCCGGAGCTAGACGACAGACAGAGAGTGAGCTATTGTGTAATGGAGCTGGTGGTGCGTCGGCCTAGTTGCTCTGCAATCATGCAAACAGATACATGGTTGGTCACCGGTGTGGAGTTGACTCGGAGTCACTTGGAGTAGCTTGGAGCTAATGCGTGGATGGGCGATTGGAGTTGCGGATGCGAGCAAGTAATGCACGTCCGGTATGGCGACACAACGACCCAATTCGTCGCGGAGCCGTCGTTATCTTTCCGGTAACAAACTCAATCTCATGTGGACAGGTCCGCATGCACGCATCCATCCATCCACTAGTATACCGTTAAAGAGCAAGCAGGCAAATAGGCAAGCGAGAGAGAGAGAGAGAGAAAGAGCGAGACCAAAGGGCGCTACGCGTACGACCTGGACAAAATGCCGATCGTGATATCAAAATGCCCGCATCGTTGACCACTGCCGCGGGTGCGGCTGCAAATTCAGTCCGGCAAGTGTTTGAAATCGCACATTGCAATGCTCATCGTTCATCATAACCATCATCATCATCATCACGCCTGTTCACGCGTAAAGCAAGCCCCACACACATGGCCATTATACTCTCACTCGGTGTCATGTCCCTCTCCGCATAGGCCCAGCCAGGCACATCGTCATTACAACATGCGCTTTTTCCACACACATACACACACACCCCCGACTCAACTCAAATGACTAGCAGGGAAGGTGAGTCGAGAGAGAAAGCAAAGAAAAAAAGGATATTATGTGCATACGTACGTAAAGTACGTTAGACGAGAAGGCTGCAAAGGCAAAAAGAAAAGTGAGACCGAAGTCTGGACGCGTTCCTGAACCGCCGACAGGGGGGGGAGTGGGCGGGGGAAAGGGTTTCTGCCTTTTGGGTTTTTTCTCATGGGAGGGGGGGAAATACCCGGCTTATTTTGCTGACATGCACGGCTTTTGCACATGCACTGAATCGCCGCGGGTGGCTGCTGAGCTACTTGCTTGCTACACGCTGCTTTGCTGCTGATGTGTGAACGCAAATTCTGGCTGCGAACGCGTGGGCCGCAAGATCCGCGGGGTGGAGGGAGTGCAGATTAGTGAGAAGTGAGAGGGGAAGGGGGAAGGGAGGGAGGGTTTCTGAGTCGTGACTTTGTTAGGACGAGGGTGTGTGTGTGTGAGTGAGAGAGTGTGAGAGAAAAAGAGAAAGAGAGAGAAAAAGAAGGACTTGCAAGCCAAGTGAGAGCGGTAATATTTTGAGTTTGACGTGTGACTTGAGCTCAAAGTTGAGGCTTTTTTTTTGCGCGAATTCATCAATAATGCACTCGAGGTATTATAGCTGTGTGACAGTACGTGCTTTGTGTATACCTAGCATTGCAAATACAGACATAATTTGTAGGCATTATTTAGATTGCATAGTGAGTGAGTGAGTGAGTGAGTGAGTTGATAGTTGTGTGAGGGGTAATAAAGACTTGTGAAGAGGGAAGATGTGTAAACTTCAAAGAAAGTGGATGACTAGTCTTGTTAGATTGTTGTGTGTGCTTTGCAAAGGTAAGTTGCATATAGGACATTAGATTGTGTATAGTAAGGAGCGGTTGTGAAGTGACAGGCAAAGACAAGTATAATAATTCACGATATAAGTAGAATGTGACATAGGATCTTAGTCAATGTGAAATAAGATGTACATTAGTTCGACAACTGCATAGCTTGCAGACACGCTGTGATGTAGCATAGATACCAGGTGCTACAAGAGAACCTATATTCCTCACAAATACGCCGGTGTCTAGGAGAAACACATACAACGCGCAATGTGAGAAACCCGCTAAACACTATCTCCTCTACTTCCCTACTACCAAAGAAAGCGAAATCTGTATAAAACAGCAGAAAAGAAGAAGGAATTAAAAAGAAACTAAACATACACTCCAATAACTCTAGACATGTCAAATCCTATCACTTCAAGACATCTCAGCGCTCTCCAACTACACACAACCTAGAGCCTCAATCGCAAACTAACTGCGCGACTTCCACCGGCTATCCTTTGCTAGAGTGTAGGCTTCTGCTTGTTCTAGCCGTCTATATCAGTTCTATGGATTCTACATCGTTGTCATGGATAATAACTCCATTCACAATAGTGTACTTACTAATGTCGGGCTCTGAGTCTTCGTCCTCATCCTCATCATTCTCCTCATACGTGTCGTCAGAGATTGTTGCCTGGTATTTAGCAAGATGCCTGTCCCCCTTTGCGCGCAACTCCGTCCATGACTTCCATCCGTCTTCCTCGTCACTGAGTGCTCTGGCTCTGGCTTTGGTGTTGCGACGCCTACCAGGAGCCTTGACGCTCTCGTCGTCTGAGGTCTCGGCGAGCATGTCGACCTTCTCTCCAAAAGGACCAGTTATGCGGTGGCGAGGGGTAAGGCTTATACTTCGTAGGCCACTTCCCATTTCCTCCATAGTGCCGGATTCAGATTCCTCTTCGGCCAAGAACGTGGCTGTTTGTTGATTGAGGTGCGAGATCCTTTCATGAGCGTCTAGTTTGGCCTTCCGGTATAGGCGGGTAGTTGCGGTTGAACCAGCAGACTTTTTCGAGGTGAATTTAGGTACATCTAGGAGACCTGGCTGATTGTGACCTCCTGCTGTGCGTGGCGACATACCGTGCGATGACGAAAGTGCTTGATTGTTAACCTTTGCATTCGATCTTGGCGACGGGTGAAAGCTAAAGCTGTTCTTCTCACGGGAAATACCACTGAAGTTTCTGCCTAGTGGGGAGAGAGTACGCATCCTAGCTTTCTTTGCTGTTGGACTAGATGCTTTTGTCTTCCCTTGCATCTTTGATTTGTTAATACCCCTTCTCTTTACTTCTCCAGCAGTTTCCTGCTCATCATCGCCATCATTACCACCAGAAGGTGGAAAATCGTCACTACTGTCATCACTGCTGACGTCCCACACTTTCCTCTTGCCTTTCTTGGCCCCGCTGATACCAGACGAATTGGCGTGGTTGGTAAGAGAGCGAGCCCTTGGAAAGTCAATATTGTCTAGCAAGGAGCGACGCTTGAATACCGGTCGCCTGGCCGTCGAGGATTGAGTCTCTTTCTCTAGTGGTGTCTGCTTCGCCTGGAGTGGAACGCCTGTTGTCTGCGCACGTGGAAAGATGCCTGAGCTCAGAATAGACGGTTTTGCGGTATTTGCTCCATGCTGAGGTTGTGCATGTGATGCTGCAAACGGAGTCGATTGCGTCTGGCTAAACAAGCTATGCGTACGTTTAATCTGTGGAGGCTTTGAAGAAACCTAAGGTATTAGCATATAAGAATGGTTTGTATGAGCCTCCAACATACCTTTCCTGTCTTTGGGCAATCTCCATATAGTTGTCGTATAGCCGATGGGATTTGAACCGGTGATGGCTCCTGTGGTGAAATCGTCTCCTCGTCGTCAGAGACAAGATTGATGAATACGGAAGGCGAGGCTTTCTTATCCGCTGGAAGATTCAAGGATGTTGTAGTCGATGTTTGTTCACCTCTAACACCAGTAATTGTGGGTGATACCGTTTGCGAACGAGCTCCTACGACTCTTCTATCCAAATTTGCTTGGCAGTCATGCATGTTGCTTGATTCATTGAGCCCGGTCTTGAACGCCTTCTTCTCACTCGCGTGTTTGGCGACCAGTTCTGCGCGCTCCTTCTCAAGCTTTTGCTGTAATTTGGCATGGGCATCCTGAGCCATTCGATCGAAACTCTTCATGTCTTCTTCGTGCTTACGGTGAAATGCAAGCCATTCTTTGTTCCTAGATTGTGGGGGGTTTGGATCTGGCGCCGCCATGTTGCCAACTCCAAGTGATCAAGGTTTGGATTTCGTTTGTGATGTGCAGAGATAGGTATCGCCAACTTCAAGAGACCATGCTTTAGGGTAGGTTTGGCCTGTTATAGGGAGAGTAAGAGGCAGGTAAAAGCAAAACAATCTAGGTGAGTGTGGGCGGATATAAACAAAGTGAAGGCAAGTTGCGTTGCTAACCGAACAGAGCAAACAAAAACAACGCGCTAGCTAGTATGTTTTAGGTCGTTAAAGGTGAGAGAGAATCTCTAAATAGCTATGTTTAGATCAAGGTGTAGATATACAGCGCAAAGACAGTAGGTGATAATATATATGCGCACCTAGCGACTAAGCATAGTTGTATGCATGATGCGCGGTGAAGTCCGTCTACTTCGGTGGAATATAATACAAATCTCTTAATACCTAAGAAGAGTTGCTAAATAAGGTCTACTACCACACCCTTAGTAGATAGACTTCGTAGATCTTGCAGAGTAATTTGCTCTCCGTAGCTTCTGCGAGTGAATGCAGACAGGTGCCTCTATGCTCTGCAAGCATACCTCTCAATGTCTCGTCCCATAGTTGCAGGTTATTAGTGCCTTGTCTTTCGGCGTGTCCTTGCAAGGCATCTTAAGCCAAGCTCTCTCACTGAACTTCTAGTGTTCTACCCGCATAGCCGAGTGTTTATAGCTCTATCGAAGCCATAGTTTCAACCTCACGTGAATTTCCATGTGCCCTTAACATCTTCACAAGTATTTCTTTGCCGCTGTCGCAACTCTTTGCCTGAACACTGGGCTCTTAATCACATCCCCGTTGCCGACTGCGAAGAACGGATTCATGATAGTTTTGACCCACGCCTCATACACATCGACCATGAAGTTCTTGACAGCCTCTTCCGTCGCAGGACTGTTGGGATTGTACAGTCCTCCACCGCCACTCAGCGCCGATCGCCCACCTGCCAGACTTCCCCTCGCACCTCCGGCGCCGCCACTGGTAAGCCCTAGACTCTCGTCTCGAGGCCTTGTGAGCAGGAGAAACCGAGTGTTCCCGCCTGTTATCCAGCATGATACAAAACAGTTCTGATACTTGTCGATATGCTTGAGATACATGGGCGCGGAGCCGCTGGATGAGGACGGCCCCCACTGTACTTCTTCGACAATGTCAAGCGAGGAGTGTAGGATGAACGGGACAAGGGCGCGCTCAGATGGGGTGAAGTTTGCAACACCGGTTCCGCCACTGCGAGATGTGCCGAAGTCGTGGGTAAAGAGAGGGACGTCGAGAGGCGAGAGAATAGAGAATGTGTACGACATGGTGTAATCGATGCGTGCGCGAATGCGCTTGGTTCGATGTTCGGCGCTGACGTGGGGATAGTTGCGATTTACAGCACTGCAACTCTTTTCTATTGTAGGTACAAGGTGTCGGTTGTCTTGCTGTTCGTAATTCGTAAATTCGTAAAGTTCGTGGTAGAGCTGAAGCTGGAGGGAACGTGCAGTGGTGCTGAGCTTCCCCACGCTAACCGGGATGCCCGCCAAGAAGTCCGCGAGAGTCTTTCGCAGAATATCGCGACTTCAGTTGCGCCTGTCCGACCTCGCAACCCCCACACATCAACATGTTCGGTCCTTTCCGCCTCACAGATCCACTATCAGGCGGTCTACTATGGTGCGTCTTGTCACAGAGAATTTTCCCGCGCAATTGCTCCGTCTAGCCATTATCCACAATTTCCGCTACCGTCTTCCCCAATTCTCTGAGTCTGTTTCTGGCGACTACATGCTAACACAGACGCAGGAAAGTACCATGGCGACTTTCCAGGCACCAAAAGTATCGTCACCGTGAGCGGCTGCGACATGTCGACACTGTCGTCTCCACCCTCGACACCGCACTACGACGAATGGGCCAAAGCATGAAGAAGGTGGAGCGCTGGAAGACGGAGATGCCGACCGAACAAGAGATGCTTCCAAAGGACAAATACACTGTATTCGACCGGAAGGTAAAGAGGTATCGCAAAGGAATACACAGTAAGTGGCAAATCATATGGAACCGCACAGCCGATGCATTGGGAGGGCGAAACCGCGAGCTTGGCGGGCAATATGAATGTGTTCTGACGGCTTGCAGAGGTACCCAAGTGGACGAGGGTCAGCCAAAGACTCAATCCCCCGGGTTTCTAGACGTGTGTCAATGCGACAGATGGCGAGTCTATGTATATTCTACTGTTACCATACGGGTTGCATCATATACGGCGCTTTGGAAGAGCGGAATTGCAGTATACCTGATCTTCCCACTCCACAAACGATGCTTTCCACTCAGCCAAGACTGGACATGTTCGTGATATTTCGTCGAGTGAAGCATTCTCAAGACATTAGCCGCTGCCATTCATGCTCGAAACACGCATTTCGTACCCCAGTCATACTAAAAGTTACCTGCCCATGCAACACCAATAAAACAGAAAGATTAGTGCAAGGGATCAGAAAGCGCGGACATATTCCTCCAATGTTCAAACCACACAGTCTCTTCTTTCCGCATCAGAACAGCATGCCCAGTTCATTAGGATCGACTGCCATGCCGTCAAGTCCAAATCCTTGGGCGTTCCACCCCATATCGAGAGGCAGGAATCCATTCCATAGCGCAGCATCATCAGCGGACGCATTGTTTCCGCTGCCAACAGCAAACTCGTTTACCGCACTCAAATCTGTCCATCCAAAATCACCCATCTGCTCTGTAATTGCTGGACTTTCGCCCGTCGTGCCGTTGCTACTAGCTTGTGGACTGGTCTGGTTAACAATTACTGGATGCTGTGGGAATCCGTTCTGATCCACTGGTGTACTGGCGATATGTGTGCCAGGATGGTGAAAGGACGGCCGACTTGCTTTGTCCTTCCTTGGTACTTTGGCCCAGAGCAGTTTGAGCAGCTGCGAGTAGCGAGAACCTGGGTGCTGCACGCCGCTCCCAGAGCCTACTGCACTGCGCTGAAGACGTGCTACTGTCTCGTTAATCATTGCGCGGATAGCACGATCCTCGTCTGCGCTAATGACCCCTGTACAGCGGGCGCGGTAGAGGAAGACACCTGCATAAACCAGGTACAGGTAATACCGGAGTGGCATAAACCGCAGTGAGCGTTCGGGATCCACGAAATTGTTGACTGTGGTAAGAATAGCCTTTGCTGAATCCAGGCCTTCGTAAATGAAACGCGCGTCCCCGACGGCGCCTACATTGTTTACGAAAACGCGTTGAGGGGCTTGCATGCGGCCCATGCTGTTGTTGGCTGGGGCGCCGGAGCCTGAATCGGCAGATGAAGCTGTTGACGGCAACGCTCGGAGGACAGTGGCTTGAAAGGCAAAGGCATTGGTGTACAGACGCAAATAATCGTACGACATCAGCAGACACGCTTTGAGAGGTGGTGAGCATGTCAATGTGCCCCACACGCTCTTCCACCCGTACATGGCTGACCGGAAATCATCAATAAACTTGATGTAGCTGCCGCTCATCTGCGAGCGAAAGCTCGAACTGGGATTCGAGTATAGCGTGTCGTGTACATTGCTGAAGAGCTGCGTGAGCTCCAAATTGGCCTGGAAGATGGACGCGTGATCTTCTTCGTTGGGATTCTTGGGGATCAATGAAGGATAGTCTTCTCTCCGTAGAGTCGTCAAGGGCCCAGGACCGCGAGACCAAAACGCCTTCCCGATCCTGATACTGATATGGCGATCCGAAACGTATGCTGCCGTCCATACAAGACGCTTGCGATGATGGTCTTGATCCTTCCACTGGTCAACGAATCGGAATGAATACTGATCCAGCGCGAGGAAGTATGCAATTCTCAGCGCAAGACCAACGTGCATCCAGCTCTCCTTGTCTTCTTCTCCTTTGCCGACTTTTCCGGAGCCGCGCTGAGTGTAAGGCGCCCACTCAGCCAGGATTAGTAGAGCCTCGACTGTTTCAATACCAGCTTCGCCTCCTGCTGCGAGGGCAGAGACTAGGCTCTTCATGTGTTCGCAGCATGCTTCGTATATATGCGGCTCGTCGACGAGGTCTTTTGAGGCGATGACGAGAATTGCAGTAAGGAGGTGTTTCTCCTTGTTCACCAAGTCAGACAGGCGAGATGTCTCGAACGCGTGGGCTGGCGCGAGAGGGTAGAATGGGTGGTATTGCTGCTGGTATCGAACCAGCAGCTGGCAGAGAGAATGGACCGTAAGCACTCCCCGATCCAGCAATGGATAAGAGAAGGAGAGCGGCGCCGGCATGCTTAGTGATGATCCCCTAGCGTGTGCAATGTTGTTGCCATTCCCGCTGTTCTCTTCATTCGAGCTCGTTTCACCAGCAACTCTGGCCAAGATGCCCAGGGCATCAGACGGATTTTGGAGATTCGAGAAGGGCAGCTCATCTGTATTTGAAGAGTCCGACTGAGGCGCCTGAACATCGTCCCCAAACTGTTGTACACTGGCATCTTGCGACCATGTTGTTCCGAGGTTACCCAGGGTATGGAAGCTTCCTTCTGGTGCACTAGCAGAAAGCGGCGGCAATGTCGGTTGTACTTGCGCTGCTGACTGCGATTGCGGCTGCGCTTCTGACTGCGGTTCGTCTGGGCGCTTCTTTTTTCGTTCTCGTCGTCCACCGCGATTGCTACCGCCCAGCACGCATTCGAGATTGTCGCGCTTGCAGCGGAGGCATGGTATCGAATTGTGTGAATCCCTGCAGCCCTGTTAGACTACCAAATTGATATGCTATACTAGTTCGGTTGTAATTTGACGTCAGAGTCTGCAGCTCGCAGTAGAGCGCAGTTGTGCTGGGCTCGACCTTGCAGCGAACCAAGGCGACCGGAAAGCCGTCAACCACTTACAGCAAACACCGACTCTTCCGCTTTCTGCAGTTCAAGCACGCAATCTGCGTCCTCTTGATCTTTGAGGCATCGTCTTCATCCGGGTTGGCGGCCGCCTGCGCGCCGGCAGGCTGTTGTGGGGCATTTGTTTCCATACCTCATTTCGAGTCGGTGGTTGGTGTCGGTGTTTGAAGTTGTCGGGGACTGGGGCGAAGGCAAAAGGCGGAGACATTGGCAGCGGGCGCACCCTAGTCCGGGCTAGAACAAAGAACACAGAACCATCGGCTCGGCTATTGTCACGCGTGGGCCATCGGTCAGACGACACACACATCTTGGCCATGACATGGCAAAATTCCATGTGAGCAAGCCTAGCTGCCGTGTAGTCCTTTGCAGCTTTTGGACAGCAACGAGTTACCGGTCATGGCTTTTTGGTAGTTTGGCCCAATTTGGATATATCTTTTTGGCTGTAATCGCCGCATCTTCAACAAACAGGGCTCGGTGGTGTAGTTGGTTATCACGTCAGTCTAACAAATTGTTAGGCCACTGAAGGTCCCGAGTTCAAACCTCGGCTGAGTCAAAGCCGGAGCTCGTATGAGCTCCACAACCCTTTTGCTGTGTCATGCGCTCCAGGATTATTTTTCGTGGGGAGATTCTTTTTGCTAGTTCTGAGTGAGTGAGTGTTTGGTTGCAAACCACCTGGCAAACTTGTAGGGTCTGGCATGCACAGTTTCGGGTTTCAGGTCTCGTGTCAAATTATAATGCATCATCTAGGTGTGATGTTGATAGTTTTCAACAGCAGGGGGGCTTGGAAGTCTGGATAAACTAGGCATCAGTTAGATTGATGCATACAAGTGCGTTACAAAGACATGCCTCAGGCTGTCGCTCAAGGCACAATCTAGGTGGAGGTTCCTGTTCACAGAGCTGAGGATTCATCATAGTTGTGTACGCTTTGTGTTGTGTAATGCACATGTCGAATTGGTATTGGACGAATAGTGGTACAAGCTGCAAGTCCAAAATGCAGATGCGTAAATAGCGCGACGTAGGTTGAAAAGTGTATACAGAAAACACGCCATAGCAACGGCTTTTGAGTCATTGGCCGGTAATTGAAGAGTGATACGACTAGATGCAGCCGTAAAAGAAGACTAGGTTTTTTTTCAGTGACGTGTCAAAGCCGTAATCATAGTTATTCTTGCCAGGTTGAAATGGCTACCGCCCGCCCTCACCACTCCAGGCTCAAACTATCGGCCCAACTGCCCTTCTTCTCCACCCTCAAGGCACTCTCTACGTTGCCCGAGCCAAGGTCTGCGCCGTACAGATGCGCGAAACAGCCACGGCCTACCTCCTCCCACTTGAGCTCCGCCTTGTTGTCCGGATGTACGTGGCCGTCGCCGTCTGTGCCCGCGGCCAGCACGTCGTACTTGATCTTCAGCAGCCACAGCTCGCCGACAGTGGCAAAGAACTTGTCGGCGGTGCCGGGGACTTGTTCGGAGGTAGACAGATGGATGTAGCCGTCATTGCGGTCGAGGTCTGAGAGGGGCAGGCGGGTGGGGAGCGGTGAGGGTGGGGCACTGGGGAGAATCTTGTACAGGAAAGTCGGAGGGGGGAGGGGCGGTGGCATGTTGGTGGGCGGGCGCGTGATGTGGCTGAAAGCTGTTTTGGTGAGATTGCGCTCACCGAGAAGGTCGAGTATGCAGAGCTTGGCTGACGATAGACGTCACCAGGCAGGGCAGAGGGCTCGCGTCCACGTCGCGGGACCGGCTGGGGTGCGTGTGATTGGCAGGGGCGAGATTACGTGAGGTAGACGACGCTCCACCCCAACCACTGGACCAAGATGGCTCTCGGGCGCCACAAAACTCAGCCTTAGCAGACCCGGGCAGCCGTCAACATGGACAAGCCAGTATTGCCGTTGCTTTTTCCATCCACCTTGCGCGCCAACGGTACGGTTCCAAGTGGAGACAGCTGCCCGACGCCTAGACATCGTTGTCGCGTCACCTAACTGCGCCCGCCCGACTCTACACACTCGCAGCCATTGGACCACGCAGCATCGATATACTCGAGGCGGTGGACCACCACCAGCACCTATACACGTGAACCTTACACAATCCTTGCAAGGTTGCCCACGCTGCAGCAAAGGGTCGCCATTGCCTCTATGCACCCGCGCTAGCTGGCTAGGTTGGGTGCTGCGCAACTGCTAAGAATGCTCGTCCCGGCGACGACGACAGTCTCCCTCACCTGCCGCTTCCCTCAGCATCATGGCCATAGAGCTCACGGGGGACGAGATGCACCACCTCTCCCAAGAACTCGATCCCGCCCCCGCGCGCTGTTGCGTGCGCAGAAGTACCGGACCCCCTAGTGTGTCGTCACATGTCATCTTCGAGTACCTCAACAAAGGCGCCGCCAACATCGTCTTCCAAATCCACTCCTGGACGCATAATGGCCCGGCGACCAAATTCTTCTTTTTCGACGTCTCGCGCGAAGGCCGGCTGTCCTTCAAAGCCACGCCGACGGACCACGACTATCTCATGCGCCACGTCCTTCGAGTCCCCCGAGGTGGTCAGAAACATCTGTCTTCCATGGAAATCATCCACGGATACGAGAATGCTATCCGTCCGCTCTTTCTGCCCGGCACATACAAGACACTTGGTAGAGCAAAAGCATCACAAAACGGCTCCGACGCCCCGCTCACGGTGCACCTCAAGAAAGATCTCACCAAGCATCTCATGGATCACGAAGGCGTCCTCCTACTACCAGAAGTAATGAGCCACCTCTACACAAGAGTCGAGAAAGGCACATTCACCAACACTGCATCACGAGTTTGCTGGGGCATCCTGCTCCCCAACATGTCGCCTACGCCTGGACAGTCAATAACATTCGAGATCAAGCCCAAGTGGCTTGCGCAATCGCCAAATGCGCCTCCCGGAGCTATGCGTTGTCGGAACTGTGCAATGCAGGTTTCGGTACCAAAGAAAAGAGACACCTACATATGCCCGCTCCAGGTACTCCACGGCAATTCGGAAGCCCTGCGTCCGTGGGTACATACAACCGTCATGCGCCAGTTTGGCCGCGATTTGCCGTCTCAGGCTGTAGTTTCGACCATGGTCGAGGGCATTCTAAACTACCTTACGGTTGGAGACGGCGTCGAGCTACTGCGACATCTTCTCCAACTACAGAGTACACTCGACCCACGGGGGGTCCTCTGTCGACCGCATCACGGATCCGACTTGTTCGACTACAACCTTCGACTGGCCATGACACTAAGAGACTGTTCGCTCTTCATCAAAATCTCGTACAACACCCGAGGCATGACGGGAATCGAGTCGAAACTCGGTGATCTCGACTTCAAGTCTGCCGAAAAGATTGTTGATTGGACGGACAAGGAGCGACAGCTTTTGAGAGACGATGCTTATCTTGCACCAAACGGCCCGCCATGTTGGATTCAAAACGTAAAGTGAGCTTTCAGTCTCCTGGACTGGCCTGTGAGACAATCAAGGCTACGAGTCACCAAAGCCACTTGAATGACTGGGAAACGACACACCATGAACCTGGTTCCAGCACAATGTGTTATCCGTCAAAACATCGTCTACCACAAATTTACACGCTGCAACTCGCACCATCATACCGACGATGCCACCTGATGACAATCATCCTGCTATTCAGTCTGCAAAACCAAGCAGCACATACATACCAGTGAGAAGGAGATGGATCTACCCAACAACAAAGCACCTGACAACTAAGACGAAGATTGTAAGAGAAGACGACTAAACTAGCACCTTGTCATATAACGGGGCACGAAATTTGTACAGAGAGACTGGCACAGATCAATCAATAAGAAGGATCAATGAAAGAAGCATACCAGTGGAATGGGGCCGTGTAAAGAGCCTTCCTCTTAGGGGTGAGGGGGGGGGACACGTAATGAGGAGGACTAAGAGATACAGAAGAAGAGAAGGGAGTGACCAAGGGAGAGAGAGAAAGAAGAAGAAGAAAAATTGGGAGGCACATTGTCTATTTTTTTTGCCTTTTACTGGGATTCAACCAAAAGGCTGGCGGGGGGCAACAAACGGACGGACGGACAGATGGCGGCGGGCTGGTGTGCGGGAAAACTAAAAGGTGGCATTTTATTTTTGCTCTGCTGGGACAACGGAAGGATTTTCTTTCTGTCTTTTCATGTCCTGTTTTCTAATCTTCCTATGTTCTTTTTTTTTTCTGTTTTGTATGTGTACATTCCCTTTCTCTTCCTTTCCTTTCCCTCTTCTTCTCTTTCTCTATCTTCTCTTTCTCTATCTTCTCTTCCCTCGTCCTTTTCACTCTCTTCTTTCTTCTCTTTTTTCACTCTCTCCTTACAACGAGTGTACATCTAAAGTGTATAGAGCCTTTTTCCCTTCTCCTTTGATAGACATCATTTTCTCTCTTTCTCTCTCTCTCTCTCTCTCTCTCAGTCTGTCTCAGTCTCTCTCCGTCCTAATTCCTTTCCTTTTTTTGAGCTTCATCAACTTTTCCAAGTATCTATCTATCTATCCCTCCATCCAGCTACCGTGCTTAATCCACACCTTGCATACTTTGCATAGCTTTTCTTTTTCTTTTTTTCACGACTTCTCATGGGACTGAATTCAGCAAGCGAATCGAGTTTAGGAGCAGAGAAAAAAAATCACCCGAAAATTGTTTCATATCAATCTAGGGTTTGATTGGTGAAGCAAAAGAGAAGAAAAGGGGAAAAAAAAAGGGGGAGAGGAAGAGCAAGGAGGTGGAACAGTAGACAAGTAAGTGAGTGAGTGAATGAACCAGGTCTCTGATTTGAATTTTTTTTTCTCTCTCTCGCTATTTGGGTATCTATTTCAAAGGCCAATCGCAAGGGAGAAGAAGAAGAAGAAGAAGAAGAAAAAGAAAAAGAGGAAGAGTAGGAAACGAGACGAGACGAGACGAGACGAAACAAGATGAGATGAAACGAAAATCGGCATCGAGACATGGTCATTATATACAAGAAAAGAGGAAAAAAAACTCCCCTAAAGTAGGAAGAAAAGAAGAAGATAGTGAAGAAAAAGAAAAAACGCCTTGCCTACATAGCGAGAGATCATGACACGATGATGCAGCGATCGTGATAAGTAAGGAATCCGTCAAAAAGGCAAATGTACAACCGGAAAAACATAGACGAAAAAAAAAGAAAGTCACGAATCAACTTCCTAGGCGCCTTCTTCGACAAAACAATGGACGCGAACAGTGCCGTCTTCACTACCACTAACCACACGCTCATCGCTCAGCCCCACACAGGTGATAGGCCCCGTGTGACCGGTAAGCGTGCGCTCGTGCTTGCCGGTCCTAGGATCCCAAATCTTAATCGTCTTGTCCTCGGCGCCGCTCACAAGTCGCAGCGAGTCGGCAGCAAGCGACCAGATGCCTTCGACGTGGCCGAAGAAGCGGTGGACACAGCGGCCTGAGGGCACGTGCCAGAGGCGGATGGTGCCGTCGAGGGAGCCGGTGAGCATGTACGAGGGGGGAGCAGGACGGGCTGGGTCGTCTGGAAAAAAGGACGACTTGTCGTCGTGGGCGTGTGCGTAGGATGACGAGGCGAGGGATTGGGTACGGGATTTCGGTGTGTCGGAGGCGAGCGACGCCGTGTCTGACGTGTCGTTGTTGGCGTTGGCGACAAAGTCGTCTTCGTCGATTTCAAAGGCTTTGGGCAGCGGGAGCACTTGTTGGACTTGGCCCACGTGGCCTTCGTAGGTCCGGATGCAACGTTGTGTGTCGAGGTCCCACAGTTTGACTGTCATGTCGTCGGAGGCGGAGAAGAGGGTTCGCGAAGGAACGTCCAGCTTGACCGAGTTGACCCAGTCCGTGTGGCCTAGAAGCGTGGTACGTTTCATCTGCGTGAAGTCGTGCACCATGATGGTGTTGTCAGAGGAGCCAGATGCCAGGAGCTTATCTGCCATGTGAAGGCCAATGACTCCGTGGCTGTGACCATTCAGCGTCTTGATCAGTGCACCAGTCCGCCAGTTCCATATCTTCATGGTATTGTCCAGGCTTCCGGTGATGAGCTTACTGTCTTCAAACTGCAAACATCGGATGCCCTGAGAGTGGCCAGTAAGCGTGCGTATCTCTTGGCCAGTCTTGATGTCCCAGACTTTGACAGTCGCGTCATAGGATCCCGTAATGAGGACCTCGTCGTCGAACTGTAGGCACATGACGCCATTGGTGTGGCCTTTGAATATCCGTGTTGAGTAGCGCCCGTATTTCCAGTTACTACCGACCTTGTAACGGTCCTTGTACACGTCCTTCCACGGGCGTTTTCGAGGGTGGTCAACGTAGGACGTGAGTTGATCCTGGCCTGGCGCACCGTTTAGACATTGCCGTTTGCTCAAAGCTTCTGGCGAGGCTGAGTTGTCTGGTGCACAGCGCTTGATGCCTGTGGGTGAGGTAGCGCCGTCTGGAAGGTAAGGGTCCGTTGCGGGCGGGACGAAGCAATCGGGCTGAGGTGTGATGTTCGGCGACCATTCGTTTAGTCCCCGGCCCGAAGCCCGAAGCTGTATCCGCCTCTTCTCATGGCGCAAGCGACGCTGATCTAGCAGCGGGAGTCCCCAGCCACATTTTGTGCACTTTCTGTCAATGTGCTGCTCGCACATCCTATGCCAGACGACGTCATCGTCGGCCAATTGTCTCCACCTCCTGTTGACTTGAGATGCCTTGCAGAGTGAGGTTGTGTCAAGATAGCACAAGATCTTGAAGCCCAGTTCGGTGGGGAGTGCACCGAGAAAGTCAATCTTGATGAGGTTGCGGACTGATGAGGAGATGAATGAGAGCTGCGGGAAGCAGCACTGGGCGAGAATGCCCTGGAGCATGAGGTTGCGGTGTCGAGAGGGGGCAGCAGAGAAGAGCGACCATACGTTGGCGATGCTCTGCTGGTCTGCTTGGGATTCTCTGCTGAGTTCCTGCTATGGTCAGCATGCGCTGTCGCGGCGACACGAGGGTAACTTACGGCTTGCAACTGCTCCATGGAGGGCTCGTCTGCCTGTCGTCTACAGAGCAGGTCGGGTCTGTGGCGGTAGCAGAACTTTGTGTTGGCCGTGGGCGGGCGTTCGTCTTGGCCGTCGCCATTGGCACCGCCCAGCGGGTTGTACTGCTGGGGGATGTGCTGTGCGAGGTATGGCGTAATCATCTTTTCAATCTTCTTGGACTTGTTTGCCTGGGCTTCTTCAGAGTCTTCGGCGTTTCCATGCAAGTGCCTTGTTCGCTCCGAGGGACCCTCGTGGTCGTGGCCATGCATCAGGGCGGTGTGGGCATGGGCAGAGGGAGCGGGCGCCGTGGTGAAGACGTCGGGCGAGTGCACTGGGACTCGCCACGAGAGACGCCTTTGCTTAGGGCTTGGAGGCGACGCTTGCAGGGGCGTATTGTCGGTTGCGACCGTCTCAATGGTGTGGGTGGAGTTGGGTGCCATGGTTGCGCTCTCGGGGAGGTGAAGGCTCTTGGACGGGTGCGAAAGTGGCCGCTGCAAGGTTGCGATAGGCGTGGCCAAGGGCAGAGTCCGGGCAGCGGCCCCTCAGAAGATGCAATTCATGGGCTATGACGGACTGCAGCGGGTGTCGAGATTCTGGGGTGATATCGCGTGCGAGCTACGTGCAGGCGTCTGGTTGCAGGGTCGGGATGGCGAGCCAGGATGCGAGCAGATGCGGCGACTGAACGGGTACCGGGGAAGCGGAAGACGGCGATGAGCAGCAGCAGCAGCAGCAAGAAGGAGCAAAAGGTGTTTGGCATGCGATGGCGCCGGCTTTGGCCCGATGGGGTGCTTTTGGAGCACGAGGCGTGGGGTTTGGTTCACGGGAGGCAAAGGCGACCGCTATGGCGGAATGGCGCAATAGCAGGTGCGCATAGCATCTTCAGAGCACGCAATGCACTTGGCCACCGGGCGCAGAAACATGCCCCGCACGTGTTGGCGGGCGGAGTATAGCAAGGCGCGCCCGGAGCCCGACGTCCATGACGGGCTTCTGCAATGGGATTTCGCCATGATGGTCGGCGTCTTGTCGTCGCGGCGCTGTCCACATGCAGCGTCGGCACGATAGACAATACGGAGGTGCCTTTCAAAAGTATTGTCTGCCAAGAATAATCTAACCGAAGTGCGGCCGCCTTAGCCGAGGCTTGTCTCTCCCCTCTATGTACTCATTACTACCTTGTAGCTTAATTATCTTTTGAATATGTACAAGAATTCGCTTAATCTAAGCTTGGATCTTAAGTTGTGAGAGATCTCTCTAGCAGTTCTGCTAGACTCTAACTGCCTTAGCCCTTGACTGCGGAGCTCCTTTCTTTGTAGTCTCTCTTTTTATATAGAACCAGCATGGCTTAATGCAGTTACAGTCTGGCGAGTTTCCACACCAAAGTAGTCTCTCAACGTTGTACAGGCGATAGATCACACCCTGATAGTGGTGGGCGTGGCTAGGTGCCTTATCCTCCATTACGACAGTCTGAGGTCTATCTTGGAGGCACTCTTTAGCAAAAGGAATTAGCTTTGGACTTAGAACGCAGGCCTGATATCTCCACCAGTCTATACCACCTCCAGACTTACGCACTAGCTTACCTGTCTTCTCTGTCCATCTCCATTGAGGCTTCCTGCCACGCTTATTGCGTAGCCCTGTCCTTCTCATAGACTCTGACAGCTCCCATTCCTCTCGCTGTAGAGGCTCAAGCTCAGCGTTTAGCATCCTGAACGTGGTGTGGAAGGATCTTAATAGGAAGGTCGTTTGGCTCAAAGCCTGCAGCAATAGCTCTACTATAGATACGATCTACAGTACGAGGATGAACGCTAGTTAGCGCGGAGACTTGTGAGGTATTCTTGCCACTAGGAGGTGATTTTAACGCGATTACTAAGGTATGGGTATATATATTAGTATAAGGAGCCATAGTTAAAGGATAACTATATAGTAGTAGGCAGACTGATCAGACAGCCCCTTAACTCTAAGGTGGGAGTTGCGCCAAGAAGAGTTGTGCCGAAGCGCCGAGATTAGCGTCAGACAATACTTTAGAAAGGCACCTCCGTATATGGTAGATAAATAATACTACCACTACTGCTGCCACTACCAACACCAACTCTCTCTCCGCAAGTGGACCCTGGTCAGCCCTAGTCGAGGCTGGCTCTTGCCAAGCCTTATAGCCGACCGCCCCCCAGGTTGCAGCTGGCTATCCCCCATCCCCATCCCCATCCCCATCCCCATCCCCGTCCGCTATCCACGCCCTCTCTGCAGTGTCCCTCCAGCCTGCCCAACATGTTCTTCGCCAGAGCAGACGGGCACGACGAGCCGCTTGCTGCAGCTTGAACCGCCCCGTGGAAATGCTGTGCTGTGCGCTGCTGCATGACCACGCCCATCGCCCCGGGCTGCACTGACCTCCTGCCTAACCACCTTCCTCCAACCGACCTATCCAGCCCTCCGTCATGGCTTCTCCTACTTCGCCCACATCTCCAACAAGCAGCGCTGCATCGAGGGCCTCGTTCGACCCGGACAGCAACCAGTCGCTCACCCTCGAGCATCTTGTGAACCACTTTGTGGCCGCCAAACGCTCACTCAACACACAGACAGTCCTATGGCGGGCGACGGACATTGTCAGCACCGCGCGCGAGCTGCTCGAGGAGAATGCCGTCCTTGCCGCCAAGAACACGGCGATACGCAACATTGTAGAGCAGCAGGTCGACTCGCTGGAAGCTGTGCGCCGCGGCATGGATGTGGTCGAGGCTGAGGTGCAGACCGAGTTCAAGCAGATACTGCACCATGTCGACACGTCGTTTGCCGGCCTCAACTCCACGCTTGCTGTTCTGCGCGAGACGCCCATCGAGGCCGTCCTGCAGCCCCAGGGAACCCCTCAGAAGCACCTCTACGACTTCATCGACAGCGCCACCGTCTCCAACCTCGAGGCTACACTGCGCGCCTGCATCGACCGCTACAACGAGGCGCATGCCACGCTCGACGAAAGTTCCGATGCCTTTGACACTTCGCTCGATAACCTCTACTCGTCTATCGATAACGTCCCCATGACGCCCACCACTATCTCGGCCCCGAGCCCAATACCCACCCTGTACCACAATCTCGAAGGACACGCCAAAGAAGCCGCACAGGCCTTCCAGTCACTGGTCCAGCACTACGATCTGTGCATTACAGCTTTGCGACACACGGAAGGCGGGTCTGCTGCTGCCACGCAGGCTACAGGCGATGCGCCCATGTACTCTGCCGACGACGGTGCTGCGCCACCCGAGCCCATGAGCGAGGACGAGCGATGCGACATGCTCAACGTGCTGCAAAAGGATGCGCGCCAAGTCGAGGATGTCGTGGCAGAGATACAGGAAAGAGGCTCGGAAATGACGTTCCTCCTCAGCCAGATTGAGAACCATGTCAACCACCTCCGCAGCGAGGCATCGGCTTTGTCGAGCATATTGCAAATGATTGCACACATTACAGTCGAGGTCAGGCGTCATATTGCCACATCGCGCGCCTTCCACGTCTCATGGCTACAAGACACGCGGCCCAATCTGCTCAACGGCATCGACGAGTGGGAGAACCAGCGGGAATTCTACGAACGCTTTGACCTTGCGTATGCCGAGCTCTTGGTCGAGATCTCGTCACGGCGCAGAAGGCACGAGAAGGCCAAGCGCAAGGCAGAAGAGGCGCAAAAGGAGCTGGACCGGTTGCGTTTAGAAGACGAGCGCGCGAGAGAACAATTTACCTTGGCGCAGGGAGACTTTCTGCCACTAGACATATGGCCGGGACTGAGGGATCCGCCGAGACAGTACCAAGTCCGAGCTGTCCCGATTGCCACGGACAAGCAGGACGACAACATGCAAGATGACGATGGGTGGGGCGAGGGCGGTGGGGTTCAGAGCATACCACAGCTCGGCAGGAATGTTGTCGAACGGGCGCTGATGAGGGTGAAGAGGCGCATGTAGCGTGGAAATGCTCTTTGGTAGCATGGAGAAGATGCGCTACCTACTTACTTATATTTTGGGATAGAAATTTGATAAGTGTCTCGCAACTCGTAACCGCGTTCCAGACATCAGACGGTAGCGACTGGCCCTGGCCGAAGAGAAAAGAAAAGCCCGAAACACGGACAGCAGCAACTACAACAACAGTCTCGAGTAGAAGTCGGCCATACAGCACCGCCCAACTAATGCGTGGCCGTCTCGGGCTTGCGGCCGTGGACAAAGTAAAATCTAATGTACAGATGGACGTCTCTTCTCCGGATGTCGGCCACGACGCGGGCTATCATGACACGGCACTCGGCCTCGCTCCAACCCAAGACCTTGCCCAGGAGACCCAGCGTGTAGGGCTCTATGCCCATGGACATGTGCTCACGCTGGTAGCGGCCGATTTCCTTGAAGCGGGCGTCCTTGGGCCATGGGCCGAGGGGAACCTAGCATGAGTATGTTAGCACGTACATACTTGGGAACCAAGGTTCAAGAACGCACCTTGACGACCTTTTCCTCGACATCGACAAAGCCGGCATCCAGCATGCTCTGCTTGAGGATGTATCCGGCGCGGATATCTCTGCCCCATTTCTTCGCGGCCTCCTCACACAGGTCCTGCCACTGGACCACGTCCTTGGCCATCTCCAGCGTGCCGTCGTCGCTCTCGCACAGGGCGAGCGGTTCCTGGAACTCGACCCAGCCGCCGGGCTTGAGGTGCGTGTAGGCCTGGCGCATGAGCTTGTCCCAGTCGGAGATGCCGCCCGAGAGGGTGCGGCCGTGGATGTAGTCAAAGGCCTCGGCACGGCTGTAGACCCACTCGGACTCTGCGTCGTCAATGTAAAACTTGACGTTGGGCGGGACCCATGTTGGCTGGATGGGGCTAAGGTCTGTGCCAATGACCTCGGCGCTGGGGTGCTCGTCGGCAAAGTCAATGGCCCAGATGCCTGTTCCGGTGCCGATGTCGAGCACGCGCTGCGGCGACGGGGGCAGCGGTGCGTCGTACAGCTTGCCGCCCAGAATCAGGAGGAAAATGTGGTGCAGCAGGTCGAGGCGGTCCTGCTCCTGCTCGTCGTTGGGCAGCAGGTAGGCCCCGGAGCGGAAGCCGTGGTAGCGCCGGCCGTTGGAGTATTCGTAGTTGAGAATGGTCGAGGCAAGCGACGTTGAGGCGGTAGATTCGCCACCAAACGCCGAGTCGGAGTCGCTGTTGCTGGCCGTGTCGACGTCGAGATGGAGGACGGATTGGAGGTTGGCGGGGTCGTCATCTTGCGGTTGTGTTTGTTGTTGTTGTGATGGCTGTGGTTGTGGTTGTTCGTGGTCGTGTCCATGTGCTTGGCCTGGCGGCGATGGCGGCGGCCCACTCGCGCTGGTGGTGGCGGGGGCAGCAGACATGTTGTGCAGCCTCGTCAGGTCGTCGGATTAGTCGTTCAGGGCGGAAACTTTATTCGGGCAGATAATCGTCGATGGAGGGGCCGCGGCGGCCTTATACGCCCAGCTAGACGCAGCGCGCGCGTGGGCCGCGTGAAGCGGAAGCGGAAGCGTCTGCCATCGGTGCTGGGCTTTGCTGGCGTGTGCTGCCCGTGGGATTCCAAGGTAGCGGAACCAGAAGACGTCTTGCTCACCTCACCTCACCCCCCCCCAACAACAACACGTGTGTCTCCCGCCGGCATGCCTGCCTGCATGGGCGTCTCGTGGCAGCGGCAGTACGGTGCAAGTACAGTAGTAGTCGTATATTAGCGCTACTATGGACATAGTTTAGCCTCCAGAGCCTCTTCCCCCCTCCCCCCCCTCGCATGGCGCGCGGCCCGTCGCCCAAGACGTCTTTAGCCTTTGCTCCTGCCCTACTCAGAAGCCATCCGCCCGCCTATCCACTCACCACCCACCCACCGCCGCCATGCCCGCCAGCCTGCGACACCCCCCGTGGGCGCACCGCACGATATAGTCAAGGGACGCCCATGTCCTCGGCCTGCCACACGTTTCCACTGGGTTACCGCCCCATCCTTGGCCCCTCACCATGGCGTCCCTTGTGCTCGTCTGCGCTGCCGCCTATATCGCATATGTGCTCGCACGTGCCTTTTATCGCTTGTATCTCCACCCGCTGGCCAAGTTTCCTGGGCCCAGCATAGCCGCCGTCACCAGCTGGTACGAGGCCTACTACGAAATCTATCTCGTCGGCCAGTACTCCAGGCAGATAACGAAGCTCCACGACCAGTACGGTACGCTGCTGCTGTCACATGCAATCCGTCTCGCACCGCTAACCCGAGCCTTGCCAGGCCCCATTGTGCGAGTCACACCCGACGAGCTGCATATCCGGGACCCACGTTTCTTCGACCAAGTCTATTCCAGAAGCGCCCATCTCGACAAGGAGGGATGGGACAAGCGTTTTGGCTGTGCCGGTGGCCTGCTCACCACAGTCAATGCCGAAGACCACAAGCGACGTCGTGCCGCAGTGGCTCCCATGTATGCCGTGACACCCATTCGAGTCCATGACGTGGCCGTGGCACCCCGAGACGACGCCGACTAACCGCCCTCCAGGTTCTCACGCCGCTCCATTCTTGATTTTATCCATATCATCTACCGCCACATCGACACCTTCAACACGCGCATGCAAGAGTTTGAGGCCAATACAGAGCCCCTCAATCTCTCCAATGCCTTTCCCGCCCTGACGGGCGACATCATCATGGACTATTTCTTCGGTTTCAACTATGATCAGCTCAGGAATCCGCAGTTTGAGTCGTTCCATGACGCCTTTATCAAGATTGGTGGCGTTGGCCATATTGCTACTCAGTTCCCCATGCTTCACCCTGTAAGTCCATATATAGACCAGCCACAATATCAGTAGGGAATTCCACGCGGAAAATAGTCCACTCATAGCACGGAATTTGACACAATAATGCATGGCACTGACATGCATCTCTTGCAGATTATGAGCAGCATCCCTGATCGCATCACCGGGTGGCTGCAGCCTGCAGCAAAGACTATGCTCAAGTTCAAGCAGGTACGTGGCACAGAAGGCGTCTTGCGCTTCTCCACCGCGACCATCGTGTGTCTGCCAAGCACCATATCTCTCCGGATACGCGTCCGGTCCAATGGCGACTGCTGTGTATCCATATACGCTAACGCCAGTTAGGACAATGAGGCTTTGATTGCGCGGACCCTCCGCGGAGAGGACGTCAAATCCAACGACGCAAAGAAGACCATCTTCCAGGAAATCCTGTCGTCCAAGCTGCCCCCTTCAGACAAGACGCAGAAGCGTCTCGAAGACGAAGCCCAAATCATCATCGGGGGTGGTGTCGAGACTACGGCTTTCTCCCTGTCCAGAGCCGCCTTCCACATCATCAACACCCCGCACATCTACGAGCGCCTTCACAAGGAGCTCGTGCAAGTCTTTCCAAACCGCAATGACCTCGACCTAGCCACCCTGGAGAAAATGCCCTACTTGAAAGCCATCATCATGGAGTCAGTCCGCATGTCGTATGGCCTCAGTGCGCGCAACCCCCGGACCCACAAAAACCCTCTTCACTACGGCGACTGGGTGATTCCCGCAAACACTTGCATTGTACGTTCTAGCGCCCCTCATGATTCAGCCAAAAAAAAGTAAATAAGAAATTAACGATCTACAGTCCATGACTATCCCCGAAGTCTCGCACGACGAATCCATCTTCCCCTGCTCCCACACCTTTATGCCTGAGCGCTGGCTCGACGACCCAAAGACGGCCGACGGCATCCCTCTCGACCGCTTCATGGTCTCGTTTGGCCGCGGCACCCGCTCTTGTCTCGGCACTACCCTTGCCTACACGGAAATGTATCTTACCCTCGGCATGATGTTTCGCCGCTACCGCTTCGAGCTGCATGATAGCAGCGTTGCCGATGTGGAGCTTGGTCATGATTTCTTCATCCCCGTTGCCAAGTTGGATACCAAGGGCCTCCGGGTTTTTGTAAAGCGCACTGAGGATTAGGATTGGATGGGTGGGTTTTTTTGGTTATGCTTGTTACTCTTGGAGTTGATGTGCATGTGGGTGTGCTGGCTATTTGTTTCTCATTTTGTGTGTGTGTGTGTGTGTCAGTCGAAGCTTAGCTATAAGGTTGATCATGTCATGTCATGGCTAAGCTAAGATGGATTCTGGCCATCATCATCACCATCAGCACGAAAAAAAGGGGGGGAGGGGGGGAGGGGGGGAGAAGAAAATGTACGCGAGGATTTGGATTTAGGATTTTGCATCAAAGTCATGAAGGAGCACTTGTATTCACAAAAAATTCTAAAGAAAAAAAAACATCATGGCACATGTACATGCCTCCATTTCTCCATATATTATCATGTCATGCTACATAGTTCCAAAAGTGGTACAGCAACAACAACAACAACAGATTAATGTTCGGGGAAAAATGTGTATTTTGTAATTTAGTCTTGCGCCAGGCATGCGCTTTGTATGACCGAGTTTTATTTTTCTAAAACTAAATGTCTGAACTGGGTACATGTTGACTATAGAAAACGTCCATGAGGCTTTTTACCCAAAATACCCATGCTACCAGATGGCCACGGGCGGGGGCGGGATCTTGGATGTCAATATTTCTCCTGGGTAGAAGGGCTAGACGAGGCGATGAAATGGTGGTCATCCGCATGCGTGATACGTCTATTCCGGGGGCTCAATTTGTATCATGCACCTCATATCGTCCAGAGGGTGTTGATTTGCTTTCTTGTGACCTGGGAAATGTGCGTTAGCCAAGCTGATGAATTCATGTATGCACAAACAGCCAACATACCAGAGGAGCGACAAACACCACACCAACAAACAGGCCGACAACAGTGAGCAGCATGGAAATCTTGTTGAAGCCTTTGCCCAAGACGTCAAAGGTAAAGCTAGGCGCAACGCGTGTTCCGAAAATGTCGTGTCCATAGGCGAATACCAGGCTGGTGCTCTCCAATCCACTCTCGCTGGTGATGATTTCCTTGATACCAAGCACCTCGTACTTGTGCGTGAGGTGCCACTTGGGGTCAAAGTTGATGACTGGCGAGTACTTGATCAAGCCCTCTAACTGCTCTTGTGCATTGGGATCACGACCGACAGGGCGGCGGGGGTCGATCATTGACCGCGGGATGCCAATGATGGAGTTGGTTGAGGGCACGGTAACCAGAAGCTCGCGGCTGGTGATGCCTTGCTTGGTCTGAGTGACAGCCATGTGTGAGATTTCTGCTGGCACTTGGTAGCTTTGCGAGACAACGTAGGGCCGCACAACGTCTCCATTCGAGCCCAAGGGCTGTACAGTCGACGAGTTGGAGGCAGCGCCTAATGGGCCCCTGTCGTCGGGCAGTGGGGACTCGTACAATTCGGCGACTACGAGTTGGTAGCCGCGTGAAGCCGAAGTGGATGTTGCATCGATTGTCAGCGCATATGTGAACCAGTTCTCTGAAATAGTGGCTGGAATAGGCCGAGAGGTGTCGACGCCGCTATGCGAGACGGTGTGCAACAACTGTCCCGAGGCAGAATCAAGCAAGTACAGGGACGCGGATCGCGTCGAGTCGGCGACGGCTGTAACCAGGACCAGGTTGGGGTTGAGGTACTTGTACAGCACCTTTCTGTCGCCTAGTACTTTGCCAATGGAGGCGACGGGGTCTTTGAGAGGTCGAGTGACGTAACTAACAATACGCTCCTCACCAGCAGGGCGGAAGCTCCACGCAGGCTCTGAGCTCGGCTTGTTTTGTAGAGAGCCTTTGAGTGTGCCATCGACCAAGGTGAATGTCACGAGCGCCTGTGCTTCAGAAACGAGCGGAGCCTCACGCTTGATCTTGTCCGAGGAAACAAGACTGCCCGTTGTCGAGTTGACAAACAGCGAGCCCTCAGATGAGACACCTTTGACCTCGACATAGCCGCTGTGAGCCTTCAAACGAAGATGCTGAAAGCTTTGACCAGGCACGGCCTCTCCAAGCTGCATGTTCCACATGACTTTGCCTCGCGAGCCAACGTCAAGCGCAGCAAGACGACCTGTCTCGGTACCGACGATGACGAGTTTGTGGAAGCCAAAGGTATCCTGCTGAATGTCGCCAATGGTAGTCTCCTTGGTGTTGCCAACCACGCTGCCAAGGAGCCGCTGGGGTAGGCTCTGTGCCCAAGCGGGAAAGTGCTTGAGATCTTGCACGTGCCTCTGTACACGGTGGAGGTAAGCTGAGACGAGGCTGCGATGGCTTTCGTCGGCAAGTGCTTGTGCCAAGGCCTCTTCTTCGGGCAGGCCTGCCCAGACTGCCGAGACGGTCCCAGCCAAGAACTCTGGTCGTGTCCAAGCCAGCTCGTCGTTTCGGAGGAGCGCCCACTGGCCGTTGGAGTAGAGAATGGCGGATCGGATGGCGCTCGCAGTCTCGCCCTTTACGACAACCTCGGACTGAGCGTGCACAGGGTGGGCACCGGCAAGTGCAGGCGAGCTCTTGACCTTCCAGCTGCCCAAGACCTTGGGAGAGACTGAGGAAAAGACGGCCATGTCGTCCTGTGTGATTCGCGTAAAGTAGACCTTTGAGTCCAGCGTGCTCGTGGCAAAAGCTCCCTTTGTCTTGAGCTCTGGGAGGCTATAGTCCTTGGACACGGTGTGCTTTTTGAGGTTGACATGGAATACCTCTGCCGAGTGGCCGACAGCCGTCTGGTACTCGACGAGGAAATGAGCGAGAGAGTTGACATGGCTGGGGGCGTGCAGCACAATGTTTTCCACGACCTGGTCCTCTGGTGTTTTGAAGCTGGACACAGCCTTGTTGCCGATGACGTTGACCTTGAGCACCTTGTTTGCTTTGTCTGTCCAAGCGAGCAGCGGGGCAGCGGTGTTGGCGCCGGCAAACAGAATACGGTCGCGCGAAGATATCTCGGCATCCGAGTTGAGGGTGTATTGGTCGAGCTTCTTGCCGGTAATGGGGCTGAGCGAGGTGACTCGCAGCTTGGAGGCTCCGAGCACGGGCGTGTGGAGAGCAATGTAGTAGATGGTGGTGGACGAGGTCGACAGCTGGAACGGGGTGTCGCCGCTGGTGTGCAGTCAGTAGTTGTTTTGGATAGAGAGGCATCAACAAACAGAAAGCGCACCTCGTGTCCTCGAAGGTCCACTTGACGCGGCCAGTCTTTCCATCCAGGCGCTTCACACTAGGGCTGGGGCCGGCCAGCAGGACGAGGGGGTCTTTTGCGGCATCAATTGGCATGCCATGTTCCAGCTCGAGAATCTCCAGGTCCTCGACTGGGACGCCGGCAGTGGTTGTCTCCCAGGCAAGGCGGCCGTCCGAGGCGCTCCATGCAGCGATTCGATGGCCGACGGCGCTGATTACTGTGTCCTGCTCATTTCCCGCACGTAGATGGCTTCGGTCGTCAGCAGCCGCGGGGAAGTGCTGCCGCCAGACCAGGGCGCCGTCCTTGGGATTGATTGCGCCGAGGGTGTGGTTTTGGGAGATGGCGTAGAGCAGCGAGGCCTTTGAGCCGGCATAGGGCTTCTGGAAGAAGGTGGTGTCGGGGGTGGGCAGGCCGAGCAGGGCATAGTGGAAGTCGATGTGGAAGGCCTCGTCCTCGAAGACGGCAGCGGCCGGGGCGAGGCAGGCGGCGAGGGCGAGGGCGAGGGTGCGGGCAGCGGATGAATCGACCACACGCACGCCCGCCCTTCTAGCGCCGAAGCTTGAGCGATGCGCTGCTAGTATAGTATCGTATAGCACAGCACGTCGTTGCGAGCACATGTACGCGAGGCGAGCGTAGTCGTTGTGACGGCCATAGCAACAGTGGTAGGGGGAGGCGAGGCGAGGCGAGGCGAGTGCCAGCCCGCCCGCCGCCCCTCGTGCAAAGCCGTCGCCGTCGCCGTCGCCGGCACGTGGCATGGCCTGCCCTCGAAGCAAATGAATGGCACAGGGAGCGCCCCCATGCCGGCCTCGTGTCGCACGACGGCCGCCCATGAATGTCACTGCTGTCTCCGCGTGCAATTTGACCAAGACGCTGGCCACCCCAGCCCACCCCAAACCCGCCCAGCGCGTCGCCGTGCGCCGCCCGTACTGGACCGATCCGGAGCAGTCATCGCCGGCCCGTGCGGCCCCCGACCGCACGCGCCACATCGCTCCTCACCACCACTGCCGCACCCCATGGCCCAACCGCCGCCGATCGACGACGACGACGACGACAAATTGATCCGACACAATGCGTCTCCACGCTGGCCGCGCCCGCGCCCGCGTCCTCGCCACGCGAGGCGCTCCACCGGTCGGGACATGGCATGGACGCGGTCGTGGGAAAGCCATGGCAGCAGTGGCAGCGCAGCCAACAGGGGCATGGGCATGGGCAGTGGCATGGGCGTGTTTGGTTCGCAGCCTTGCGAACCCATTGCATGGTTGCTTGTTGTGCTTGTGCCCGGGCGTGCAGATGGGCACGAGTGCGCGTGGATTGCCGGCCTCGCTGCAGACCGCCTTGCGCCGTGCTGTGCTGTGCTGGTGGTGCTGGCTGCCGTTTGTTTCAACGGGCCATGCGAAACACCAACGTCGGCTGTCGAGCTGCACCACGGCCGCGACTAATCCCACGACTGGTGCGCACACACACACACACACACACACACACACGCCGCACCGCCCGCCCTGCTCGACTACACTGCAGAGATGCTGCCGTGCGTTCGGCTCTGGGGTACAGGCCGTGCAGGCCGCGGAACAGGCAGGCAGAAGTGGAACGAAAGGGCCGGGATGGGGGGCGCGTGGGGGGGGGGGAGGTGGTGTGTTGCGAGATCAAGGGTTTAGAGTGAAGCGGTGGTTGGATGCAGCGTGCGAGGGGGGAGGGGGCGCGCCAGCAGCATGATTAGCATAAAGCGGTGCGCCTCTTGCAGCCAGTCGCGCAACAGATCCGGGCTACCGGAACACGCCCCAATTGACGGTAGCGTCGCCTGCACGTCGACTCGCTCCGAGGCGCTATCGACAAGCCTCAGCTCCGTAGCGCAGCGGCAACCCAAAGCCGCCACGCAGCCTGCTGGTGCCCGCCATATCTTCTGCTAGGCCCTTGGCCACTCTACTGCATCCGCGTCCCTATCCATGTGCCCTTGGTACCACGTCGTTTCTAATTACCGCCGCTGCGTCCTGATTCTTGCTCCTGCTCCTTTCTCCTGTTCCTGCTCCTGCTGCTCCTCGTCCTCCTGCTGCTGCTGCTGCTGCGCCTGCTGCGCCTCGCCCTCGCCCTGCGCCCGCTCCTACTTGTCCTCCCAACTACTCCAACTCCACCTCCAACTCTGCTCCTGCTCCTGCTCCTGCTCCGCCCGCCAAAGCCACCCCTTCACGTGACTCTCGCGCTGGAAAAAAATTCTTCCTCAGTCCGTCCACCCACCTCCCCCCTCCCCCCCAGCCCAACCCCCCAGCCTCGCGCATTAGCCATGTGAGTTACACACAAACTTTTGCCGGGCTGCTCGATGCTAATGCCGTCCTTTTGCCTCAATGGCTTCACGACGGGAGCATTCGAGCCTGTCTCTGTCTGATTGGACGCCACCTGCAATTAGCTGTACATGCGCTGACAAGTGTGGTTGGCTCCCAGCCCAGAACAACGCGCACCGCCCCCCCCCCCCGACTCAGATCGCTGGCGCAGGCCCACGCTGCACTGCACTGCACTGCACGGCACTGTGCTGTGTCCTGAAGCAACGCGGTCCTTTGCATCCGCCCGCCGTCCAACTGTGGCACATACACACCGCCACAGTAGGCAAAGGAGCTTGTCTCTCGGCCAATTTTCTTCCAAGCTTCGCGACAAGAAGTTCCCTCCCCCCTTCCCCCTCGACAAAGCATGTCGCAACGGGAGTACCACATAGTCGTCCTCGGTTCTGGTAAGCTAGCCCGCCGTGATCAGCAACTAGAAGATGACTGACGGCCATGGCGCATCAGGTGGAGTCGGGAAAAGCTGCCTAACAGGTACGTTGCCCATGTCCCCCAGCCCTCGACATCGCCCGTGACGCGGCTGACTCTGCTGCAGCCCAGTTTGTGCAAAACGTGTGGATAGAAAGCTACGACCCCACAATCGAAGATTCCTATCGCAAGGTGCTCGACGTTGACGTGGGTTGCCACCCCAACTTAGCCTCGCAATCTTGCTGACCCACCGTCCAGGGCCGTCATGTTATTCTCGAGATCTTGGACACGGCTGGCACAGAACAGTTTAGTAAGTGTCTGCCTGCTCCCCAATACATGTACAGCTTGTGTGCACACATGGTCCAGATCAACGCTAACATTGCTGCAGCTGCCATGAGGTAGGCTTTTTCTTCTTCTTCTTCTTCTTCTTCTTCTTCTTCTTCTTCTTCTTCTTGCCTTTTGGCGCCCCGCTGCACCAACCCCACGTGGAGAGAGACTTACCGTGATGCAGAGAACTATACATGAAAACCGGCCAGGGCTTCCTCCTAGTCTTCAGCATAACATCAGAATCCTCGTTTGGTGAGCTTGCCGAGTTGCGGGAGCAGATACGCCGCATCAAGGAGGACAGCAACGTACCCATGGTGCTCATTGGCAACAAGTCGGACCTGGAGGAAGACCGTGCCGTGCCGCGCCCGCGAGCCTTTGCCATTTCGCGCGAGTGGAATGTGCCCTACTTTGAGACGAGTGCGCGAAGACGAGCAAACGTCGACGAGGCCTTTGTCGATCTCTGCAGGCAAATCATCCGCAAGGATCAGATGGAACGAACGCGCATGGCCCCACCGGATTCCCCCAGGCCTGGCCCAAGAAGCAGAACGCATACCGGACGGCCAAAGCGCAAAGCCCACCGTCCTCATTGTACCATCCTTTAAGCTACGATACCCACCCACCCGGCAGCAGCATGCAACGAGCGAGCGACAGTGGGCTTGCTGGACCAGGCGCTGTCAACGATTCCCTTCGTACCATTCCTTCAGACTTTCTTGTACACACTTTTTGGTATTATAGAGGCATTAGACAATCTGCTCACAGGGCAAATTAATCTCATTCACCAATCTCAAATGGACCGTCGTCTGGCGTGAAGCAAAGGCCCGCGTTTTTTTTTTGCTTTCTTTTGTACATGTCCATGGTAGCTGGCCTAGTCCCCCGGTGCTGGACTCGACTATACGTCCTGGTGAGTTTTGTTTGATACAGGTAGAGGAAAGCCTAATCGGTCGCATGCTTTGGAGTCGCCATGACCGAAGGCCGTGTGCCTTGGCTACCAGTAGCGGGGAAAGGGAGCAACCAAGTATCCAGACCGAAGGGATCAATGGAATGTTGGAGACTTGACCATGACACAGGAAGTATACGACTGGTTTTGCACAAAGGTGGCGGGTGGATAATGTAAAGGTAGTGTATTTTTTATGTGAAGGAGATGGAACAGGTTTCTTCATCAAGCCCTTGAATTGCATTGGGCCAAGCTACGGGGGGCTCCGGATACACCAGCATGGTCTGGCCCAGGGCCTGATGGCGACAGTATGCACGAATGGGCAGAGTCGCGAAGAAAAAACTTGGTCGAGTAGGGCAACAGAGAGTTTGCTAGGCCGTATGACGTTAGCTAAGGGCGCACAGGTATGCTTTGCTTCTGCTCTCCCCCGCTTCTTGTGAAGCTTGCCAGGTCACGATGGATATTGCTTAGTGGCGTCCATCTCGTGCATGCATCATACCCAAGACGGGGCAAAAACAAGGCTTGGCCAAGCAAACATAGTCGTGTGGGGGGGGAAAAGGGACGTGTGTTTATCCCGCAAACCAGGCAGGTCGGCCAGAGAACTCAATCACAATCGCCGTCAGCACTCCACAGATGACGTCTTCGAGGTGCAGGACAGACATGTGAAACGTCGCCCGTGTCTGACTGCGCGGGGGGCTGCTTTGTCATATGCAGACATATGGAAGGGCAAAGGCAGCGAGCAGCAGTGAAGGACACCTTGTCCGAAGCCGAGGCCTCTGCAAAGGCCGCTCAACCAAAAAGGCCCTGCATGCCTATGCCTACGCCTACGGTAGCCGCATCCTCACGCTGCTCCATCTCGATCACAAATGGACGCGCGTGACACATGCTTGCGTGCTGTACAGCTATACGTTGCATGTTTGGGTCGCCGTGGGTGGATCGCCAGCCGCCGCTCGATGCCATGACGTCACGGCATAGGGCGAGAACCAGGTACGCAGCAAATGCGCTATTACGCACCAAAACGTCCATGACACGATTGCCATCCAAACCGACGATCGACAGCGGCTTTTCCACGGCCCCAGCGGGAAGAGAGCGCCGACCTCAATCTGCATCTTGCTGACCTGTCCCCTTTTTGCTTTGTGCGCTGCCCAGCGGGTCCCCTCCCCCTCCCCTTCTGTTCTGGTCTGGGCCCTTTCCCTTCAGCTTGCCCGTTGCTTACTAGCGCCAACTCGCCTGCCGCCCTGCCTTCTCGATCTTCTCTTGCCCACATAATCGCGATTGCCCATGACGTAACTTGCTCCAGACAAACATACGTCACTGCCTATGTTGCTCTCACTAGCGTCCATCTCTCTCTCACCCTCTCTGCCTGGACCTCTGCTTAAATACCCTCTCGCATTCCCCCCCTTGGACTTCTTCATCACACCACTTCCAGCTACAACTTCAACTACAACTTTCAACTCACCTTCCAAACCAACCAACCAACCAACCAACCAACCACCCCCAACCCCAAAATGTCTGCTCCCAACGCCAACACTCCCAACGAGGGCATCCTCGGCCAGGCCGCCAACTCTGTCAAGAACGCCGCCAACTACGTCTCTGAGTCCATCCAGGGCACCTCCGCCGAGGCCAACAAGGAGGCCAACAAGCAGCAGGCCAAGGGCAACGTGCCCGGCCAGGACAGCTTCACCGACCGTGTCTCCGGTGGCCTGAACGCTGCCAGCGACAAGCTCAACCAGGAGAAGCACGAGGGCGCTGCCGAGGCCAACAAGCGCTCCATCTAAGGTGCTTGCTTGCCATGACAACCCTATTTCTCTTCGGTATGTTCTGCAGTATTGTCCTGTGGCACGCATGGTGACTAATGAACTGGACAGAGTCAACGATACCACTAATGGGCTAAGCGATGAGCATTGCGTCTCTCGCTCCCTTTCACGATAATATACGACTTTATTGACACGAGAATAATAAATATAACTTTTGTCATCAAGAAACTGCTTGCTTGCCTGTGCTTTGACATGTGTGATGTTCGCAATGCTTGTTTATGATTACGCAATGTTGGAGATGGCTAGTTGAAGTCGCGCAGCTTTTGCACAGGGAACATCCCAAGTCAAACCCCCTAGCGCTGCACATCATTCGCCCATGCAGCATAGCCTCTCAACAGCGAAATAAGCTTAAGCATACATACATGGCACTAGCCATCAACCAACCACACATTTGTTCCCCTTGGCACCCTAGTCATCACTTGATGTCTATTCATCACGTGCATACATCATGTTTACTTGGTCATGAGAAAACAAGAAAATGCGTATTCAAGTACTTGCTACCAGTAAACAAACAAAAGAACAACAATAACCACTGTCCAGACTGAAATACAAGACAACCCATGGGTATGATTCCAATCTTACCATGTGCATCTTCTTCAGCTTCATTTAAAAAAGATACTTCACCATGCGAAACAAAGCACGAATATAAAGTCAATCAAGCAAAAAAAAGGGGGGGGGTATATTGAAGTCCTTGGTAATGAAAAAACAATAACGACAGTCGAGACAGAAATTGAATACACTCTCAACCCAATCATCATGACCACCAATCTTGCGCTCCTTGATACCGGCTACATATCCAAGCATCTTCATCTTTTGTTCATTCTGCACTTGGACTATTACTATTGCTACCACTAGCACTAGCTTCAGGGCTACCACCACTCATATCCGTGTGGTATGAAGGCGGGGAAACCGGAGAGTCTGACGCCGACGCTGAAGTTGGTGCTGGTGCTGGTGCTGGTGTGGGTGCTAAAGTATAGCGTGCATGCTCGAAAACCGGTATGCCGTGGTGATGGAGATGAGGGTGGTTGTGATGGAGATGATGGAAATGGTGGTGGTGGTGGTGGTGGTGAGGACAGCAAATAGGGCAGTAGGAAGAAGTAGAGGCGACACGAGGGAGAGGAAGAAAACTCTGAGACAGGACGGTAGGTCGAGCGGGTATCCATGATGGCGGGGAATAAGCGTCTTGCTGGCTCGCTGTGCTATCATCGGTTGGGGAACAGGGTCTTGACATTGACGTTGTTGACGTGATGGTGGGCCCCTAGCCAACCGTCTTTGGGCCCCCATCGTCCGACGACGCTTCTTGGATGCTGTGCAGGGAGACAGCGAGGAAACGCTACAAGACGAGAACAAAAAAGCACCAGTTAGCAGGTAGTTTGTTGCACGCAAATAGGCATGCTTGGGAGAGTGTGGTAGGCAGGCGGGATATCTAGACGTGCTGGGGCGCGCGCCCAGTATGCGTGGTCCTTGCCTTTCTGGCTCTCCAGAACAAAAACGCGCCAATGGCGGCGGTGATAAACCAGAGCAGCATGTTGGTCAGCAGCACCCAGACGCCGTTTTTCATGCGCGTGATGCCCTTGTTGCCCTCGGGGTCTTCTTTGATGTACATGTTGCCGAAGATACCGAAAGCAACGAGATAGCAAATGAAGACGACGACGTCGACGACGAAAAAGAACCATGGCTTCGTCAGAGGCAGCATGAAGATGAGCGAGATGATGGAGCCCAGCGACCCGCATACAACTGCCCACACCCACTTGCTGTCGACGTACTTGTGCTGCTTGCGCGCGTTGTCCAGGTCAATTGCGTAGATGCCAATGACCGTCAGGCCCATGACAAACTGGAAGAGGCGGAGGACGAGCCGCGCAATCGTCGTCGGGGTTAGCGACGCTCGCAGCGTGGTTCCCAGCGTGGCTTTTTCGCCCCGTAGAGTGCTATTCGACAGGAACTTGAAGCCCATTGTTGCGAGGAAACTAAGCATGTGGTGTTAGCGCACAGATCAGCTTGATTGGCTATCTCGGGATATGTATACGGGTCTGGGGAAGTTGATGTGTGGTATTGAAATCAGGTGGTGTGTTCTTACCTTTGATAATGGGTTGAGAAAAAGGGTGTGTTCTTTGTCGTGGGGTTGCAACAATGGAATGTCTGCAGCCGCAGTATGTAGGTGGAGAAGGTGCGGAGAAGAGCGTGGAAATCGCCGTCAAGAATACCTTGTTGTTGTTGTTGTTCTTCTTCTTCCTCTCTTATGACCAGGTGGAACTTCACAGCGCAGTTTGTTTGCACAGCAAATCTTTTCTTCTTCCTTCTCTTGTTGTCGCTTCACACAACGTCTTTCTCGTGGATAGCGTTTGCGCGTCTTTCACAAAAAATGAGATGCGCAAAAAAGGCGTGGTCGAGCGACCGGGATGTGGGCGATGTTTAAACCAGGTGTTCCCACCCCTCAACAGGCTATGACGTCGATTTACCGCCTTTGCAGCCCAAGCCTCAAGTGCCGTCCACACAAGGTTGAGATGTGGCTTCTAGACTTTAGCCCCGTTCCTACTAGGGCGTCGGATGCGGTAAAAGCTGTTCAGGCTGCACGCAGGTTATGCTGTTTGCGTGGGATGATCGGCAGAGAGGGAAGCGCTGGGGCGGTTCAAGACGCGGGTATTTGCGTGATAAGGTTTGCTAGGGAAAGGGACCCTGGGCGATAGAGTTGGTTATATGGTGCTAGCCCGAGCGATTGAATTGAATGGTCAAAGGAAGAAAGGGGGGATGGTGTGGCTATCAAAGCCGGCGGTGAACAGGCGAGCCAGAAATGAGGCTGGGTGGAATAGACCGACTGATAGCTGTGACTGCGGCGGGGGATGCTGTTATAGTGTCAAGGGGCCGCACACACACTTTGTCTGCCGTTGCACTCGATTGTCAGGTGGCCTCGTAGCATCCATGGCGTCTCCACAGGCATTCGTTGGCGCAGCCTTGCCGTTGCAGTGAACAAGACCGAGTGGGTGGAGCAGCGGCAAGACGCTGTTTTTGCTCGAGGCGCTGGGGAATGCTTCGCTGACGTCGTTGGCGCTCGGCTAGTGTGGCGTCTAGTGCAAGGGGGCTTCCGGCATGTGATTGGCTGCCAGTCTTCGAGTTTCAGACAGTGAAACACGACTCGACAGGTACACAGCTCTTCACTTACACCTGCAGTAGTCTCACGCCCCATGTTACCCACAGTCTCGGCGCTTCTTCCGCATGCACACATTGAATGAGTCACAGGTCCTTATCATCGATTGAATCACCATGTCTGTTGCTCAAGTAGCCAGCTACAACTCTCAAGGGCTAGAGTACTTGTACCCATACTGCTCTTTGGCAGCCTTGATCTGCCCCATCACCTCCTGCTCCTTCTCCGCAAACTCCTTGTCGTCCTTCAGTCTCTGTAGATAGGCATCGTTTCCGAACCCGCTCTTGCTGGGAATTGCAAGTCCTTTCTGCACCGCAGGGCGAGCGAGTATTCTCTCCCACCACTTCTTCAAGTTGGGGAAAGCGTCCAGGTCGACGCCTGTGAAGCTCAACATGTGACACCACCCAAAGCTCGCAATGTCGGCAATGCTAAACTTATTGCCCACCAGATAGTCTTTGCTAGCCAGATGCGAGTCTAGGATGCCCACCAGGCGCTCTGTCTCGCCAGTGTAGCGCTGCATACCATATGGAATACGCTCTTTGGCGAAGCGGTTGAAGTGGTTGGCCTGCCCTTGCATCGGCCCCAGGCCGCCGTGTTGCCAAGCCATCCATTGCTCTGCACGTGAGACATCGAGCGGATCCGAGAAGCTGAATTTGTGCTCAGGGTCGTAGTGACGCGTTAGATATGTGAGGATAGCTAGTACCTGTTATTGATTGTTCATCTGCATCGTCTTTAGCAACCATTGACTTACCAAGCCCCTCTTGCACAGCAAAACCACCCTGGTCGTGGTCCACAATCACGGGAATCCGCCCATTGGGTCCCAGCTTGGTAAACCAGGGCTCCTTCTGTGTGTTCTTGCCAATGTTGATGCCCTGCCACGTGTATTCTTTGCCATATGCCTCCTTGAGCTCCTCGAGCAGGATGCTAGCCTTCCAGCCATTGGGCGTGCCCTAATCCAGTCAGCAATGAGCTCATGTATGCAGCACATGGTACGACCATACCCAAGTGAGCAACTCAATGCCCTTGTTCGCAATCAGTCCCTTGGGTTGATCGTCGGCCATGTCTGGTGCTATGCTAAGTAGCGGTTTCGACGTGTGAAAATGTGATCTGGAAGCGAATTGCGGTTTGCGCCTATGCACAGAGGCGCGCAGCGTATATCTGAGTGGTGAGGCGATGGATGGGCGTAATAGTGACATCGAGAAGGCTGATTGCTGCGTATTGAGGGGTTATATGCGCCTACATGCATGTGGAAAGCTGCCTCTGCGGGGGGCATTGCTTAGGAATCCATGACGTCGTCCGCCCGTCTTCGTACGCACGGAGCATCCCATTATCTCCTAGCACCGATATGTTTGGTAAAGGAAAGAGGCTGGAGAGAGCAGCGCCGCGCGTTAGATTTACAAATCAAGACGCCATGCACGACGCACGACAGACGGATGCACTTCCAGCACCACCACCAAAAAAGAAGCCCGGAAAGTGAAAAAAAAGAAAAAAACATACGACAGCATGGATTCGCCAGTGGTCACCCACCTGACTACTAATATGCCGCACAAAGTGTTGACGTGTGGGGAGCGAACGAGACCCGGTAAATTACTTTGACTATGGCCGTATGTACTAGGAAAATGTCGTCCATGATTTATATTTGACATGGTCAGTTCATGAGAAAACCTAATACTACATACTTAGCAGTGCTGTATCACTTTTGCTGATGAGGGGGTGCGCCTGCCACTCCGCATTTTCAGCAACTGCCGCTTGACTAAGCCACCCGGCCTTGCTCTATCCATAATAAGAGGGGCAAATATTCAGCTTCGACCCCCAGTTTTGCCCAGTAACAAGAGAAGCTATCGTTGGGGTTGCAAAACTGTCGTCTCACTTGCGTCGTTCGGACTTTCACCATTTCCTCTGCATGTGATTGGATGTCGTGGGAACACACTACGTCGCACTTGTCATGCAACCCGCCTATTTTTGAGCCGTTTTCAGACCGGTAATTGTAAGATTGACTGATGATAATTCACAATAATGCAGTCGTGTAACTACACTGTTGTAAAGCTTTATCTGAAGGTGCCGCGGGGAACCGAAGCGCTCAAGGTTTAATTCATGTCGTGGGATATGGCTTTACGTCCTGTCCTGCGCTGGCGCACCCTTGCTGACAGGTGAATGGCCAACATCAGCTAGATATATGCTACAACACACGCTTGGTTCATCAGCGCCGTCCGTATAGCTGCAGGTCTAGGCTGGACAATCGTGCAGCACTGGTCTGTCACTAAGCAGAATGATTGAACCAGAGTCTCGTCTCCCGTGCTTCAGCCCTTCTTGCCTCTTTGGACTTGCGTTATCTGCTCGTGCGCCATTTCCCGCTGTGAAGCGCTGACCCCACTCCTGCATCCTTGCAGATGCGGGACAGAGCGAAGCCGAATATACTACCCGTTTTACTCGGGTCTTCCATCATCTCCGCCGGCTGCGGTCTCCGCTAGCCTGTTGCGCTGCCGCCTGAGCAGCCTCATGTCCTAGCTCACTCCGCAGTGTCTTGAGCTTAGCCTCCACCTCTTCCTTCTTCTTCGCCTCTTTTTCCAATTGTTTTTCAACGTCTTGAATCTTTGCCTTGAAGAAATCCTGCAAAGCTTGTTCTTGTTCCTGGCTAAAAGGCACGTCGTCCGAGCCCTTCTCAGGCAGCTGTGCACTCCTCTCGCCATTCGGCAAGCCACGCTTTAGCCTTCCATTTGCGCCAAGGGATGCCTTCTTAGAGCCGCCCTTGCCCGCTGGGATGAGATAGTTCCACTGGTCTTCCGAGGTGAGGGCATCAAAGAGCGCTTCGGTAGGTTCGTTGAACTGCACGACTTCAAGGAATTCGGAGCGCACACAGCCTGTCCGCTCCTGCTCTGCTTGCATCTTCTCATCACCGTACTTCTCCAGCTGCAGAAAGTGCTGTCTATATTGCGCCTTCTCTCCCGATATGGGCTGGAAATGTAATCTTATGTCAATATTGAAGCCTCCCCATCCCGTCTCCGTCACCTCAAACGGCGGCTTCTCGACCATACGAAGCGGGTTTTCGTACGTGTTGAAGATCTTGAATGAAACCTTGTTGAGCCATGCTCGGATATCGGGGTCGCCATCGTGCACTCGCACGTAGACGGTCCAGCGCTTCGTGTGGTCATCGGGGACATTCTTGGGACGATCGGGGTGGCCGACTGGAGGGAGTTGCCAGGCTTCGGAGCCGATTACTGCGTTTGTGAGCAGATCATCGCACGCATGGGCTACAATGAGTCTTACTGAGGTTGCGACTTATGCGCTTGTTCTGCTTGCGATTAGTATGCAAGTGGTTGAAGCGAGGCGCAATTAACTTGCCTTGACGCGCTTGTTGGACGCGGGAGCAGGCATTTGGAGAGCTGCGCCGCTGTTGCGCGTGGTTCGGGATGTGTATAGGTGTTTCCGCGGTCCAAATTCGATACTAGAATTCCTGGCGTTATGCGATTATGAGGCGGGGAACGGGTTGGATGGTGTGGCGGGTGATGTGTGTTTGAATAACGATCGAGCTATGGGCGGATGCTGGGTTAGCAGCTAACCCAGGTCAGCCCTATGCACGAGCCAGGATCATGCTCTCCCATGATCCACATGTTGTAGACATTCATCAAACAGTCGAAGATATCTATTTGTATGCAACATGAGACTGTATTTTGCAGCATGCCATTAATTGCCATGATTATTCTTGATCAATTTAATACGCCGTTGTGCCGCACGATAGCTGGACTAACACGCACCTCATTTCCCACCCTCTTTCGTGTCTCTTGTCCTCCCATTGTACAATTTATCTTGTTTCCCTGCATTCGGCTTTCCCTCGATCCTATCGAGCGAATCCTCAATCAAGCCGACATGTCCACGTATCGTTCCCTCAATCTCATCTAGCCGTGCCCCTTGTTCGTCATCCATGCGTCCCAATCTTTTTTCGACTCTCGATCCTAGCACGAAGATTTACATCAAATCAGTCTCTTGGATATGGAGTAGTCTCTTACCTAGCAATGTCGCGACGCCAGCCACCACAGCGAGGTTCGTGCTCACGAGGACAAGGTCGTTTTTGAAGAGGTTGCGGAGTGCCATGATGTTTATGTAGAGAGCAAAAATAAGATGATAGATTCCATGCTGCAGGGGTTACAGAAAGGGACTTCTCTATCCTAATTGTACTGAAAGCTATTGAAGAGCGTGCTTTTGACACTAGCATCATGAGGTCATGACGACGGCACAGAGCGTGAATGACCACGACAAACACGGTGGTAATTCTGTACTACAAAACAAAGTGCATTTGTGAGCCCGTGTTCAACACTCGCATCGGCCCTGCAAGCTCAAAGGATAGACTCACGTACAGCTTCAAGAGTCCACTTGCAGACCGCGGAGGTTTCTAACATCTCCGCACACCCCTGCTCAGCCTTAACCTGCATGGACGCGCAATGACCCAGGACGCGCAATGACCCACCCCACCAAACTCAACACCTACACAAAATACCTCATAACTCCACTAATATAGACTTAATTCAGGAAGCAATTAAAGAAATCAAATCGCACGAACTAGGCGCATCTTTTAGCTATCGCCAGGCTGCAAAAAGGTTTGGTATTAGCTATCGTACGCTCGCTCAAAGACACTAAGGCAAAACTCAGCCTCGCGCGCTCGCCCACCTCTCTATCTACCCACAACGCGAAAAGGAGCTTATACAGTACATCGAATCCCTTACTAAGAGGCGTACACCACCTTCGCGTCCAATAATACGACATCTTGCGTCATCCTTGCTTAGTAGAGACGTTTCAGAACGCTAGGTTTCTAGGTTCCTCTGCAGGAACTCCTCTCATCTCATCTCTCGCTGGCAGAGTCCTATGGACCAAAAGCGTCACAAGGCTAATTCAGCAACCAAGTATAGGTTGTACTTTAAGCTGTTACACAATAAGATAAAGGAGTACAATATACAGCCCTCTCACATCTTCAATATGGATAAAAAGGGCTTCTTACTTAGAATCCTTAGAAGGTCTA